TTTTTTCCTGACTTTCATAGACAAAATTTGCACTTCTTCCTTGACCCTTCACTCTAAATCTGAATCAGTGAAAATTTTACCAGTTTTCATTAATTCACCAGTGGAATTTCACTGAGAATCAGTAAAAACCACTGATTGTCATCCATCATAAAGAAAACTGGGCCACTGAAGTGAAATCAGTGAAATTTCCACTGATTTAGATTTATAGTGTTCAGAATATTCTGATTATTCACTCGAAAAATGATTAGATATACTCAAAAAAAATGTTCTATTACATTTATCTACGAATTTCTTTAAAATTGTAAAATTATTTGCAAACATCAATAACTTCTTTTTTAAATATGTAAATATTTAATTATTATTTTTCCACAGGAATTAAGATTTTCAAAAAATTCAAATTTAAACCTTTTGAAATGCAATAACTTTTAAGAATATTTATATAGAGAATTTTCAATTGTTTACAATTCAATTTGAAAAAATTTTGATTATTGACAAATTCTCCAATTAAATACATATTTAGAAAATAAAAACTTGAAATAATTTCAAAAAAAAAATTACCTAATTAAACTTTTTTAAAATACAATTATTTCTAAAAATTCATGCTACAATACTTTTAATATTCAATTATTATCTAAAAATTTAACTGAAATTCATTTTTAAAACAATTTTTATTAGGAAATTCTACTTGAATTCAATTATTTAAATGTAAAAATAATTTGGAATCTCTGTAAAAACATTTTTAATTTTTGAAAATAATTGAATTATTTTGCGAAAAAATTCATAAAAAATTTGTAAATAATTAAATTCCTGGCAAATTTTTATTATCTATAAAAGTAATTGAATAATAATTGAATTTTGGAGAAGAATTTTATTATTTTTAAAAATAATTGAAATTCCGACGAGAAATTGAAATTTTGTGATGAGTTTTATTATTTATGAAAATAATTGAATTATTGCCAAGAAATTTATAAAAAAAATTTGTAAATAATAAAATTCCTGTGAAGTATTTATTATTTATGACAATAATTAAACGTTTGCGTAGAATTTTAATAAAAACTTTTCTAAATAATTGAATTCTTTTGGAAAATTTTATTATAATTTTTGAAAATAATATTGAATTTGTGCAATCATTTAAGAATTTTTCAAAATTCAAATTTTTTTCTAGTGTTTTTAACTAAAATTCTTCTATAAATCCATGATTTTTAATAATTAATTAAATATACGTATTAAAAAATTAAATAAAACTAATTATGAATCTTGCAAATTAAATTTGTTCCAGTATACTTTAATCAAAATTCATGACTTTTCGTTTTCCCTAATTTCCCTGACGTGTGGCAACCCTGTATTTATTTATCCATGTTGTTTTATTTTACATCTTATCAAAAATTTCGTAAGTCGATGTTCCTCATGTAAACTTTTTCGAGATTCTTTCAAATTCTTACATCAATTTTTATTACTCTTCAAAATAGTTCGAAACTTGTTAGATCTTGAGATATTTTGGTTAATCCCGAACAAATTTCCCCTTATAGCTTCAATCTTTTTTATAAATACAAAGTTTTCTGAATTAAAAGATAATTAAATACTTTCGTAATATCGAACCAAATTATGGATTAAAATACGTACAAGAATTGTTGAAAGTAAATCATTTTGATAAAAATAATTTTGTTTAATTATAGAGATTTAAAAATAGATTTACAATTTATTTGGAAATCGATTTATCAGGGCGGTGAATTTGAAAGAAATGCTTTACGAATCTAGTGTGAAGCTCGTTTCAGGTGGCGAGCAGTGGCGAGGGACCATCTTAAAGCTCAGTGACCTCGCTTGAATCCTAGAATTTAGCTTATAGCCACACTATCGCTATTGGATCTTGTCGTCGTTGTCCGAGATGAAACTGCATGAACCAACCGAAAGTGTATGTCGTTCTCTGTATAGCGTTCATGTTTTTCCTCGAGCGTGCTTTAAATCTGAAAGCTATCACGAACATAATGCCGAAAGAAAATTATATTGACACCATTTCAAAGCATTCTGCAAATGTTGCTGCATTAACTTAATGTTCTTTTTTTGCAAGTGAAAATTTAAAAAAAGAAAAAAAATGAAACAAGATTTCGACCTTATTTTTATAATAATAATAAAATGTAGCATTTTCCTTTCATCATCCTCTTTTGCTACTGTATTATTACCTACATATAGACACTAGAGAGTACTTCTCTCACTCGAAATTAGAGAATCCTGAAAATCCTTTGTAAATTTATTCTCGACTGTCTATAGTTTCGAATGTACAGAGATACATCTATTTAGATGTATATATGTCTCGGAGATTTTAATTAATCCTTTTCGCCAGCCCCTTATTCGAAACTCAATAAACGAGTCCATTGTCTCTGATGACTCTGCGCCGCTAGATCGATATTTCTTTTTTCTCTTAAGATTAAAAGTGAAAAAATGGAAAAAAGAAGATGACAAAGGAACTTGATCGACATATAAGGGTGTCACCGATATTTCTCTGGATTAAAACAGATGGTGGACTAGAATTCGTTCGGTTCGGCGCAACGAACGTCACCGTTACCGAAACATATTGGTATTCCGTCATCGTGGCGAAAACCTTTATGCAGATTTACGACGGGGTATCATCAATATTCACCTCGGGCGTTAAATTATTCCTCAACTGGCACTACTCGGGAGACAGATATTTCGTTCGGGATGGACGATCACGGATCCAGAAGAGACGGGCGAAAATCTCGCGATTGTCGAAACTTTTTGGTTTTTACTTTTGCCAAATTGCTTTATGACCTGTCTCTTTATTATTAGCTACCAAAGAACAATTCAATTCAAGTTTCTTCTTTTCAATTACAATCGAAAATTTAATAAAGGCTTTATTTCTAAATACTTAAATATAACCTACTGTCTGAAATAATTCAAATCTTTGACAAAATCATTTCTGTAGTACTTCAAGATTGACACAAAAATTTTATTTTTCCCTGATTTGGGAGCGTTCACAAATGATGTCACGCAATTTTTCGTGATTTTAGACCCCCCCCTGTCACGCAATTTCATGCAATTTCACACGTAAAAATACATTGTGTCACGTTTAGAAGAGACCCCCCCTCCACCCAAAAACGTGACATCATTAATTTGTGAACGCTCCCTTTCCAGATAGAACTTTGACCATTTCCCTGACCCTAAAGAATATTCCGATAAACTCTAAAAATAATTAGATAAAAAAATATTCTATTGGATTCTTTCATTGTAAAATTATTCGAAAACATCAATAACTTCTTTTTTAAATAAATATTTAATTATTATTTTTCCATAGGAATTAAGATTTTAAAAATTTCTAATTCAATCCTTTCGAAATTCAATAACTTATATAAACATTATTTTAAAACATGAAAGGTGACCGAGTGATAAAATCATTATTCTATATATGTTAAAAGAATATTGAACTTCTTGAAAATTATATTTATTATTTTCATCATTTCAATTCAATTATTATTTTCTACAATTTTTAAATAAGGAATTTTATTAAAATAAAATTCCTAAAAATAATTGAATTTTGATGAAGAATTTTGTTATTTATCAAGATAATTGAGTTAAAAATTTTGAAATAATTAAATAATAGGTATTAAAAAATTCATTCTTCTCAGAAAAAGAAAAAATTTTTGAAGGTTTTGTAGTGAACCATTTAATTTAATTGATTCAATTAAAAATTATTTGATTCAAGTAAATATTTATTTGATAATAAACAAGTAATCGGTTATTCGAATCAAATACATTTTTTTTCAGTGTAATTTTTAAATACTAAAAAGGAAAAAATAATTTATAGCAAAACTTTTGAAAATGTTTTAGAAATTGAGAAATATTTTTGATAAAAATAAAAAATGAAAATGAGAAAATTAGATTGTAACAAATAAAAAGGATTATGTTTATTCAAAATTTTTTTCGGTAAATTATTCTTTTAGTATTCTAATATACAAAATGTGTTTTTCTCGTATGAAGTAAAGATAAGAGTTAATAATATCAAGTGCAGTTTTGCAAAAATGAAAAAACTTGAGGGTATATAAATTTCTAACAGAACTCAAAAACTTTTGAAATAATTTTTTTCTTTTTTAATTTTTTATAATTATGTCGAAAGTAACTTTTTCAAGCAAATAATATTTCTACCAAAAAAAAAAAAATGCTTCAAAAATATTAAATTTAATTAAAAATATAATAAATATAGTAATGAAAATATAATTGAAAAATATGAGCAAATTTTGTCAAAATTTTTTTAATATAAAACTAAATTTTCTAAAAAATTACGCAGTTTTGAAATATTTTTACTTTTATCAAAAAGTAGAATCTGAAGTGGCAAAAAAATTTTGTAATACAATTTTTATGACCATTGAATTCCTCGGAAAAAATTACAATATAAAAAATGATGTAAATTACTTCATATAGGTAAAAATTTTTTCACAATGTCCCCTTAAGCAAAAATCTATTTGCAAAAATGAAAAATGCATCGATGTTTTTAATTGTGTGCTTTTAAAAATGAAAAATGAATATTCCAATATACTTTTGAATGGAAGTATTATTTCCGTTTTTTAAATCTATATAAAGTCATTCAAAATTTTGTTATTGTGCTCTATGGAAAAAAAGAGATGTTTTGAAAACTTTTTAATGACATAGAAAAAAGCAGAAAAAGATAAAAGTACATACCTACAGTAATCAAAACTTGATAGTAATGTGTATTGTACAAACACACATTGTTAAGTACTTGCGCCATCAAAAAGTAATTGTTATTGGTTCACCCTAGACTAATAAAATACTCACGCAACTTTATTTTCATGGATTCAGTTAAATTTACTTTCTTCAATCTGATACTTTCCACAGCTAAATTAACTTTATGAGTCTATTAATGCTTGATGATATTCTTCGTGATGGATTAATTTTTCACTTAATGAGAAACCATAATTTTTACAGGGAAGGTTTGTCTTTAAGTTTAAATGAAATTATGAAAACCGTCATTTAAAAAAGTGAAAAGACATTTATTTATTTTACGACTTCTTAAGATAACAATACTTTTTAACTTAATACTAACAAATTTAGACAAGCCTCTTTACATGATCCGTTTTCATTTTTGTCCCTTTAATGTATCCAAGAAACTGAAGTTCTGCAACTGCCTGCGAGAAACGTGAACTGTACAAATTAGTTAAGGAATTTTTATTTAAACTCAATTAAGATTATTTTCAAGTTGAGAAAAAAATGTTTGTTAGTTGCTGATACTTTGGTCACTATAAATAAGAAAGGATACTTGATAACTGGATTTATTTCTCGTTGCTCGTCAGAGTGTTCGGGGTCAATGATCATCAAGAATGACTGAAACAATTAAATAGCTTTTAGGTCTACAGCACATGATATATTTCAATTCATCGCTAATCAAAGTTTGCTTCTGACTGAATATGTATGCGTCGCGTACATTCAAGACAGAGATGCTACGATTTCAATGAAGCACATAAATCATTTCGAAATATGGTTAGAATCATCAAACGAGATCAGCTATAATATCCGAGTCCTCAATTTAATACGTAAATCCTAAATCTTGTACGTAAACACAATTACCTGCAACCAGTCGTACATATTTATTAATTTCTTGTTCTCCTTATGCAATTTATAAATTATCACGAGGTCAGGCATGCTGCGTAAAATCACCGTATCGTCGGTAATTACACAGCAAGGGCACTGAAAAAAAAAATTGAAGATTACAAACTGAATTAAAGTCCGACTAAATAAAATAAACTATGAAAAAACTCATACTTGAAGAAAAGATTTTGGATTCTTCAGAGCGGATTCAATTGCAGCTCTAAGAGAGCCTTTAATTTGACGAGTCACTAATGTTTTATCGTGAAAGCAGAAAATCTCATGTCCGACGACTTTTCTTGGATTTTTCAAGTAGACGGAAAACACACTTTTGTCTAGATAATCTACGAATTTTTCTCGAGCTTCTTTGTAAGGTGAACACGTTTGTTTGTGTGCGTTATTGCGAAGACTCTGAAAGAAAAAAAAATATTAATTACTTTTCTAAAAGAAAGATATTTCGAAAGATACTTCGAACTTACATTTTGAAATGCAGAACGTTTGTTGTATGCCATAGCATCCGATTTTGGCGATTCTTGCACCGATATCGCCGATGGCAAAATTTCTTCACTTGCTTCGTGTAGAATTTGATAATTTTCTTCCAAATAATTCATTAAATTTGGAGGTAAAAATTTTTCATCCCTTTCAACAACTTTTAAAACCTGGTCAAATTTTGTAAGGAACTCTTCTTTCGGCAAATGCAGTAAATACTGTATTACTTTTGCATAATTGTCCGATTCCGTTAAATTAGAGCTAACAGCATCTCCGTATATTCCTCCAAACTAAAATTACGATTAGATATCGCTGATGCAAGTTTGTATGAACAGTATTTTCGAATAATTTCATGTACATACTTACATGTTTGCCCAAAGGAGAACCTGGACAACTGCTGGCAAAAGCGTGCAGCAATTTAAGTACTGTCAAAAATTCGTGCATGTATTTTTGAAATTTGTTTACACAGTTGTCAAGAAATATCTGAAAAAAAAATTTTGCATTAGTTTTCAAAAAGAAGATCAAATTTAGTTATTGTTTAACACACTTTAAAACTTTTGTCGTCTAAATTTTCTTTTCCTTGAAAATAGTAATCAATAGAAGGTAGTTGTCTAAATTCTACAATGTTTTCTTCTGTTAAGGATTTTAATGTCTTTTCCACATTGTTTAGTCCACAGCAAAGGGATGCGGAGTTATTGCTGAAAAAGTGTGTTGCTAAACATATCTGAAAAAATACGAAATTTATTTTCGCAAATAATTGAAATACTTGAACAAGTATATTAAATAAATAGAGTTAATTTTAAAACAAACAAATATTGTATATTTTGTAAACAGACCTTATAAGCTTGCAAAAATCCGTCCACAGAAAGGTCATAAAAAAGAAACATCTGCTCGAGAAATTGAAATGCTTTGCCCGTCAATTTAAATGGTACATTGTGAGAACAAATGATTCCATCCAATATATCGAATAAACTAAGTAGTTGCATTTGTGTAGAAAATACCTATTTTTTATTAATTTCGATTATTAACATCAGTTTATGAATCATAGGAAAATTATTCAGAATCCATTACTATTGGATATTAGTTTACGTACTTTTATTCGAAGTTTTGATGTAACATCATAGGAGAGTGTTCTGTGTACAATATGCAGACTTGTTGCGATACCAAGAATCAATACAATCTTCATTCTCGAATGCATGCTGAACAGAATAATATTATTAAACTTATAATACTCCCAATCTTCGAAAAAATCATTATGAATATTACGTACATAATTTTAAATAATTACAATTAATTTTCAGCTTAAAACTCACCTTAAATTGTAGACAAAATCGTGTAGGGCTTTAGTGTTAAAGTTCTCGAAATCTCTTATAATTATTACAAGTGGTAGATTGCTTTTGTTTGATTCATCGTACCAGCAATTCAAGGCGCGAAAAGTACAATTTGGTTTTTTAATTATGGGATCCTCCTGAAATGACTGATAATACGAAATTATTACTTAATTAGAAAATCTTTGCTTAATAAAGAAAATAATGTTCCCTAGAAAATATGAAAAGTAACCTTTGCATCTGCGTTTATTATTTGGTAAATACTCTCTTCAACCATACTTTTCAGATTGTTGCAATTCCTGGAGCTTATTGTTGCTATATAGGGAGTAATTTCCCCAAGTGTTGCTTGTACTTTATCAAACAGCATTATGTGGTCAGGAACATTCATTCCTACGAATAAATAATTTAGTAGAATTTAATAAGAGAATAGAAAAATAGAAAAATAGAACTAGAATAAGAAATTTAATTTGTTATTTCTTACCAGCCAAGAGAATTGCTGTCGGTATTTCCGAATTCAGAATACTTATTTCACCATTAGAAATATTATCAACGTACCAATACAAATCTTGTAAAATTTGCTTGTACATTGTATAATTAATTCTCTAAAGATTAAAAAATATAAAAATTATTATTCTGCACTTATAATAAAGAATTACTTAAATATAATTTAAAAATAGGAGTACCTCTACAGAATCTTGAACTGTTTGATAGATTTGTCTGTAAGCACGATACCACGGTTTGTTATAATTTTCATTTTCATCCTTTATTTTTCTTCGCCCGAATGTATAACATTTCACAGGAAACACACCCTGAAATAAAATAATGTACAATACATTATAATAAAAAATGAATAATGATCCCATTCCTTCTTGTAACAGTTTGCAGGATCTGATTATAATCTACAGCGATAAATCTCCTGATTAATGGTTTATATTACAAGTATCACAAGCATCACAAGGCAGAAAAAATTGATAACCCATAGATATCGGAGTGAAATCTATTATAAAGTACTAATTAACACATCGTACCTAATTGACAACAATATAAAAGCAAAATTAAAAACAAAATTAAACATAAAATTAAATATATTTGTTGAGTAGAAAATATATTGTTTATATACTGAATTTTAATCACTAAACTCTATATTAAAATCTCTAAATATTTGTGAAAAATAATAACTTAGATAACAATTACATTTTTAATATTTACTAATAATCGTATGCTAAGAAATCCCCTCAATTTGAATTATTTAAATTATAATTTTGGGAAAAATTATATTTTCTAAAGTTCTCAACTTTCAAATGTACCTATTGCAATTATTTGTTTTGACACAAGAATTTTCATTCTTGTGCAGAAAAAATTGTTTCTTTGCGTTAACAGTATTTTTGTTGCTGTTTAGAAAAAGAAAATAAATGTTGATCCCGAATTCGGATAATGAAACGTTACATGTTTTTCTTATAAAAATAAATTTAAAATTAAATATCGTAAATATAGTTATCTGTTAAGGTTATAGTGGTGGCATGCAACAGGTAAATACAATATTTTACTTACCTTCGAGACTGAAACCGTTTCCATTATATTTAACTATATTAGTTTGTTAAAATGAATAAAACAGAGCATAAGGCAATAGAGATTAAAGTTTTATACAAGAAAAATAACACAGCACAGAACATAACTGCTTTATCCTTCAACACAGTCGATCGAGTACTGCTCTCTTTCTTTTTTCACTCCGGTTTGTCTACTTGGTCTCGTTCGTCTCGTCTGCTTCTTCTCTTTCGCGCCAATTTATTGTGTCGTCTGCTATTATAGCAGTTAAAGATGTCGCTAACGACAATAGACTGTCTTTTTGCGGGAAATATTGAAATTATTTACAAAAATAAACATTTTTAGCAAAAAAATTTAGTTCACAAAAATTTGTTGTTAAAATTAATTAATTTTAATAAAATAAATTTAGTTTTAAAAAAACTTTTTTAACGTTTTAATTAAATAATTAATTAATTAATTACTCAAAATTAATTTAGTTCTGAAAAAACTTTTTTAGCTTTTGAATTTATTTTTTATATATATTATTAAATAAATATTTCAGTTTTTAAGTATTAAATAAATTTTTAAATAATCTCGACTTACTGTACACTGCAAAAATATTAATTTCATAAATGATTTGAATAATTATTAATGTTAGAATTTTTCGCTGATTGAGAATTTTTAATTACAAATATTTACTTGAATCAAATAATTTTTGTTTGAGTCAAGTAAATGGTTCAATTCATGTTTTGAAATTAGTATATGAAATTTGGATCGGCAATTTCATAGTTTTTATAAATTAAAAAACAGGTGATAATAATTTAAAATATTCTGCAGTTTTTGTCTATAATTATACCTACTAAATGTTTGAATTTAAAGTTTAAACATTATACGCAATAACGTTCTCATTTTGCGGTTGGCAGTTTGGCATTCGCATTTATATACCCAGAGGGCTCAAAGATATGAATGCGAATCGATTGAAAGCTTAATCATTCACTCTCCGGAAAGAAGTAGTAGAAAAGAGTGAAGCTGGTGTAGAGAAAAAAAAATAAGGAAATGACAGCGACAGGGGAACTGTACTAAAGAAAGAGAAATGAAGCTCGATTGGAAAGGGGTCTTGATATTATACGCATCTCTCAGCACATTCAATTTTTCTCCAAGTCTTCATTTCTCGTTTTCTTTTTAAATTGATTTCTGCATATTTTATAAGTTTGTTAAATCAAAGTCCGCGCTCAGTAGTAAATAAATAATAAAGTATTCTTTTCTATTTACTCATCTTCATACTTGATATTAAACTCAGATATTATAAAATAATTGATGCCTCAACTTATTCTTTATTAAAAAATATTTCCTTTTCAAGTTGCATGCGCACTCCAATGTTATATTAAATTTCGTTTAAAATTTTGTTTTACACGGCAGTATAAAAAGCAACAAAACAAAAGTTGAATGTTCTTGTTTAACTGTGTATGAAATTTATGAAATGTATAAAATGTATGAAATTTATTTTGAGAAAATTAGAGCACGCTTATCGTGGGGAAAGTTTTTAGTTTTGCCGCGGTAACAAAGTCATTTGCTTACGAATGTGCTGAAAAGTTTGGACGTTTCATTTTAAGAATCCCTGAGATAATCCAACAAACCTGGTGGTGAGTTCATCGATTCCGCGTCCCTTGAGGGGAAGTGATGTATCTCCCCACCTAAGATAAAACGCTTTCTGTATGTTTAGAAAAGAAATCCCATCTGGCTAAAAGCTTATGTATGTGCATCCGTTTTTCGAGTACACTTTGGCTTCAAAGCTAAAATACAAAAAGTCCAATTGATTGAAAGAGGCGTATCGCAATATCGCATACAAAAATCGATTCCCAATTTCATCTTTCTTTTGTGAAAGTTTTATATGAAAGGAGCATATATCATAGATCATACATAGGTGAATAAATAATTTTTGAATAATACAATTGATTTGAAATGAATTTGAATTGTTTGAAAGTGCAAATCCGTTAAACAGAAATTTTCTTCGAGTGTTAAAAGTTACACTTGACTTGAGTGAAGAGTAACTTCTTATAGGCTGAGCTGGACTGCAGTTTACGAGACGGAGTGGGTAATGAGCACCATTGTGTGACTTTTCCTCTCTGAAGCAGTGAAACCTTCCAGATCCGTTTCAGGATGCAGAATGGCAGTAGGTTCGCGGGGAAACCCCGGGGATTACTGCGACATTCTAGCGAGTAACGAGATAATAAAGCGAGGAGTTCTGTAGCTTTTGCGGAAAAGTTTCGCCAAAGTTTTCCCTTTTTTTAAATCTTTTTATATACATACGTCTCTTTTGTTGTCCGCTTTATTCTTGTCTCACGACGAAAATCCTTCCTTCTTTAAAAATATAGTATGCCTTATACAATTCGACAACGAAATTTTCAGATCGTATTAAAACTATAAAGTTCAAATAATTTATATTATAATCTTATATTTAATAAACATTTATTACGATACTTGAATTAAAAGCGAAACTTTGTTTTGTTACAGCTACCTTCCCTTATAAAATCAATCAGTTGGAGCATGCTTTATCCTTAAATTCGGAGCTTGACGGGAATCCACCATTATGGGTGACACGAAGAAGAAATGGCAAGACTGAAGATGTCTATATTAATAATGCCAAAATCCTCACGGACCGAAGCAACATTGAATTAATGATTGGCGATGTTGGCGATACTAAGAAACAGGTTTGTTCAAATTAATTACACTTTATTCAAAAAACCTTTACTATAAGTAGAAAAAAGATCCGAGATCTAGTCAACATTTTAATTTTCTTTATAAATAGCAAAATTCTTCGCCGAAATTCAATTATATTCAAGAATTTTTATAAAATTCATTGTAAAATTAATTTGTAGAAGTTGAATTATTTCCAAAAAATCTAAAAAAATATTATCGTCAACATTTTAATTATCTTTATAAAAATTCTTCGACAAAATTCAATTATTTTCATGAATTTCAATAAAATTAATTAGAGTGAATCAAAGAATATTCTTTAGGGTCAGGGAAAAAGTCAAACTTTCGTCTGAAAATCAGGGAAAACAAAATTAAATTTTTGTTGCAACCCTAACATCACAATTCGAAAAGAATTCACAATCCACTCAGTAGGTTTAATTAATTTTTTTGTGTTCGCCAAACAAAAAGAATAAAATTTTGTCGAAACAATATTTTTCATAAAAATTAAAGTTTGCATTAATGTAGCAAATGATGATTTCTTTCGTATAATATAAAGTCGAAAGAGTCGAGAGAATGAAAGTTTTTGTAAATCTAAGAACCATCTTCTCAAGCCTGAAGCGTCTCTAGAAAAGCTGATGTTATTGTATCCGGAGGGATACTTTTTTGAAAGGGAAGTCCGTGCTTGCCATGAGTAGGTCATCATGAAGATGGAAGGTAAAATGGAAGGTGCAAAGAAGAGCTGGCGAAGAAGAAAGGTAAAAGTTCAAAGTTCGAGGTGGAGATTTCTCCATCTGCGGGGTTACGGCTTTTCTCATAAGGTCGTTTTCCAGAGCGGAAAAGAATTTATTTCTTAGTACGACAACTTCTGCTTAAAATTTTATTGTCCAGCAGAAACATTTTTCGTCTGAAATTTATATTTTTCCCTGCTTTTATTCGCGCAGTTTTTTTTTTTTTTTTTTTATTTTCAAAAGGACAAAGAAGCAAAAATATATATATTAAGATAATGTACTTGGGTTTTTAGTTTTTGTGTGGGCATCAATTATTGTCCGCAAAAAGTTGTTAAATTAATTACAATTGTTTTTCTTTTGGACATTAATTTCAATACTTAGAATTAATATTAAAATTTGGTTCGAATGAGAAAAATCTTACGGACCTGCGCAGAAATGATGCAAAACTTTTTTGCAGTGTTAGAGTATACTGAATTTTTCAATAAGTAAAAAGTGTATTTATTTCACAAGTCAGAAAACGTGTTTTTTACCTTGCTTAAAATTTAATGCTAGTTCATTTCTCCATTAAATTTTTTTTCACATCAAGAGTTTCTCGACGGTGTAACGGCGTTGTCGAGGTGTTGAAAGCGTTTGCACGGTCGAATCTTCGGTACCACGATGAAAAGTTTAAATTGTTTGATAAGAAAAGGTTATCCCACGTGACGAAGTTTCCCCTTATCGTCAGCAGAAAGTTTTCGATAAGAGAAGAAATTCTTACATCTAGGAGAATTCGTTTCCACCGAGCAGTGAGAAGAGCTTAAATTTGCTGTCGCACAAATATAAGGCAAACATCTTAAAGTTTCCCTCACCTCAAACTCCCAAGTTGAAATTATCCTAAATTTTTTTCGGTAAATTCAATTTTTTTAAATTCCCTATTATTAGAAAAAAAAATCATCGTAAACGATAATTACGAAATTAATTACTATTGTCAACTTTTAAGTTGACATGATGCGAAATTGTGCGAAATGATGTGAAATCTAGAGATATTGTACAATATGGACTCTATTTACAGAACAAATGAATCACTGAAATTAATATTATAGTTTCAAACCAAGAACAGATTGAACAGTGCAAGGCAGTGGAAACAATAACTTGGGTATATCAATCAACTTGCTTAACTTTGTAACTAAGTTTTAAAAGTACATATTAAATTTTACATTAGCTTTAGTAACTATTGCTAATTTTTAAATGTTTTACTTGAAGAAAATTTTACAGTTTTTTCCATATCAAAATATTAAAATGTCTCAAATATTTTTACATGAAAAGAATTCTCTTGGAAAAGTAAAACTTTTTTTCCGTAGAAAAAAAGAATATTTTTGCCTTATATAACTTTATTGTGACGTGAAGAGAGAACTATCGACTTGACACAAGAAGCAAAAAAAAAAAAAAAAAAAAGAGACGCCTAGGAGCAACTCATTTGTTAGTTCCCTCTTTTGTGACAAAACCAGCACGCGAAAGAGTTGTTTAATTTAGTTTTCAGTTTCGGATAACAGTATAACAATTTTTTTTTGTGTAAATTTAAAATTGAAAAGCGGTGAAAACTGCAAGAGTAGTCAAAATAAAGATGTAGAATTGTTTTTTCTTATTAATTCAAGTAACCTTAATTAGGGATTTTTGAAATTTAACCACATTTCTGTTAACTAATTAGATCTTTTCTTGCTATTCTTCACATTTTATTCCAAGGCAAGCTTAAAGGGAACGTTCCAGTTTTCATCCCCTCATCGCGGTTTGATATTTTATATTTTGAAGAAAATTTCCGAATAAAAATACATATGAATATATATGAAATTAAAGTTTCAAGGTTTAGAAGTTGAGTGTTGGAGACAATAACTCGATTAATGAACATTTGTCCGTTACCTTAAAATTGATTTCTTTTTACTAAAATTAAGCAAGGATTTCCAGAGTTGGTTAGAGCGAATAAGAGGGAATGGGGTGAAAGTCAACTGAATGGCGCCGTCGCGTCGCATCGCGACGCCACACCCCACCAGACCTAAAGCTGCTTACGAGCTAACACTAAGGGTAAACCACCCTTTAAAGCGATCGCGCAAAATTAAACCCGCTATTTTTTCTCCCTTCAGAACGCCTATCAGTAAATAAGTGCGATTCTCCGGATAGTGAGCTCCCTTTCTTCAGTGCTTCTCAACTTTAATATTTCTTCATGATTTTCACCTTGAACAATTTTCTTCATACTTTTAAATATTATACATATATGTAATGACATTAATAAACATTAATAAAGAAACCATATATTTTAAAAAATTTGCTTAATAAATTCATATTTAGATTTATTCACCATGACAAATTTCCAAAGATCTTTTGTGTTTTGTACCTAAAGTGCCAACTGAAGTGAACAATTGAGAGAAAGTATCGCATAAACTTCTTCTTTAAGTAACTCGAGTTACTTATAACTTTCTTTTGTGCTTTGAGATATTGCATTTTCTATTCAATAACGTTCGTTTACTTCAACGAGTTTATATCATTAGAAAGCACATTAAAACTCTTTTCTTTTAAATATATAATAAAATATTTTATAAATTCCAGTAGCTGACAATGTAACAATTTAACGCAGCATCAAAAAGTAATCAAGTTACTGATCTGTTATGAAATTGTATATGCAATCATGCATGCGAATATTTTTGTTTCAATTAATTGACACAAACGAATGTAAAGCATAAGCGTAATTTAATTCTACAACAGTTGTTTTTTTTTCATAAGTAATAAATAATTTTCTGTAATAGATATTAAAAACACATTTTCTAATAATAGAGAAATAAATTGGAATGAACGGCAATTTAGTAAAGTTTGTAAAAAAAAAAAAGAACCTCGCAGCATTTAAATTCACGTCTCCATTTATGAAAATAAATGGAAGCGTACATAGAATTTTACCTTTGCCTCACCTTACAGAGATTTCTGCTCGTTCAGCGCAATCCTAGAAAATGGAATAAGTTTTCTCAGCAAGGAAGCACGAGTGCAACAACCATCTACCCTCCGACTTGGATGGTTATGCTCCAATTAAAGTTAATCGCGTCTTTTTCGTATGGGACGATTAAGTATAAAAGCTCAGTCAGGTAATCGCCTATCATCTTGTGAGAAAACAGAGCCAACCGTATTAAGACTATATCTCTATTTTTTGTTTCATTATATGGTCAGAACTATGTTTATATTTCTCTTATTAGAAAAATTAAGAATGTGGACTTGGGAAAAACTTACAATTAGAGGCAAAATTTTATTTGCTTCTCCATGTCTTCCTACCATTTTGGATTCTTTGACTGATTACAAGACTTATCTTGCGCAGCAAAAATTCACTGTTCTTGTTATTACGTACATTTCATTTCTTATGTATATTTTAGATTATAAATTCACAAATTATTATAAACTTTTATTTTTAGTAATGTTAACATTACTTTAATGTTTCTTTACTTTCTAAAAAAAGTACATAAATAGTTTGTACAAATGCTTTAAATCTCTGCTTTTTCACTCTTTTCTTTATTTAGAAAATGGCTATGTGGAAAAGAGATGAGAGTTTTTTTAGGAAAACTGGATAAAGTAACAGAAAAAAAGTCTATTTAAACAAAACCGTTTATATCCTTAATAAAAACAAAACGATTGAAAAGTAGCCTATTATAACTAAAAAGATATCTTTTCAGAATTTAGTTAATTTTAATTGAATTTGATGAATATTGATATTCTACACTTTCATGCACAGTGATATTATCATAAATAATAATTTTTTATAAATATTCTTAATTTTTATCTTCAATTTTTCTTCTGATTTCAGGTTTTGCATCAAATATCTGAAGTTTTAGAACCTGTAGTTTCAATCCGCTCAGCAGACACTCCAATAGTGAATCCCAATGCTCTGCAATTTTTAAATAACACAGCTCAACTGAACTTGGGATCACGACGAACTAGGTAAGTTTAATTTTTATAAATTATTTCGTTCGTCGAAATTTTTTAGCTTAACAATTAGTAATTAATTAATTTATTCGAATTACAGTTTTTCTGCGAATATCAAATTGAGACAAAAAAGTAATCAAAACGTTGCGACGTTTTGATTCGTTTTTTGTCTCAATTTGATATTCGCAGAAAAATTGCAAATATAGAATAAAAACAGAATTAAACAGCTTTTTATTGCAAGTTTAAAGGATGTAAACTCAATTATTCAACTGAATATAACTTTCTTTATTGTTTTTTAAAAAAAAGTTCTTAATTTGAAAAGCTTGTTGTATGTAAAATAATAATTAGTATAGTTGATATATTTACATTTTCCCTTTAAAAAAGAATAATAAATCTATTTATATATTTATTATTTAAAACTAACTTTTAGAAAAGTTTTTTGAAATACTGTAAAGTTGACAAATGGGTTGAAATTGAAAAAGGAAAAAGTATAACATAAGTGGATATATGATCTTGAAAGTCGTACTTTCTCTTGTATTCAGTGAAAAAGGTGGGTAATGGACAGACAGATGTATTTTGTTACACCAAGTATTCGCTTTCAGAAAATACTTACGTATATTTTAATTCAACTTTTTTTTTGCTATTCTTTTTCTCGTTTATACAGACATTATCTCTCATATTATTTTTACATTATTTTTATATTAGTTAAAGCGTCTACATCGTTATTTACTTTCTTTAGAACACTTTTCTTTTTTTCAAAATAATAAACAAGTAATGCATCATTTTTACTTCACAATTCACAAAGAATAATTTTCTCCGAAATATATTCACAAAAAATTACTTATCCATCTGGAAAAATTCGCCTGGAAACTGAATGGAATGTGAAATCGAAAAATATAAGCTTATACGATTCTTGAGCAACCCGTGCAGAAATTTTGACCGGGGCCAGGTCGGGGCCAGATCGGGACAAACCGGGCCCCGATCTGGCAACCCGACCTGGCCCCGGCCTGGTTGAAACACTAAAACCGACCGGGGCCATGGCACTTTGCCCGATCTGGCCGCCCTGTCGGGACCCGGTCGGGGCCATGGGATTTCCCCCGATCTTTTCGCTACCCAGGTAGAATTCCAATACTGACTGCATTTTATTATATTAAAGCTTGTTATTTGATTATTAAAGAATGGGGAGTATTTACTTCAATATTAATGATTATTATTAATATTTTTGTAGTAAATAAACTTTTATGAGTGTCATTAAAAATGTAAATAGTTATTAGAATTGCTTTTATTGGACTAAGTTTTTAAAAAAAATATTTTTCTTATTTTCTTTCATTAATTTAGACAGACTATCTTATTTAAATTAATAATTATTTATAATTATTATTATTGTTAATAATTATTTAAACCTATACTTTATGTAACATTATTAAGAATTATACACAAAACACTTAAAACTAAGACGGAAAAATATCGCACGCACGGGGGACCGAACCCTAGACCTCGAGGACGCAAGTCGAATACACATACCGCATAGCCACGCAAGCTTGAAAGCGACCTCGCTTAAACTTCCTTTTGAATCATGGGACCGTTATATACAGTGTTATCATAATAAATTGACTGTATCATATTTATTTATAGAAAAATTATTAAAAATGTATGTTATATATATATATATATATATATATATATATATATAAATTAATATGTTTATCATAATAATATGGTAAAAATTATTAATTTAATTATTTATTCTATATTATTTATAATTTAACTATTTTTTAAAATAATAAAAATTTTTTCATTATTAATAATTCACAATAATACTAAAAATTATTAATTAATAATAATTTATTTTTTTGCCTTAAACATGGAATTTCAATTTAAGTGTGAAAAACAATTAAGAGTTTTTAAGAGTTATAAATGTCAAAAATAATATGTTAATATTATAACCACAAAAAAATTTAACATTTTAGGCAATATTTTTGGTTATCACCATGATAACATCGACAAATGGTTCACCTTCGACAATTGGTGCGTTTGTCCTATTGTTTTAAATTAAAGGAGAATAAATTCTTAAGACATCCCTCGAGGACAATTTTTGAGTTTTTAATTGTTTATAATTTTTATTTTCAAATTTCAATCAAAGTTAACAAATTAACACAATTTTTTAAAAACGGACGTTTATTTTCTTATTCCGTTACTGCACATGCTCTAAATCAGTTCAAATTAATCCAATATTACCAGCAGACAATTAAAAACCCATAAAGTAATATATTTCAATTGTCATAAACAACATTAATTAACAAATAGTTAACTTATGATCCTGTCCAACAGAAAATTTTTGTTGCAAATTTTCTTTTTTACTTAGGTTCTTTTAAAGAATATATGTCTTTTTTGCTTATAATATAACTTATTTAAATATTTAATATTATATATCCGTGGTCTTTTAACATTATCTAAATAAAAAAGTAAACGTGAAAAAAAAATTTTTGGTGGAAAGGAACAAAAATTAACTATTTGTTAATTAATATTATTTGTAACCATTTAAATAAGTTATTTTTTAAACAAAAAGGACACATATTTTTAAAATGAACTTAAATTAAAAAGTAGACGTGAAAAAAAATTTTTTTGGTGGACAGGAGCATAAGTTACATAACTATTTGTTATTTAATATATTGTTTATAACAATTTAAATAAGTTATTTTTTAATCAAAAAGGACAAATATTCTTTAAATAGACTTAAATTAAAAAGAAAATGTGAAAAAAAAATTTTTAGTGGAATAGGAATCAATGTTAACTATTTGTTAATTAATATTGTTTATAACAATTTAAATAAGTTATTTTATAATCAAAAAGGGCAAATATTCTTTAAATGAACTTAAATTAAAAAGAAAAGGTAAAAAAAACATTTTTTAGTGGAAAGAAATCAAAGTTAACTATTTGTTAATTAATATTGTTTATAACAATTGATATAAATTACTTTCTGTTTTATTAATTATATGGTGGTCATATTGTATTAATTTGAACTGATTCAGATCATATGCAGCAACGGAATAAGAAAATAAGCCTCCTTTTTTGAAAAATTGTATTAATTTGTTAACTTTGATTGAAAATAAAAATTATAAACAATTAAGAACTAAAAAATTGACCTTAAGGGATGTCTTAAGAATTTATTCGCCTTTAATTTAAAATAAAGAATACTGAAACCGGTTAAGAATTGTAGGCTGTAGACAGTTTTGAACAGTAAATTGTAAAAAAAATCCCATTGTGCGCTGTTTGTAGATCCTTGGGCAAACCCGGTCTGGTCCTGGTCGGGGCCACGAAGTCGGGGCCAGATCATGAAATCCCGACCGGGGCCAGGGCGGTAATCGGGAACAAAAGTGGCGATTTCTGCACGGGAATAAATAAGGTGCACGTGCCAAGTTCCAAGAATTTCAGCTTTAAGGGAAATTATTGAACGCGCTTTGTGTGTCTTTGTTTTGCAAAATGTAAATTCTTTATACTTTTTGCGGCAAAAAATATTGCAATTGTCAAAAAGTAGATATTGTAAAAAACTATGCAAACAAGACAACTTAGTAGAAAAAATTCAAATTCGGTTTTATATATAGAAAAGTTGAGTGTTTTTAAAAAAAACGAGATTTGTGATTAGTCAGAAAAATTAAAGTTCGGAAAAATATTAAAAAGACGAAATTCTAACAGTTTAATTTTTAGACGTCAGTGTAAAAAGTAACATCTTAAAATACATTGTAGTCACTTTATTATCGTTTAAAGTATCTTCAATATATTTTCATCTATTATCACGAAGACTAATGCATTTTAAGGTGCTTTTAATAACTTTTTGCCGGAAACACCTTAAAAGTTATTATCAATGTTTCTTTTAATTTCAGAACGTTTCAACAAAGAGTAACTACTACAGGAAAAGAAGAAGTATTCAAAGCCGATGGAAAATTCACATTTTTCATTCCTGAAGATGAAGGTTTTAAGGTAAATGTTTCAATCTTTTTAATGAGGGAAACAATTTTTATTAATCTATCCGTCATTCTTTATTTATACTTTTAAAATTGTATGACGGTATCCTACCTGGGGTGAGAAGTTATAGTCGAAAAGGTTTACTCTATCAATTTCTTCTTTAATTATTGTTAAGAAAGAAAAAATAAAGTAAAATTTTAATAAGCCCATTGTAGTCTTTATATTATTATCGTAAAGATGAAATTACAGCAAACATTTTGCAGAATATCATAACCGAACTCGTATGTTTATTGTACTATTTGCTTTCTCTGGAGACCAAATGAAATGAAATTACAGTGAATTGAAGTGTGTCGGAATCGAATTCAGTTTTTACTCTTGGGAAAATACAATCTAGAATATTTTTCCACGCACTGTACTTGGGTCAAAAAGAAATTCAGAAAAACATCAGAGAGCTGCCTGCTTTAAAAATCAAAATGCTTTATGAATAATTCTCAGCTCATAAATTCCAATGTATTTTTCGATATATATTTAGAATTTTAAATGAACTTTAAAAACGACTATATTTCAACAACAAACAATCAAAAATTTTAAGAGATAATGGCTATAGAGCGAAATAGGCTTCTTCATTCATATTTCCATATACTGCGAACACTATTAGTTTTAGTATAAAAACAAAAAGGGGAAAATCGAGATTTATTTTATAAAATAATAGTTATTTTTGGTTTCCATGGAAATTCTGCAAGTTTTTAGATTTTAAAAATATTTTAACATTTCCAGCGTTGTCATAGATCAGGGGAATCAGGAAAAATTCAGGGATTTTTATTAAAGTACTGAAAAAATTGAATTTAGAAGAAGTTACAAATGATTGCAGAATATTCAATTTATTTTCAAAAGTTAATAAAATTCTTCGCAGAAATTCAATTATGTTCAAAAATTTTTTTATTCGCTAATTATCTTTAAAAATAATAAAATTCTTCTCCAAAATTCAATTATTTTCGAAAATTTTCCTCAATTCAATCGCATTTTCAATATGTATTATTTTATAATAAAATTTTTTAAAAGATTTCAATTATTTAAAAAAAGTATGTTGATAAAATTTATAGCAAGCATTAAATTATTTTCATTAATAATAAAACTCATCATAGAATTTCAATTATTTTTAATATAATCTTTAATCGAATTCCTCCAAAAATGGCATAATTCTTGACAATTTTATTAAAAAATTTTTTTTATTCGTCGAAAAAAATTTTAAAAATAATTACATTTTTCGAGGAATTTATTTAAAAATGTATTAAAAATAATTGACAGCCTATGAAAAATTTTATTAAAATTTTTGTAAATAATTAAATTTTGTTCAGTAATTTACGAAAATAAAAAAATATAATTGAATTATTTAGAATAATTTATTTTAAATTGTATTAAAAATATAATTAATTTACATGTCTTTACTAAAAGTAATTAAATTCTTCCAATGAATTTTATTATAATTTTTTGAAATAATAGAAGTTTTTTGAATCGTTTTATGTAAATTTAAAAGAAGAATTCAATTATATAAAATAATTTATTTAAAATTGTATTAAAAATAATTGAATTCTTCCAACGAATTTTTTTAAATAATTGAATTCATGTGAAAAATGTTATTACCTGTAAAAATAATTGAATTCTTGGAAAGGATTTTATTAAAATTTTGTAAGTCTTCGACTCGGAGTGATTGATATCTTCATGTTTTATATAATAATATTCTTATAAGTTGTTGAATTTCATGAAGATTTGAATTTGAATGTGTTGAAGAATTGTAATTCCTATGGAATAATAATAATGATTAAATATTTATTTAAAAAAAAATTTATTGGTGTTTTGAAATAATTTTACAATTAAAAAAGTTCGTAATTAAATGTATAACATAACAGTTTTTTGAGTAACTAATCATTTTTAGAGTGAATCAGAATATTCTTTAGGGTCAGGGAAAAATTGCAATTGAATTGCAACAACTTATTATTATGACTCTAATCATAATAGAAATGTTAAAATAATATTAAAATATAAAACTTGCCGAATTTCCAGGGGTACTTCCATGGAATTTTTCAACTTGGGTTTTCTTGGGTTTTTTAAAACTTTTTCTTAAAACTTTCCTGGAAAATTGAAGAATTGTAAATGTTAAACGTATTACCGCTGAAAAAAACTAAAAGTAAACTTACATAAAGTCGGAAATTGTAGCAAGTCGTTAAATTTGAGATAAGATAGAGAAAATTTTGCGCTACTTTGGAATGCTGACTAAATATAGTATGAAATGCTGCAGTTTTGTAAACTCTCCCTCGCAAGAATCCCTTTAGGGTGTTTTTTCCAGCGTATTTAACTTTCGACGAAAGCGGAGGATGAAATATGTTCATCAATCAGGTACCCGCTGGTCGCTCGCGTCATACGACATAATCCTCCTCTTGTCTTTGACGTTACTGTGCGTTACTGTTGCATGTTACTCAAGCGAGGCTTTTGCAGCTATTTCATCCCCTCTGACAAAGGTACTAAAGGTACTAACATGGAAGGAAAGGGCAAGGGTTGAAGCGGCGCGTAATTAATGTGAGTAACGCTATCTTGTCGACGCGACGACGGGCTAATTAAATATTTGCTTTATACCCGGACCGACCACATCGACGTCTGGCATGGCATAGCGTTCGTTTTCTTACGACTTTACGAGCGAAAAAATCCGAGAAAATGTCTCCACTTTTTCTCTCTTATTTTATTTGATAAGTAAACCTTTAGTTATACTCACCAACTCACTCACTCAACTTTTTCTTTTCTTTTCTCTTTTCCAGCCATCGCCGAGGCCGGAGAAAATCGATGGCAGAGTGATTGATGGACACGTGATACCCCATCATGTTCTTTTCACGGGACCTACGCCTAATGACAAACCCTATAGGACTCTGGCAAACGACGATAATCTTAATGTTACCATAAGTTTTTACACTGAGCAGGATGGGAAAAGTAAAAGAGGTATTATTAGATGATTCAAACTAAAAAAACTTTCCATTTTTCTCTAGCTTCATTCATCAAAACTCTTTTAGTTTAATTGCTTCTGTATTACCATTGTACCATTCAACAGCTAAAACGAATTTTTAGTCGTCAAATTTAATACTTTTTTAAAATTACCAAATTTTTTAGTGCAAAGCTTGTTATCGCAATAATAGAATTGAAAAAACTGTGATTGAATTCTTTAGATTAGTTTTTTGTTTTTTAGTAAATGCTCTAATTTTGTGAAAAAAAAAAAATAATTTCAGTGTACGTTAAGTCCAACACCATAGTGGGAGATAAGGACCATCCAACTGGCGTAGTTCTCGCCGAGATCATAAAAGCAAACATCCCAGTTAAAAATGGAGTGGTACACCTTATTCAACGTCCACTCATTGTCGTTGATACGACAATAAAGGAATTCCTAGAGGTCAGTAAGCAAGCATATACTCATTACATCTAATCACAAAAGATAAAGTTTTACCTCAATTCTTACATCATAAAAGATGCAACGAGTGTCAAAGATGTTGATAATTTCTGTCGGACAAGTTCAAAGCAAAGAATCCATCGCAGTTGTAACGTAAAAGTATAACAAATAATTAAAAATTAAAGTTAAGGATAAAGTTAAGAATTTTTAATTAGATTTTCGAACTAACTAATTTTTTATAGTCTTGGGATTAAATTGACACTATTATATTATAAACTTGAATTGAAGAGTTGAAAAATTCTTGATTTTTTGACGAGGCCAGAATGCTGGATGTATTTGAAGGGTGAGGGACTTCACCTTTCCATCCTGACTGTCTTCCTCTCCCATCCGCAGTCTCTTGTGTCCTCTTTGACTAAACGACAACGGATGTTAGACTCGTTTAATGGAGTGGTCGCTTGTGGTTTCCACCTAACGCTTCAATCTTTTTTCCACCTCACATAGCACAATATTTCTCAGCAACTTTCCAGCTAGCTTGCATGGAGAATTTTTCAATTTTTGCATTGACAATTCTCTAAATATTAATTAAAATCAAAAAGAATCAAAAAGTATTTTCATATTTCTATTGTAAAGCTAGAAATAAAAAAATTTACCTCGAGTACCTCGAGTTTTAAAATCTCATTTCATATGAGTTAAACAGGATTTTAAATGACTGCCCGCAGATGCATTCATAATCAGTGTTGATTTTCAACGTGTAATTTTATTATGAAGCACTAAAACACGTCTCTAGAGAAGAGTCAAAAAGGGTTGGCATTGATGTTTTACTCGGTAAAAAAAGGCAATTTGCTGTTGGCTTTTCATGAATTACGTTATTAAATATTTAAAATATGATTTTGTTGCTTTACGAACAAAGCTATCAACGATATCTATCGCTCCCTTTCAAGCATCAAGTTGTGTTCGGTTTATTCTCTGTGGCATGTGTCACGTCCACGTGATGAAGCTTGTAAACCAACATTTCAAGCTCTCGAATACTAATGTCTTCTCTCTCTCTCTCTCTCTCTCTCTATCTCTCCCGCTCTGCTTTTCGACATCTTGACATTTGTTTTGTTTCTCCACCTCTTATCTAACGCATCGTCAATGAAAGAGAATTTATCTCGAAAATTGATCCAATAGTCATTTCACTTTTTAATGCCTCGAGAAAAGTCTCGCAAAAATTTTATGCGAATGTATAAAAACTCAATTCAAGTTTCACCGCAATTGTTCGGTCTCGCTTTACGGAATTTAATGCAACAATGAAACTCAACCTCGAGAGAGCCGAGGGAAACATATATTATTTGTATGGGTAGTCTAGCGCGTAACTTTGTTTTGAGATTTCTCACTCGAACTGAAATCTAACGATTTAGGTATATAAATAATTATTTAATTCTTGTTTCAATTATTCATTCCTATCGAGAGTCGATAGAGTCTAATCAAACTTTCGAACCTTGTTCGTAAATCTCGTAAAACAAATAATTTTAATTATTAAGAAACAAACTTTTCAAAATAGCAAGAGGTTAAAATTCTTTTTTAAAAGAAGCTTTGTTTAGAAAAACTTTTTTTAGCCCTCCCACCGCAGGAAAAAGTCTATTTTTTCTTTGTCACATGACCCGAAAGTATTTGTTGAAAAAATTTTACATCACTTTGAGCAAGTGTAATGCAATTACACTGTAGCTGTCTAAATGCAGTAAAGACATCTGTAATAAAATTATACTCACTAAAGTTTCCAACAGTGACTAAATTACTCTTTAGCGACGACGTTCTAAAGTCTCTTCTTAATTATTTTAATGCACACGAGCTTTATTGTCATATATAAATTTTATTTAGCGATCCTGACAATAGAGTGTCTCATCAGCCTAAAAATAAACTCTTTTCTCCATCTACATAATTTTGCCAACATACTAAAGTGTATTCTACCTTTTTTTATGATTCATTATTAGATTCATCAGTTAATGCAAAATTTCGAATAATTCTATGAGAATTATTGCTCCCAAGACTGAAAATTTTGATATTCAGTTGATTTTTTAAGAGCCTGTATGGCATAAAATTCATGCTGTAGTTTCCACTTTCCATTTTTACACAATGATTTATTTTCCATCACTTTGATAGCCAATTCCTCTTTCAATCGACGCTTTGAGTTTAACTCGTAAATCCTTCTATAAACGACTGCAATGCCAACAGAACCAAATCAAAGGGCAATTGTGAAAGTGAAAGCAAAAGCTTTTACATTTTAAACACGTCATTTGTTGAATATTACCTGTTAAGGGTAAAGTCTTGTCTTTTACTTTTCCAATTTCTTTCTTCAATTCGGTCATCAATTATTAATAGAAAAGAACAAGTTTATTAAAATAGGTTTACCTCTCGCCTCGCCTCGCCTCGCCTCGCCTCGAAAGAAGTCGATCTTTTTCCAGAATGATAAATGCTACCTTACCTATAAAAATTTTCTACGCCAGCAGAATCACAATATCAGAGAATCGAATTATTTTGATGGAAAAATACAATCAAAAATAAATTTTAAAGTTGAGGTAAACAGTACAATTTTCTATAAGGATCTAATATTAAAGATTTAGTAAAAATTTCACACTGTTGCTTCGAAATAATTATTCAGCAGTACATCTTCAATTTACAAAGTTCATCTGCTACTTTTGCTGATGAAAGGTGTGCTTTGAATAAGTCTAAGTTTTATAAGAATAAATCTTGTTAGTTATTCAAGTCAGACGAGTCAGACTGAGGGGAATATTCTTTTGAGGGAAATTTAAAAATTGGATGGATTCTTTGACTTGGAAATTTGTGTTGTGTACTACTAATGTTGCATCATATCGAGCATCATATGATAAAAAAGACATCGATTACTGAGAAGAGAAGAATAAGAAAAGAAAAGAAAAGAAAAGAAAAGTAATTCGAGTGGTAAAGCATTATCAAAACAGTCACATAACACATTCGCGTCTGACAAAACTCATCTCATTACATGTCAACATAGATGTTTTCACAAAGCCTCGACATTGGAATGTTCACGTGATCATCTCAGCAACAGGATACAGTGACCTGCGGCACGTGTCTGCCTACTGTTTGCACCCAATATCTTTCTGACAGAATCAAATCAAATTGTTTATGATTATGAGAAACTCAATTTTACAAATTTTTACTAATTCTTACTAATTCTTCATAAAAATAGCAAAAGTTTGTCTTTTGAGATTTTTAATTGCTTCTTCAACAAGTTGGAGATTTAAATATTTAACTAATTTAAGAGTGTATAAAGAAGCAACAATAGACTATACAATAGAAATTTGTCCAAAGTGTTTATTCATTATCATGTGTCAATGACCCAGTTTGAGTTTGACTCTAGTGAGTGATACAGTGAAGAAAAGTAGTAATTGACATTATTAACCCCTCGATAAAAAAAAAAACTCTTTAGTTGATTCACATTATGTATCGCGAGAATACTCGACTATGAATCACAAGGTAGAGTGAAGCATATTGTTGTTGATTCACAGTTGATTATTTTTACGTGAATTATCTAGTAATAGAATTTAGAAAAAGGCAGCAATTTTGGACAAGCAATTTTGGACAGTTTGAGAATAGAGAATAAACATTTGATTTGATACATCTATCATATACTTTACATCTGTGTTGTGCATCCTTGAAACAATACATGGTCGAAAACATCCTGCAAACGAGAAAAGACTGAAGAAAGAAATCTTATTTGAACGGTCCCTCTGGAGATAGAATTTATCAAAATGACTATCTTCCTTCTTTTCTCAGACGCAGGATCTTGGCCAGACTCGTACTAATCACTTAATTTCAGGTCCTCTCCGCGTTTACACTCTCAAGTGTAATACGGAGCGAGGAAGCACTTGAGACAAACAGACAACAATAAGAAAGACAACAAAGACAGATATTTGGTGTCTAGGAGAGCACAAATCGTGTTCTGCCGTTTCTGCACCGCCTCTTGTGTCTCACTGCAGATCTTTGCCTCTGACCCGCAAATCCCTCTTGACTCTCTTTTCGATTTGCTCCTTCGACTGTGCTCTTTTTTTCCGTTTTTAACTTCAGTACATATCATACTCTTAAAAGTTACATTTTTTCTATTTCAATCACAAAAACAAAAGGAAGAAGTTGAATTTTTCGAATTAGGAACATTTTCTTTTCATTTAGTATATATTTTTAATAGCGACAAATTCATTTCTTTCCAGGTTCAAAATTAAATACTCCACTTGTTAGTCTTAAGAGTTTCTTTTTTGGTTTTTAAAACGAGACAGTCTCTTACGCAAATCACACTAAATTATTACACTTGCAAATATAAAAGAGAGGGAAAAAACTGCATATTTTCATCATGTACGAATTTTACGAACCTCGCTAGTATATTTCTTTATTACTCACGTATTTGAAAAGTTGCATTTTTACAGTATTTATCAGAGAGGTACCCCAGATCCATATTGACGCGAATGTTCCTTTGTACACCTTAATGAGAGAATTTCTGTGCCAATCGCTTTTCAGGTGAAAGGAAGAAAAGTCGAAAATATCGGAAATGTTCGAAAATTAACTTACTAATTTAGGTACTTGAAAATATATGGAAATTGTAGCATAAAAAATTATATTGTCAGAATATTTAAAAAGGGGAAATTTCCTAATAATGCTCATCCATTATAGAGAAGTCTTTGGGGCCCCTTTTAAACTTTTAGAGAACCCTTGCAGAATAAGGAAAACTCTCTCTTGGGATGCTCTTGGGATGACATTGGAAAAATGGTACTTACCTTTTAAAAAGTTTAAATGCCTTTAATGACCGTCCTGCCGATACTTGCGTCAAGCTCTTTAGAAAATTTCCGTGAGGTGTTTTTTAAATTAATACAATCTGTATATGGGGCAAATAATTTAGCTAATGACTATAAACGTTTTATTACTAAATTTAATTTTTCGACAGCTACTTTTTAATAAAATTAATTATTCAGTAGGTTAAAAACTAATTAATTACGTTCCCAAAAGATTTGCATGTCACTCTTAAAAAATTCGGAGAATATTGCCAAATTCTTTTTACTCGGGAAAAAATTAGGAAATTAGCAATTTGCCTGAGGAAAATTGAAAAATTCCTTGCCGATTTGATCGGATTACAAAGGATTGTTGGAATTTGGAATCAGGGATGCGTTTTCGCTTTCGCGTTCACATAGTTTGTCAGATTTGGTTCCTCTGCTATTTCACAATGCGAAGCATTCGATTTGCATGAATCTCGACATCCTCTCCTGAGTTTCAATCGGTCTCTGTGTGAAATCGAGTTTAGGGTCGATTTTAGAAGGATTTCAACAGTGTGCGAATGCGTCATTCTCAATTCTATCTTCCTTTTTTTGAAAATCGAAGAAAAGAGAGAGAGAGAGAGAGAAAGCGAATATATGTATATTGTATGTATACAGAAAACGTCCCAACGCTGGGAATAGAACGGATGAGTAAGCGGAGACTTCCAAGTGGAAAAAAACTACAACGTGAATTTGCAAAAGTTGAATTGCCTTGTATAATATCCAATTAATGTCACAACATTTTCGCAGAGAACTTGCCTTCTTGAATCTATTTCAAGTTTCCTCTTTATATGTACACTTGACTCACCTGTTATGGATGAAAAGTTTTGTATTTTCGAATAATTTATTTATTTTCCTTCTATAATACTTGTTTTCATCATCGTCAAATTAGTTTTAATTTTAGTTTTTAATTCTGGAATGTTTCATTTTTGAAACTACCCGCATCTGCCGGGCAATATAATTTCGTATACAATATTAAATTAAATTGATGGAATTAAAGGCATTTGAAGCATGTAGAAACTGATATTAGACATTTGAGTGATCTCCACTGCATGCATGACCACAAAATAATTTACCGTATGCAAATCTGCGTGGGCGCTCTGTTTTGAAGCGAATCGCTGTGCCGGAAACTCCGTAATGAAACCACCGTTTGCACTCCGACGAAGTGAAGAAATCTTTCAGAGCCAGATTAGTGCTTGGTTTTAGCCAAAAAAGGGAAATTCGTGAACAAATTTTAATGGACTTTTAGTATATGTATTTAAAGAAGAGAGAGAGACCTTGACAAAATTTTACTCATCGTGGGAAAGTTTTTACAGTCGTAATATTAGTCGGAAAAATGAAATGTCTCTTCTTTCTCCTTTCTCGCACCTACCTATATGAAATGGATTACAGAAAGAAAAGCAGTAAAGAGCTTGAAACAAATTGCAGTTGAATTACTTTCAATTAAAAACTGCACCGCAGGTGAGCAGACGGTCTTTTAAATTTCCCGCGCGACTTTTAGAATAAGAGGTAGATTTCCTTTTAAAGGCTTTTCTTATTCGTATACGCGGTAACATCTGGCGTTATAATTAAGGCCAAACCGCATCAACTTTTATGTACATTAATGTCATTTTTAAATAGTTGAATTTAAAATTTTTCTTCTTCTTCTTCTTCTTCTTTACGTTCTGCTCCATTATAAATTAAATTTCTCTTTAATTTTCATTAATTAATAATTCAAAGTCACATAATTGCAATTGCGAATCGAATTAACTTAAAAATGATTTATTATAAATACGCTTCAATAAACAATTACACATTAAGGATTCCACAATGGCTATTGGTAAATTGTTATATTAATAAGCCCCGTTAAACCAGAGAGGAAATGAATTTGTAATTATTGACTATAGATTCCGCAATATTGTAAAACACTCATGTACAGAGCAATTCTCAATAAGATTTTATAAAAATGCATTAATTATAATAAAATATATAGTTGATAAATTTGCATTTTACAAACTTTAAATTGGCGGTGAGCATTTAAACATAAATTAAATTCATCTTGTACTGTGTGTTTAAAAACTTGCGAAACTTTAATATCTTTCAAATATATACGTCCTCTGAAGTTGTATAGAAAAAAAACTTATAATACAAATTCTCTACTTCCGAAAGTTTATGATGAACATTCACTTTTCCATTTCTTGTTTTTTAAAAAATTACAAAAAAATTTCTGAGGGAAAGTATAGATTTGCCGCATATTTTAAAAATTGGATCTCTGAATAAATATTTTCGTATTTTATTTCTCAATCGTTTGTTTATAAACAACACTTTTTGTTATAACATATTTAACAGGCAGGTACGATGAATATTCAATTAGCCTCAATTTAATAAAAATAGTAATTTTCTAAGAGAGTATTTTTTTAACTTATGAATACAAATTTGCTTCATTGTTTAAAATTTGCAAATTTATAAAAATAAAAAAGTAAATTCATCTCTTCTTTTCCTTTTATTGCATATTTTCAAATTAATTAATTTTTAATATTAATTACATTTTCTAGTTTAATATCTAACTTTATTACTGCAAAATTAATTTTAAAAATGCGTTTTCCCCATAATATATGGTATTTTATAAAGTTTCATAAAATTTAATTTAAACATCTCTGGGATGATAATCGACGTACATTATTTTTATTTATTATTCACATTTTATAAATCCTCTTACGATTGGTACATGAATTCTCTCGATATAAAAATAATCCCCCTTTGTGTAGTTACATTTTAATTTAATTATTTGTAGATATATTAACAATATTTGTAGAATATGTATTAATCCCTTGTTAATAAAATAACACATATGCGAAAATTTCAATTTGTATCGAAAAATTATTTAAAGTTTATTGGCAATGTGCATTCATTATTAAAATCTAAGCAAAGTAATTTTACAACAACAAAAAAAAAAAAAAAGAATTTTCAAAAGAGTAAAATTTCTTTGCATTTATTGTACAAATATTTTCACGTATACAATTTCAGTTATTTCTACAGCGACCCGTAGCGATTTGCAACATCATTGGAGCATCGATCATAAATACAAGAAAAAATCTTTTCATTACATATACAATTATCCAAAATACAGTAATCCTAATTTTTTGTTATAATATAAAATATTAGAAACCACTTTGAAAATTTTTTTAATATTTAAATTTGAATGATATGAATTTTGTTCATTCGAATGAATCGAATGAATCGAATCAATCGACAATCGAATTTAAAGAGTTTAATTAAAAAATTTTCTTTCTTAAATTGAGTGGTAAAATTTTCTTATCACTTGGAAAAATTCTTTAATACAAGTATACCATTTTCTGTTTTCTGTTCGCTTCTTATGTTACGGAACAACCCCCTGGTTTCCGGTTTCTCTGTGCAGTCCTTCAAGGTAATTTACCTTTTCCATTTTCTAAACTTTTCTTTTCTTTTTACATATATATGTGATAACTACCAATAATTGTAAAAAGTAAAGAAGAACAAAATTTATCTTCTATGTTTTTTTTTTGTTTTCACTAAACTATATTAACACATTTTCAACTATTTTTTTTTGTTTTCATATCCTTCCACACTATATTTTCTCACATCACTGATATTTCTATGTTTTTTTTTCTCTAACATTTTTCTATCGTTCGCCACATTCTTTCGTTCATCCTCGATATAAATATTTCTTATGTTATGTAACAATATATTTTTTTGAAAACTATTGCTTCTATGCACATTAGAGCCAAGGCACGGCACGACGTTTGGCTTTTGTGACTTGAGGATAATGAAAATAATAATATTAATAAGTCTCTTTTAAAAATAATATTTTTTGCATCTTCTGTAAATATGATTGAATCTTACATTGCTTTTATCACTTTCCTTTCTACTGTTCCAATGCTTTTTGCACTGTTTCTAATCTTTATATACTTTTCACACTTTCTCAGAAAGAAAGAAAAGAAAGAAAAGGGAAAAAAATTGTAACAGTTATGACAAATTAAAAACAGTGTGATTATTATATAAGCGGAGTGTATTAAATAATAAATTCTCGTTGGACTCTGGATACAATTAATTAGTAGGAGCAACTATTTCTTGGGTAAATTGTTTACTTCTGCGCTAATAAAAAGAGAGTTCTCTTCTCTTTGAACGCATTATTATTAAAATAGAATAAAAATTTTATTTAAAAAATAAAAATATCCAATTATTATTGGACCGCGCTCCAGAGTCCAACGATTTGCAAATACGCAAAAAAAATATTTTATAGCAATAGGTATTTTCAAAAAAAAATTTAATTGTTTTTCACTCAATCTTTTAAAATAAAGGTTTGGCAATATTATTTTTTTTTAGAAAAATAGTGTCTAAAAACCCATTTCATTGCATGTTTATTATAATGGTATAAAATTTCGACATTTGCATGGTGTTTTTGAAGATAAAGGAATTGAAAATATTACAAATTCTTTTACAACTTGTCAACTGATCAATGGATCAGAAATAGTTCTTTGAAACTAATTATATAATAAAAGAATGCTTACATAATTATTATATGGGCCTATTAGAGAAGGAATTTATATATTATTATTTGTGAATGTACAAGTAAAAATTAAAAACAAATAAAATATTTAATGAGAAAAAGAGAAACAAAACAAAGTAAATGGAAACGGGAAAGGAAGTAGGTAAAGGAGAGACTCGACTGAGGAAATGAAAAATGTCGTGTCTCCATTGAAAAATCTCAGCGGCGTGAAAGCCTTCTGCAAGTTTTCTTTGCGAATGGAGACACGGTCGAAACAAGAGTCGTAAATTTCCTCGTTGCACTAGGGACACAATATTTCACAAAGTGAGAGAAAAGAGAATATAACCTTATCCCTCTCCCTCAAATTTCTAAATCTTTGATATTTATGAGACAAATTCAATTTGCATAAATTAATTCTTCGTGTGTTTGAAAATGATTCTATGTGCGTAATTCCCCTTTGGAAATAATTTTAAGATTGTATTGATCCTTTAAAATACCTTTGGGTTTTTAATAAAGTTTCACCTAAATGTAAAAATTAGACTCAAAAGAATTATTAAAGAAATTTTAATACAATGTCGGGAAATAATTCACATATGGTTTGAATAGAAACTTTGAAATTTGCTGCAAACTTCCTGAAAAATATCATGTTGTGTGTGATCATACATCAATTTATGACATTCATAACGCATTAATATTTAAGTACTTTTGTTAGAATACGATGACCTTTATGAGCACGTTAAAATATACTTTAAGGGCATCTGCTCTCATTATACAGCCCACGATGTACATGGCTTAGGTCTCAACATATCGTAAATCTCTGACGAAATAACAAACTGCACTCTAATTCGCGAAAGCTGCATGCAGATTGCAGACGAACATGCGCCCATAATAATATCTATGTAAGCAGGAAAAAATTATTTATTCTTCAACAAATCATTTTTAAAGCAATCGTAAGCATTTTCCAAAACTGCATTTCGTGACAGAATCTTATTGTTCCAATATTTGAATCGTAAAACAAAAATATTTTCATATTTGAGAAATTATATCGATACTAGGACGTAGTACAATAATTGCCAAATATTGCTTCCTCACAAACGTAAAAAAAAAAAATAAAAAATCTCAATATGAGAGCGCAAAGTGTTGATGAAATTGAGACAGAAATTTCTTCCTCAACTTTGCGGTTTTGCATACTAGTGAATGTTGCATGTGAACATGATGAGGCACCAGTCACAATTTTCAAACATTCATGTCATTTTTTTGGAAAATTATATTTTTTAATTCACATCAAGTCGTTACATTGTAAAATTGCTTCAACACTTGAGAAATTACAAGAGAGCATAGTATAATTTTTGCAACACTAAACTGTAAAGATGGATTTTACATTCTGGAAACTGTGTGTAAAGTGTATCTTTTTATAACAACGCGTAAAGCGTACAAAGTAATTTTCAGGAATAAATTAACTTTATGCATTTATTATCACTGCTTAATGAGAGTCAGTGAAAGAAGGCTTAAAATCTTACAATTTTAATTAATAATATGCACAGTTTTTCTAATTCAAGCTTTTCGAATTCTCAATTTTAAAATTGATCCACTGTACCTACCCAAACTTACAGCAATGTTGTCAATTTTACAGCAAGTTTAGATGCTTTTTTTATTTCAAAAATAGTGCATAACTAATCATTTTTATATTTATAGCAATAAATGTAAATTTATATTTCATTTATAATTACTATTGAAATAATTTAATATAAAGAAGAAAATTACCAATAATCGTAATATATTTACATTTTTATTTACAACGAATTTACAATAATTACGAGCGAAAATCTTACTCTCTAAATTGACTAATATGTATGGGAGTAAATATTTTTATTGCTTTTGTCAAAATCTAAAAGGAATCTAAAATCCAAAAATGTTTTACAATGATCTTTTCTTGCAAATATATGAAAACATTTTTTTGTTTAAATATAAATATTTTTCAAATAATAGAAGTGATTTTTAATGCATGAATCTTTCAACACGTTGCCGTGAAATTGAAATTGAATTTGATGCTGAAAAAAAATTGGCGATAGAAATTTTCGCTGTCATTGTTGATAACGTTATGAATTCACAACTGAGATGCATTTTCACTCATCCGTGCATTCCATCATGGTCACAGTGTTACCATTCTTTACTTCAAATATTATTTTTTCCCAAAAAAAAAAAAAAAAAAAGAACTGATACATTTATTATTTATTATATCTTGACGGTGTGAAAACTTTTATATTTAAACGTGCGAAAATTGAAAAAAAAATTCAGTAAAAGTATTTCTGTTTTATTTAAAAATAAAATTATTTTTATCCACGTCTTATTGCATAATAGAATAGTTTTTTTTTAATAAAAAAAATAGATTTTTATTTATTAGAAGCGATTAGAAGTTTAGTATTAAAAAGATATAAAAATAAGTTATTATAAAAATATATAGATGATAACTAAACATATTTAATTTAAAAAATTTTTCTTTCTGTGATTCTTTATAACCTCTGTGCAATTATTGTGTATTTACTTGTCTTACTGTTTTACTCTTATTGACTCAAAATGTTATTCTGTGGTGCTTTGCATGTCTCTATTGGACTCTGCATGTCGTGTAGGGCATCGTAAGTATTTTATTAAAAGAAAAAGAAACAAACAACTTATAATATAAATACACGTTCGCGTAACGCAAAACGTTTCAGTAAACTATTCTTTTCCAAATTTTATTACGTTTGAAATACTTAAAAAAAATGTCTGTTTGTTCGATTCTGTAATGTATTGCGTTATAACATAAATAGGTATAGTAAAATAAAAAAATATATACTAAAAAGGAGCTTTCTTAACACACAGTCTTATTAACAATACAAGATTACTATTATTAATTATTTTCATTGTACAGACAATCGTTCTTTGTCTACCTTATGTGAAAAACTTATTTTTATGGGAAAATTAATTTACTTCCTGATTATTTAGAAATAATTGTTACTAGAAATTTATTAAACAATATTCTTTGAAATGTAATAATTAAACTATTTTTGAAATTGAATTTCGAAGTAAATTAATTTTGAAAATTTGTTTAATTATAAATATGAGAATTAAAAAGGGGAAAAATAATAAATACATAGTAGTGTCTCCTACATTTTCGTTTATCTTGTTATTATTCTAATTTCTTCTTTTTCGACTAACGTGTCCGACGATTAATCTATCCTGTACTCTGTATATTACTTTCCGGCTTTCTACTAGCACCTGAAGAGATTAATGAGAGAAAGAGAAGGAAAGAAAGAAGCTAACGAGTGCGAGAAATTAAAGTGACACAAATGCTAGCAGTGAGGAAGCATTTTTTAACGATTTCATTTCAACGCTGTACTTTTTTCATTTTGCAAAAGTTGTGCTTACAGCAACACTAATGAAGGGATTTTCTCTAATATTTTCTATACACTTTGTATATTTATATCAAATAGTCACAAAATTTCCAACGAGAATAGAACATCTTTATATAATAACTTATTAAATCTATTTTCGTAAATTTTTCTTTTAAAAAAATCTCTCTTCCTCTCATGGCTTCTTCGATAAATTTCCTTGTAGTATTCCAGCAGGAAGACTCGCTTCATGAATAATCTTACAATTCGTCTCTTTCTTAGGAGAAAGAAGATGGTCCAGTTTACAAGTTCTACAACACGATTATCAGGAATGGAGATAATTTCATGAACTCCATGAAGGGTCAACCAAATATTACTCTTTTCGCTCCTAGCAATGCAGCTTGGGATGTTCCGGAAGTGAAGGGAGTTCTCACAGATTCAAAACGTATTGAGGACATTCTCAATTTACATTTAGTTCGTGAGCCATTACCTTTGGATCTGATTAAACAAAAAAGTGGACGCTTGGTAAGTGAATATTTGTTAATATTTTGAGAAAATTTAATTATTATGTCTAGATTTTCTTTTATTTTTTCTATATTTATATCGAAAGTTTCAGACACAATTTTATCAGCATAGCGTTTAAAATTTAATCAATGATTTAATCTATGTTGCCGGACAGTAATGAACGGTTAAGTTGACTTTAATCACTGTTTGAATTTTAATCAGACGATTCGGTCCTTAAAAAAAAGAACTTTAACTTTATTCTAATTTATGTAGAGTCATATATATATACTGTGACGTTTTACCGTCTATATTAAAACTTTTTTTGTATCCATGGATTTCAAGAATATTTTCTGCGATTTTTTATTTTTTAATTTGGTTTCACTTTTATTTTTTTCCCCTGTTTTATCAGAATTGCCACAGGTCAGGGAAATGGATTTATAGGAGAATTTTGGTTATAAACTCTAAAAAAAAAGTTGAATTTTGGAGAAGTTATAAATAATAGCAATTTTTAGAAGTAATTGAATTTTGAAAAGATTTAAAATTCAAATCTTTGGAAAATATAAATTTTTCATACTTTTAATAATTAATAGTTGTGTAGAAATAATTTTTTTTCAGCAATTTCAATTCTAATGAAATTAGATGTATTTAATATTATTTCAAAAATTTTAATGCAATTCTGTAAAACAATTTAATTATCTTAATAAATATTAAAATTCTTGCCAAAAATTTAATTATTTTAATAAATATCAAAATTCTTGTTCGAAATTCAATTATTTTCAAAAATTTTAATAAAATTTTTTGCGAAATTCAATTATTTTTAAAAGTAATAGAATTCTTTAAAAAAATTCAATTTTCTTTATAAATAGCAAAATTCTTCACCGAAATTCAATTATTTTCAAAAATTGTAATAAAATTCTAGACAAAAATTCAATTATTAAAAAAAATTGTAAAATTCTACTCAAACATTCAATTAGGGGCCATCCATAAACCACGTAGCCTCTTGAGGGGGAGGGGGGGGGTCAAGCAATTGACTACGACAAGAGGAAAAAATGGCGCTAATATATGTAATAGCGTACTACATGGGGGAGGGGGGGGTCAAAATTCCCCAAAAATGGGGCTACGTGGTTTATGGACGGTCCCTTATTATCATAAAACAAAAATTTACTAGAATTCAATTATTTAAACTAAAATTTTGTCTAAATTTTTTCACAAAAAGCAATTATTTAAAATTTTTTTTTTTTAAATTCTTCATAAAAAGAAATTTAATTATTTTCAAAAAATGTTTGTAAATATTTATCTTCCCAAACATTCAATTATTTTGATAAATATCAAAATTCTTAACTAAAATTCAATTATTTCCAAAAATTTTAATAAAATTCTTTGCGAAATTCAATTATTTTCAAAAGTAATAAAATTCTTTGCAGAAATTCAATTATTTTCAAAAAATTTTTGTAAAATTCTTCCCCAAAATTCAATTATCTTTATAAATAGCAAAATTCTTCGCCGAAATTAAATTATTTTCAAAAATTTTCATAAAATGCTAGACAAAAATTCAATTATTAAAAAAAAATTTGATAAAATTCTACTCAAACATTCAATTATTTTCATAAATAAAAATTTTACAGGAATATTCAATTCTTTAAAATAGAATTCGCCTAAATTTTTCCAAAAAAAGCAATTATTTTAAAAATATTTTCTAAAATTCCTCACAAGAATTGAATTATTTTCACTGAAATTCAATTATTCAAAAAATATTAATGAAATTCGTCGAAAGAATTTAATTATTTAAAAATTTCTTGGTAAAATTCTTTACATGAAATCAGTTTTAAGAAATGTTTAATTATTTAATATAAGTTATTTATTTTTGTATTTAATTTAAATAATTGAATGCTCTTAAAATCTTTTTAATAAAAATTAATAATTCGTATTAAAAATCGTATTAGAACATTTTTTTGAGTATCTTTTAATTTTTAAAGTGAATCAGAAGATTCTTTAGAGTCAGAAAAGAAATCAAAATTTTGTCTTAAAATGAGGGAAAAAGAAAATTAAATTTTTAGTGGCAACCCTGATTTATATAATTATTATAATTTTGGTATGTCAATTAAAAAAGACATGTCAAAATTGCTAAAATTTACGTGAAATTACACTATTGTGGATGCAAAAATTGAAGGACCGTAAAAAATTATATTTTTTATTACATTATTTCTTATTTCATTTTTTTCAAAGGTGCAATCGACCAGAAAGGGAAATCACGGGGTAATTAAATTTCGTTAAAATCCCTTGTCTGTATGAGTGCGTATATAATACACTTAAATTGCAAGATTTTTCTATATGAATCCTTGGAACCTCTTTTCATTGCCTCGTCGAAAGATGAAAAATTGTTTTCTTTCCCACGTGAAAAAGTTACCGGGAATATTCCGGGAGTGGAAATAAAAACCGAAAAATTCTTGGAAACTTTTTCACCTGGGTTATTGTATTAGATTGAAAAAATTCTGGTTAGAGATAATATTAATATTAATTAATTAATTATTATATTATATATTAATTAATATTAATAATATTAATTTTACCAAAATTTTGATTAATCGAACTAGAATTGTAGTATAAATACTTGTATAAATATTAGTTGGTAAATTCAAGAAAAATATTAGATACAAATAATGTGTTTTTAATTATTTGATTGTTAAGAAATGAGGTTTACAAGAAATAATTCCAAAGTTCTCCATCTTTGGTCCTCATTGTAATGCACCAATTTATTATTGCATGCAAACACAATGAAAAAATTCTTCTTTCTCTGAGCAAAAGTCTATTGCTTCTTAAAGTTTAAATGATTCTTGTACATGTATTGTATTTACTGCTTTAAAAAAGGTTATCACGCACGAATTGGATAAATAATAATTATTGATAAAAGTAAAATCACATACCCATATATTGTGCTAGTACATTTTCATGGCTTTCAAAGAAATGTTGTAAACTATTAAAATTGATTGCTGATGGACGGAGCCAAAGAGTTTTCTAATGTTAAATAATGCATCGTAAACTTGAGAAAAAGTTTGTCATTGAAGAGCGGAAGGAAGTTAAACAAAAATCAAGCAGGAGAACGAGTAATTTAAAGAATAAGAAAAATATAGAGGAAAAGAGAAAAGTTGAAAACCACTTACCAGAGAATTGGCCTGGAAGGTGGAAAATTAAACGAAAGCCCGCTTTTTTATAGTCTCACGGGTTTTTGCAACGTTGATTGGATGATAATGAGCCTATGGATGTGCATAAACGAGGTGCTTGGACGTCGAAGAAGTTGCAAAAAAAGAAAAAAAAAACCTATCCTCTTTCCATCCGTTTATTCTTTTTCACAATTTCACTTGATGAAAAGCCGTTATAGTTTTTTTACCAGCAAAGGCGCGTCTTCAATTTCATTCTTCAATTTTTATCTTTTGCGAAACATTGTTCATATTTTAATCTCTAGACAAAGTGCTTAAAATTTTTCTCATTCAAATGAAAGAATAATTTTCCAGAAAATTTTTAAAAGCAAAATATTTTTAAATTCCGAGAGAGAGAGAGAGAGAGAGAGAGAGAGGGAGATAAAAAAAGAGACATTATAACGAAATGTTAATTTAAAAAAAATACTTGATGAAAATGAACTGAAATTCAACAGAAGCTTGACGTCATGAACTTAATTTACTAATTGTACCATCAAAAGTAGTTTGTGTGCTCTAACTCCACTCTCTTCTATTTATATCACACACATTTCACAGTTGTCTGCGAATTATTGATTCATTGAAACATTAGTTCCTTTATTTTCATTTTAAGCTTAAGCAGTAAAACTAGAAAAATATTTCGCATTCTGATAATTTAAACTTATTTCGAGGAAAGAAATTAAAAAGTATATTTATTTTAGAGCTAGTCGGAGACTGTGATGGAACTAATAAACATAATTTTCAAAGAGGACAAATCCCGGCCAATATTGTTTCTTGTTATAATCTACACATTTACTATTGGGAAAACCAACGTGATAGCCATATTAATACATTGTAACGACTTGTAATTAACAAATCGATATTAACATAGTCCCGCCAGACTCTGTTTGATAATCCGCAGCTATAAATTAATTATGCATTTTCATTGAAGAGCGGATTATTTAGGCAATATAAGTAAATAATTTACAGATTCTACTCGTCATTTCCATATTCTAAAATAAATAAAAAAAAATCATCGTGTGTAATACATAAAGTAGAATGATTTCAACCCCCATCGATAAATTTTTTTTTAAATAAAAATTTAATCCATTCCATTCGACTCGAAGTTATGGATATCTTCATGTTTTGTAATAATTTAAATTTCCATAAAATTTTTCCAAACAAAATTAAATTATTTACAAAAATTTTAATAAAATCCTTCCCAAGAATTCAATTATTTTTACAAGTCGTTACAAGTAATAACATTTATCACATGAATTCAATTATTTTAAAAAATTCGTTGGAAGAATTCAATTATTTTCAATACAATTTTAAATACATTATTATTCTAAATAATTGAATTCTTTTTTTAAATTTATAAAAAACGATTCAAATAACTTCTATTAATTCAAAAAATTATAATAAAATCCATTGGAAGAATTTAATTATTTTTAGTAAAGATACCTATGTAAATTAATTATTTTTAATATAATTTAAAAGAAATTATTCTAAATACTTGAATTATTTTTTTTTATTTTCGTAAATTCCTGAAAAAAATTTAATTGTTTACAAAAAATTTTAATAAAATCCTTCACAAGAATTCAATTATTTTTTCAAGACTTGTAAAAAATCGTAATAATATTCGTTTTAAGAATTCAATTCTATTCATAAATAATACAATTTTTCATAGGATTTCAATTATTTGTAATAGAATTTTAAATAAATTCCACGAAAAATGTAAATATTTTCAAAAATTTTCTGCAAGAATTCAATTATTTTCATAAATAATACAATGCTTTTTAGGATTTCAATTATTTAAGAAAAATTGAATAAAAATTTGTCACAAGAATTCAACTTTTTTTATAAATAATAAAATTCTTCACAGGACTTCAATTATTTAAAAAAAATGTAATAAAAATTATTTTCAAGAATTTAATTATTCTCCTAAATAATAAAATTCTTCGAAAAATATAATTATTTTTAAGAATATTCAAAATTCAATTATTTTTGAAAATTCTTGCTATAATGCATTTAATATTCAACTATTATGTAAAATTTCAACTGTAATTCATTTTTAAATCAATTTTTATTAGAAATTCTACAAGAATTCAATTACTTAAATAGAAATAAAATGTAAAAAAATAATTTATTGAATAAATGAATTCAAAATTAAATCCTCATAAAGAATTTTATCAACAAATTTTTAAATTTTTGAATTTTTTCGACGAATTTTTAATAAAATTTTGAAGAATAATTATACATTTTTCGAGAAATTTGATTAAAAATTATATTAAAAAATTAAAAATAATTGAAATTCTATGATGAGTTTTATTATTATTAATGAAAATAATTGAATCTCGGTAAAAATTTTTGGAAATAATTGAATTTTTGTGAAGAATTTTGATATTTATCAAAATAATTGAATTTTTGGGAAGAATTTTACAAAAATTTTTTTAAAATAATTAAATTTCTTTTTACAAAGAATTTTAGAAAATTTTTTTAAATAATTGCTTTTTTTGAGAAAATTTAGACAAATTTTAGTTTAAATAATTGAAATCCGGTAAATTTTTATTTATAATAATAATTGAATGTTTGAGTAGAATTTTTCCAAATTTTTTTGAAAATAATTGAATTATGCAATGAATTTTATTAAAATTTTTGAAAATAATTGAATTTTGGCGAAGAATTTTATAATAAAAATTAAATTTTTAAGAAGAATTTTACAAAAATTTTTTGAAAATAATTTAATTTCTGCAAAGAGAATTTTATTACTTTTGAAGATAAATGAATTTTGCAAAGAATTTTATTATTTTTAAAGATAATTGAAATTTTGAGGTGGGATTTTAAAAAATTTTGAAAATAATTGAATTTCCTGCGAAGAATTTTATTACTTTTGAAAATAAATTGAATTTCTGCAATCATTTGTAACTTCTTCTAAATTAAATTTTTTTTGCAGTTCTTTAATAAAAATCCCTGACTTTTCCCTGATTTCCCTGACCTGCGACAATCCTGGAAATGTTAAAATATTTTTAAAATAAAAAACTCACAGAATTTCCAGGGAGTACTTCCATGGAATTTTTCGACGTGGGCCTACTGCCGAGTTTTTTAAATCGAATCAAATAAGAAAGAAAGAAAGTGAAAAAAATGTCACACACCCTCCACGAAAGAATCAATTATATTAATCGAATGAAAGGAGGAACGAATTGGAAAAAGGCGGGGAAAAAAGAATTCTCGTAGCTTTTTTTCCAAAATGGTTGCAAAGTTCTTTCTGTGTATAGTGACCAACATGAAAAAGTAGAAATTTTATTCCAGTTGAAAAGACTGCGAGCGGTTGATTTGCATTGAGCGCAGCGACGCATCCTGAGCTATATGCTAATTTTGTCGTCAAGATATGTTTTATGTCGCTTTCATGCTTCATATGCCATGCTAATCTTTTCTGCGATGCTGCTGCATGGGCTGTGTTAAGTTTGAGGAAATCAAAATTCATCGATAAATATCGTCATTCTCAGCAACGAATATGAAAACATTTAAAGAAGCTCTCTTTCAAAAATTGATTATCATTTTTTACGAGTGTGAAAAAATTTAAATACTCTATCTCTATGTACCTACATGTCTTTTATTTTCTTCTTGAAAGCAATTTTATTTTCTCTTCTTTTCTCATATCTTAAAATTACACCTGAAAATGTAATTATTTAATAGCACTAATTTTATCTAATTTTATCTAATTTTATCCCAGGTTCCGACAGCTGCCGACAAGAAAAATCTCTACTTCAACGTTGCTCAAAGTCCATTTGGAAATGAAACAGTAACAGTGGAAGGAGGTGGAGTCAATGCTACAATAATCACAGCCAATATTGCTGCCACTAATGGAATGATTCACATTATTGACAGGGTGCTTGGAATTCCTTACACTACCGTTCTCGATAAACTTAAATCAGACCCTCAATTAAAGTGAGTATCATTTAAATATTAAAAACTAATATTTCAAATATTTGAACTATTTTTGAAATATTCTTCAAGTTATTCAGTTAAAAATCGTAAATGTTAATTGAAAATGTCCTCGGTAAGAGATTAGACTCTTCTCTTTTGAACGGAGCACATTTATTGCAGATTCTGAAAAGACTTTACCATGAAATGATTGCGAATTAGTTACCTGCGTAATTTGTTCCTGTATAAAGCTTAAAAGTCTCTTACCAGTCTTTGAAATTGGTTTTGGAATTGAGATCGTATTCACGATTCGACATTCATACCATTCGTAGTGAAAAGCTCTCTGACATCACGAAGCATATCGATAATTGAATTGAACCGTAATCTCTTTTCTTTAATAGCAATCTGTCATCTTCAATCTTAGATATATTGTATTTTATCCGAGAAAATAGATTTTTTTGCCCCCCTCCCCCCCAAAAAAAAGATATAATCAAGTAGACTTTGAATCATCGACTAACTTCTCTGTAATTCTTGTTTACTTTCGTTGTCTAATTTAAGTCGAAGCGTGACTGCGTAGAACAAAAAGAATTAAATTAACTTTGGGTTTTCATTCATTTACAGGGGAATCTAATTAACTGTATTGAGTTACTCTAAGAGTTGTAGCAAATGTTTTAATCTTTTCTTCCAAACTCTATTTTCATGAAGCACAAATTTTTAATTTCTACAATTTCTACAAAAAAATAAAGATCCTAGCAAACTTTTTTGTTTTCGTTTATGTTGTTAGAAGAAAAAAAAAACTTTTTGATTGTTTTAATGTTTTAAACGAAAAAATGATGTTTCATTTTTACTTTTTAAAAAAGAAAAAAAGAATTTGCTGCTCCTTATTTTTCTCTCGTGATTGTGCACATCTTGTCTCAAATTCCACACGCGTTTCACTTCACATTTCACTTCGTATTTCAGTTCACATTTCACTTGGAAATAAAGGAAGAAAAGAGAGAAGGAAAGAAAGAAAGAAAGAAAGAAAGAAAGTACATCGTGTAATACAGCAATTCGTTTCTCGTATGCGAAGTACTTAAATAATTGATTGTTTGCTTTTACTCGCTCAGTACTTTGAGTCGGAACAGAGAGTTGGGGTGAATGTAGTGCAAGAGAACTTGTTTTACAATTATAATTGATATTCAAGAGTCCTCACAATCCAAAACCGAATTAAACTTGAAAGAAACAGTTGTTAAAGCCATACTGGAAAATTCCTGCGCAACTACAAAAAATTTCGGTTTGCGAGAGTTACCATACTAAAATATTATCGAAATTGTTTTTACAACAATAAAAAATATAATGAAAATTAATTAACTCAAGATAAATCTTTCAAGATGTGATAAAATAATTTTTATTATATTTTTTATTGTAAAAACAATTTCGAGAATATTTTAGTTTTGAGGTATGTATTGTGTCACCATCCTCCTTAACGGCGAACACCAACTCTCCATCAAGGGAGAGAGCCGATTAAAGGGCGATCATCCTGATTAAATTAAAGAGATTGCGAAATTGATTCCACTGTCTGGCTTTTGAAAAATTGTCGATTGTCAAAAAAAGAAAATGTTTCAATAATAATTTATTTAATTTATTAGTTGGTGAAAAAGGTGAAAAATTTTGATGAAGCAATAGTAGACACTAAATGGTAGTTTATTTGGAAATGAGCTAATTGAATGGGCAGAGAACTCATGGCTTTGTAAGAGCTATCGGGGAAGTTGGATCAAGTGCATATCGGCGAGTAATATCGGAAGGCAATGCGTTACCCTATGTTGTCATGGATATAGACGTTAGCTTTAATGACATTTGTTACTCGATGCGCTAGATGGATGGTGACGTCAACGTTCCATCACCTCATCCCAATTCTTGTTCCACCATCCGATACTGGTCCGATAACCAACTGCTTGTGCTTTTCAAAATTGCTCTCTTGATCCTCGATTCAAGCCAAATACATTTTCTCACTTTACTATTTCAAAACAGAAGTAAAAAATAATTTCTCATTTCGAGTGTTTATCTCATTTTGTTGATTATGACAAAAATTATTCATTTATAATTCATTTATTGGAAAATTAAAGAAAATTACTCAATGACAATAATTAATAATTTAATGAATGAAAGCTTTGTCAATTACTTTTTTGTAATCAACACAGTTTGGTCCAGTGGAGAAAATTTTCGAAAAAGCTTGATATTGTCAAATAAATTACTTGTTCTTGTCTAATAACGGAAATTTTTCATAAAGAAGTGTTTTAATGTACATGTTCTTTTTTTCAGTTTGACATATTTACTAGGAACGAAGAAAGATTTCAATAGCCAGCTAAGTGACACCAACAAGAGATTCACTTTCTTTGCACCAAAAGATTCGGCCTGGAAAGCAACGCAAATCACCTATCCCTCTACCTATAAGAAACTCTTCATGGATGATTTCAGTTATCATGTAAGTAAAAAAATACTATTGAATAGATATAATAAAGACTGAGTTTATTAAAAAAAAATGATTTGCACATTTAGGCGACTCAAATTTTGCAAAGACATCTCGTGATATCGGATCAGCACTACACGATGAGCCAACTTTTAAATATGAGTCGCAATGGAACAGTGACTCTTTCAACAGCCAGAGATGTTCTTCATCTACGCATCAGAGAATCTAGGAGTGGTAAGTTTATTTTCGTTTTTATTTTACAAATCAACATTCTGTTTTAACTTTTAATAATAATAATTCCGTTTATTCTCACTCGGTATTATTTCCCTTGGAAAAGTGTACCAGACGTTAAATGAAAGCAAAAAATGATCAATTAATAGACACTTTATTATTTCACAAAATTCCTCTTTCACTATTGTCCTTTTGCATTACATTTAGACGGAAAGAGAGATGAAAACGCAATTGTTCCAAACCCTTCCGGTCCCTCCGGTGAGTTATACCTTAATGAGATTCGTGCTTTCACTTTTTCAAATGACGAATCAGTATAATATTTGCTGCATTATTTTTGACTTTTGAGAAACAATTCTCAAATAAATGAATTAAATTTCATCGCGAAACGCACAAGCGCACTTGACTATTTTATTTTGCTCTTTTGCTCATTTGTATTTTTCACTTTCACGTAAATACATGCAAACATTGTTTTTGATTCAATTGATCGAATTACGATAATGTAAGCATGATTCAGTGATAAAGTCACAACTTTATCAAGAAAATGTCAACTGCGGTGCTATATAGTTTTTATTATTATTTTCTTTTTTCTTTTTTTTTGACATTTGCAAACCTTCCCTTGGACTATAGACAATCACGGGGAAGAATTAATAATGTTCCTTTCAACCACCATTTAAATGCAAATTCCTTGATTACCACTTGTGCTAATTACTATGTGCTTTATTCTACAAGGGTAAAAGAGCGCTGAATATATTTTCAAGGCATTTCACTTGTCAGTTGCTTTATACTTTGCTGATAATTATATTGCGAAAGAATAATTTATGTATACCTTATTATAAATATATTTTTTTTAGTAATGGATATCGAAAAAAACCAATATATATTTATTGCTGAAAAGTGTGTGTTTGCAATTTTTTCCTTCAGTGCTAATATGTTTATATATAAATTGCCGCAGAATTAAAGCTGCAATTTTTGTTTTTACTTCATAAATACTTTGCTTCCTCATGAAGATTTTCAATTTAGGAATATTGTAAATTGCACAGGGTTGCCACATGTCACGAAAGTCAGGGAAAAGTCAGGGATTTTTAGTAAAAGTTCTGTATTTTAGTAAATCCTAAAATTGAATTTTTAAAATTCATAAGTAAACTCTCAATTTTGAATGAATTTCATTAATTATTAAAAATTATGGATTCATAGAAGAATTTTAGTTAAAAACACTAAAAAAAATTGAATTTTTAAGAAGTTAGAAATATAATTGCAGAAATTCAATTATTTTCAAGAGTTATAAAATTCTTCCCAGAAATTCAATTTTCAAGAATTTTAATTAGATTCTTTGCGAAATTCAATTATTTTCATAAATAACAATATTAATCACGACAATAAAATTATTTCCAAGAGTTAGAAAATTCTTTTCGGAAAAGAATTCAATTATTTAAAAATTTGTTGATAAAATTCTTTATGAGAATTCAATTTTAACAAAAATTCAATTTTTCAATAAATTATTTATTTTTCAATTTAAATAATTGAATTTTCGAATAGTCGATTTATTATTTATGAAAATAATTGAATTCTTGCAACGAATTTTATTATATTTTTTTAAAAATAATTGAATTCTTTTGAGAAATTTTACTACTTGTAAAAATAATTGAATTGTTGCGAAGGATTTTTATAAATAATTAAATTTTTTTTTTAAATGTTATGATAATCTAAATTAGTATAAAACATGAAGATATCGATTGCTCCGAGTCGAAGACTCGGAGTGATCGATTTCTTCATGTTTTATAACAATTTTTCAAGTTGTTTAATTTCGAAAAGGTTTAAATTTGAATCTTTTGAAAATCTTCATTTCTATGGAAAAATAATGATGATTAAATATTTATTTAGAAAAGAAGTTATTGATTTTTTGCCGATTTTTTACGTTAGTTTCATTGAACCAGAGTAATTTTGTATGAATGTATATTTAATATTTCTTTTTGTTTAACATTATTTATTAAAAGTTATTGATGTTTTCGAATAATTTTACATTTAAAGAAATTTTTAAATAAATGTAATAAAAAATTATTTTAGAGTATCTAATAATTTTTTGTAATATAAGTAAAAATAAATAAAATAAAATTTTTAGAGTGAATCAGAATATACTTTAGAGTCTGGGAAAAAGTCAAAATCAATCAGAAAAAAGTCTGAAAATGAAGGAAAAGTCAGGGAAAAACAAAATTATATTTGTGGCAACTCTGTTCCATTATTGACATATTACAATTATAGGATACAAAAAAATAAACAAATTGTAAAATTCGAATAAAAGCTTTGTGGATTAAATGGAGTTTGAATGATTTCGGTAAAACAGTGCTTCCATGAGGAAGCAACACATAAAGCAGCACGGCTTATGAAATTTAGAGAAATGCACCACATACGCGCGCCAAATAAATTATTGCATGGTATCTTGAATTTTATGAGGTTCTTAAATTCCTGTTTTATCATGAATTATTATTATGTTTAGGAAAAACAAGTGGAAATTTTGTGTTTGCGCTTTATTTATTAGCAGCTTTGAGTTTTTGTAAAAATGAATTTTTCTTTTTAGGCTACATCCTGGAATGGCAGGGATTATCGATTAAAGTCGATCGCCCAGATGTGTCCTGTACCAACGGAATTATTCATGTCATTGATGGAGCCTTCCTTAAAGACAGTGATGTTCGAGTAACTGGAGGATCTGCTGCTTTCGTGGCGACATGCTTGCCTCACATTTTAGTTCTGCTAGTGGTTAAGTGGCTCTTGTAAACATGACTTGAAAACTTTAGTTACAACTAAGATATTTTAAAAATTAAATTAATCGATTCCGAATTATAACAAGAGATGGGTTTAAAAATATTAATAATATATAAATCATCAGACTCTCTGGGAAAGAATTGAGGAAAATTCACGATAGATAATTTGACTATTATTTATTCTCCATTATGTTTCATTTCAATTTTTCTCAACTATATATATATAAAAGAAGAAGCCAAAAAAGTGAGAGAGCACAAATCAACTTTTGTAAATTGTCACTTTTATAAAATGAAAGTCAAATCTTTACGATAATTGTGCGATCTCTACTTTTCTCGGTGCATTCGACACACATGTTACGTGTTTAACAAAGACTGAAGAGAACAGTCTTCAAAGAAAGAAAATAATAATTCCATAATTTATTATCTAATCGTTGCAAAGTAAACTCGACAACTTACGGGTTAGAGATTGAAGCTCGTACCAAATAACGGATAGTCGTACAATAATAATAATTTAATTATATAGAAAAGAAGTAAACTGAGAGAAAGTAACTTTTGAGGGTGTTCTTTCTTCGAGATCAAAAGTATAAGACGAACGTATTACTTAAGTTTTATTTCATTTTATTTCATTTTATTTCATTTTATTTCATCACCGAAATTCAGGAATTAGACAAATCTGTTTATAATACTCCGCAATTGAATATTTTCCAGTAACATTTTTTTTATTGTATACGAAATCAATCTTAATTTATTAATACTGAATCTCTTTTAATTACTGATGCTGTTTTAAAAAAAAACCAATTTGTACTCTTTTGATTAATTTTTAATTTTAATACTCATTTAACATAATTGATTTTATAAAAAGAAAGAAAGAAAATTTATCACACTTACAAAAAACATTTTTTTCGAAAGAAAAATCGAGAGAAAAGTTGTTTGTAATTATTCTAGTGGGATTTTATTGAAATTAAAAACTTCTCCCTATAGGTATATGAATACCTATTATATTAGTAAAAAATAAAATAACGATAAATACATTCCAATCTGTGAGTGCAAATATTTTCTTTCTTTTTAATAAAAGAAAAAAGACAAATCTTCAAACGCCGAAGTAAACTCGACTTTCTGAGAATGTTAAGTATTTGAAAAATACTTGACTTTTAATTTAACAAGAGATAATGAAAAGTCGATGTTATCAATCTACACATATAATCTATGCATAAAAATTATAAAGAGATATGTATATTTAAAATTGAGAGCTATACACTAAATAACTAAATATGAAAAATGGAAAAATGAAAGAGGTAATCAGATGATACTTGTTGTTGGATTGTATATGATATATTAATATTAACTATATTATATGTATACATAAACTCTAATTACCACTGTTTGCTCGTTAGTAAAAAAAAGAAGAATAATTGAAAATAGTAGACCTCTATCTCTCTGTATACATAGTTGTGTTTTAATGTTCAAGCTTGCTATAAAACGCGATTTCACGTTCGACATGGGAGAAGAGAAACAATTTTTGCTAAGCTCGCTAATCGTTCGTCTCTCACCAACATATTTAATAATCATTATCATTGTTATAATATAGCGGATATGTAGCATCGATTGGCAAAGCATGTTCGACAAAGAAAAGGCTAAAAATTACACTGAAGAAAAAAGTGTCCCTTTTTTCGGTGTACAAAATAATTATGCCCTTAATCGAGTCATTCTTTATATTTATTTTCACTAGTCTCAACTTTTAGACGAGTTTTTGCGTATTAGTTTCCAAATTTTGTTCAAATAGAATAAAATAAAATACACCTTACTCTAAATAATGAAAAAAAAGAAACATCAAAATAATACATATAATGTTGAAATTAGAAATACAGATATTAATTTCACCAGAGTAGAATTAAAACACTTAAATCTAATTAATTAGTTTAATGATTTGAAGTTAATCTTTTCATCACGTCGTGCCATTGCCATTGTATGTACATTTTGTAGATATACCGTATTGAATAAGATAAAAAACGATTTGCCAATAATGAAAAATTGGTTATCGTCGAGTTCAGTTACCGGGTGTCGTATAAGTCAAAAAGCAATCAATTTTTTTCCAGGGTCTTATTTCCGAATTTTCAGCCTAAAATTTCTCTTTCTCGAAATGAAAAAATGGAAATATCACCCTTGAAAATAAGAATGCAGATTGTTTGTTTCTCTAATATACCAAAAAAAATGATTAAGTAAAATGACACACAAGAGTTTTTCGATATAGGAAACTCAATAAGAAGAAATAATTATTTTTTAAAATTGCATTTGTTTTTCTCTCAGCAACAGAATTGTTTATTAATTATTAAAGTAAAAAATTTCTTGAAAAGAAAAAATTCGTCAAGGTATATAAATTATTTATTTATTACTTTTTTAATTTATTTTGCGCATTATTTCCGATAAGATTTTTATTTCAATTATAAATTATCTAGAGTGATATAGAGAAAAGAAATCAAATCCTTAAAATTTTTACAATCATATGTATATGATCCGTAAATGATGTCCATTTAAGAAACAGTGCGAATGAAATGATAATTATTGCATATTATTGTCAGTAAGTTCAATGAATAAGTTTTATGATTAATAAGCTCATTGTAATACCAGCTGAAATATTTTGTTTTGGTATGAAATCGCTCCTGCCGCATTCACGATTTTGTATGAGCTGATATACACCTTTAGCTTTAAATCGAAAAGCTTTTATATACTTATATACTACATACATACTTTCTACCGAAGTAATGTAAATATGTAACTCAGTTTTAAAGAACGTTTCTTTTTAACAAAAAAAAGACAGAGGCGTTTAAATACTATGTATTTAAATGGATGTGGCAGCGACTTACTCATCGCAATCATGATTCTTCGTAATACTATATAAAAAAAACTAATGGTTAAAATTTATAAAGGATTTAAAGTGTCAAAGAACGTGATGACATGCGCATTCAATTTTAACGTAATCTATAAAAAAAGGAAAAACACATTTGATAAATTTTAATGAGCTAACGAATTTGTGGAAATTAATAATATAAAGAAATTTATTACTATAAATTTAATGAAGAATAAAAGTATTGGATAAAATTTGTTGCTTCTGTTTTATGAATAATTTAAACACTGAAATTTTAACTCATACTTTTATTTTTCTTCAAAACTTGAGAATTATTTATTAGCTCTATTATACAAATATAAAATAAAAAGAATTTATATATGTAAGTTATAAAGTAGGTGAAATAAATCAAATTTACATACCTTATAAAGCTATTTGTATAAAAAGTATTAATTTTCAATATTTTATAATAATAGATAATGTCCACTTTTGTGTTTCTTATTTTAATTTTCAGTTTAGATTTATAATAAGTATTATTAGGTATATAAATATTATGTTCGTAATAACTGTAATGAATTTCCACTTTGTGCTTCTTTACTTTTTGTAAACGTGTATGATTTTACGAAGAATAAAATGAAAAATAACATCAACTAAAATCTTTACAGAAAGAAAAATCAATCGTAGTAATAGTAAAGTTTGATTTTTCTCTCCCTGTGTTTAATAAATTAAATTTTAATGTGACATAAATACCTATTATGTTTAATAAAACTCACTATTTTATTTTTACAATTTTTTTAACAACATTTTTATTAAATAAACTTTATTTGTACTGCACTCAATCAGAGGTAAATTTATACCTAAAATAATTATATTTTAGTAATATAGTTGTAAATATTTTGTATATAAAAAAGTAAATATTCAATAGTTGCAATCATATAATTTTCACTGTATTTTTATAACAATTTTAATCAACAATTTTCTAAAATTGTGATAAAATAAAAAATTATTAAATTGTCCTGCTTGGAAGTAAAAAAGTTACAGTTGACAGAGGATTGAAAAGAAGAAAAGTTACTCTGAAAATAAGAATTCAAATATAATAAAAAATAATTAACTATCTTTCTTTCACATTTGTGGCTTCTCACAAATATTTTTTAAGTGCACATATACATATATATTCAGCAATTACCTGGTTTGAAGATAAATTCACATTATTTGGAGTTTGATAAGTCACTAAATTATGATTTTCAAATACAACACGAAAAGATTCATTTAAAGAAGATATATTACAGGTTGTTTGATTTTTAATATTGATTGAATTAACTGATTTTATTCCACTTGATAAAAATATCCCATGAATTACATAAATAGTTATCAAGCACAATAAGGTGTGGTGTTTTTCATTTTTCATAGACTCATTCATTGCAAAATGACATTTTTCATTTTTAACTTTTACTTTTAACATACTTTGGCTTAATCAATGATTAATTAAGATATACTGGTGACTTGTGTTCTTAAAATGTCTACAAAGATATTATCAATTTTGAGTAATTAAGATTTTTTAAGTGATTTATATATTGTTATCATTTCATTTAAAAGCTAATGCATAAAGATCTTTTTGATAGAATAAATATTAACAGATTTATCTAAAAAATACTTATTAAAATAACATTTTGAAAAAAAGCGCTTCTCATATTTTAACCAATGCGGTTGAATTTCGTGACGCATGCGCAGTTATTTTGACGGACTCGGTGTTGTTTCGCGAAGCATAAATAATAACAACATCATATTATTTAAGTAAATGTAATTTTTATAATTTCCTGATTATTGTCTTATTCCAAACTAAATATTAATTCTATCTTTTCTATTATTTCACAAAAATTTGAATAGATTCACCAACTTATACACGTATTTCGTTAACCTAACCTAATATGGTTCTGTGATATAATGAATTTTATTAAATGCTCTCTATTTACGTTTATCTAAAATAAATGAATTTGTTAAATAGTTAAATAAGTGAAGCTATTTATTTCTTCAACTGAAAAAGTTTTTTTTTAGTTAAACTGAGAAGAAAAGTCTGAAGTCATCATCATCAAAATGCAAAGTGAAAATGAAATCAAAGTTAAAATTATGTCAAAAAATGGCTGTGTAACAATGACTCTAAATTCACTTTGTCAAATGCATCAATTTAAAGAGAAATTAGCAGACTCAGCTGGTATACATGTGGATTCTATTGTTATTAGTAAAGGTTATTTAAAACCAAGGGAGATTGTTGATTTTAGTGTAGCAGATGCTAAAATCTCAGACTGCAATATCGTTAATGGTGATATATTTTATGTTAATGAAAAACCACCTGGAGAAATAAAACGTGAAGACGTTCCGAGAAATGAAGTAGTAAATACTGAAATATTTGGTGAAAATAATGGAATGCTATTGAAAAAAGTTGTTCCCGGAGATAATTCGTGTCTTTTCACTAGTATTGGCTTTGTTATCAACGGTGAATATAAATTCTCTTTTTAAATAATTTTATGCAACTAAACGAATTCGTCATATTATATCTTTGCTTTAATTCCAGGTAAAGTTGAACCAGCTTGCGCTAATTACATGCGAAGCCTAGTGGCAAGTGCAGTAGAACAAGATCCAGACGAATTTTCTGAAGCCATCCTGGGTATGCCTAACGCCGAATACTGCAAGTGGATCATGGAACCTGATGCCTGGGGCGGAGCAATAGAATTATCCATTCTTTCCAAGTACTATGGAATGGAAATAGCTGTCGTCGACAGTATAAATGCCATAATCAACAGATTTGGCGAAGATCATCATTACCCTCTTCGAGTTTTTCTCATGTTTGATGGAATTCATTTTGATCCTCTCTACCTGGAACGAGATGTAATGCTACATCTTTTTTTACTTAAAAAAGACAATGTACATGTTTCTAAATTAGTTACAGTATTTATTTAAATTTTATTCTTTCAGGGAGAATCTAATCAGACAATTTTCCAATCCGACGACAATAACATATTACAACAAGCTATCGAATTGGCAAAGGAAGCAAACTCTAGTCGTCAATTTACTGATATTCAAAAATTCACGCTCAAGTGTTCGGACTGTGGTGTATTCTTTAGTGGACAAGTAGCCGCCTCAAATCATGCCAAGCAAACAGGTCACACTAATTTCGGTGAGGTAATGCCTTAGCATTTTTTAAAAATGCGTTGGTATGCAGCTCAAAACTCAGTCCCAATGTATCACAGAATCTTGTACAAACAGCATTTAGTTTTCTCGTAATACTTTTTAATTTAGTGGTGAAAAACTATAAATAGATTCTAATTTCTATAAATTGTAAAAAGCAATTTTTATAATTTAAGTCTTTTTAAAAAAAATTTCCGTATTTGAAATCGAAATATTTAAAATTTGCCATTTTACAACAAATTTTATCTGAAATCAAAACTTAATTGAAAATTATTAAACAAGTTAATAATTATTTATAACGTTTGAAAAAATAATTCAATTAGAATGAAATTTGATATTTTGATAATTTAATACAACAAATTCATACATTGTAAATTATTTATACGATTATTTACATTTACTTTTAGTGTCATACATACAAATAATGAATGAGTTAAATGAAATTACCAATTAGAAGTAGTTATATAATATAGATAAAAGAAAAATTCGGTTGTCGCCCCTAATTTACTATTTTTAAATTTTATTCAAAATTTAGTTTCTTGAACTTTTTTTTGGAGAATGAATTACCAAAGCAATTCAACTTTAAAGATTTTTTTCATTTTCTTAACAAACTTATAAATGTTTGTTTCTCATATGTTTCTCTTCTTTTAAATACAGCACATTAAAATAATACTTTTTGTATTATGTATTATTTTTTAACAATTTTTATATATGAATCTTGAATCAATTAATTTAATTTAGAAAATTGTAATACAAGTTTAGAAAGAGTCCGATATTTTCAGCTGACGATTGGTCTGTAATAGATTGTTTATAATATTATTGTGCAAAATATCTTATATGATGTACTCCATTGTAATAAACTCGTGAGATTGAAGAGAGAAATGCGTAATTTTTACATTAGCCTTAAAAAAAGTCACTGATTTTAAAAATTGAAATATCAACAGTGGTAGATATTACAGATACCTATCTACCGTTATGTGGCGCTGTTAGCAATTACTGGAGAAATCTAAACTAAACCTGAACTAAACCATCATTTTGCTCTTTTTAGTTCAGTTTGACTTGTATATGTAATGAGTTCTGTCAATTGCTGTCAATAAGCTCTATTTTAACACTGAATTTTCATATATATTTATATATGTAAAGCGTTATTGTTCGGAAACTTTTTTTTTTACTTTTGAAGAAAATCTCTCGATCAAATTGTGACATTGTCACATTGTCAGTTGAAGCTGCGTTTTTGGTACAGAGTTGTAATGTTTTGTGGTGCCGAATCGTTAGTAAAATGTTGATAAATCCGTTGTCAACGGTTGTCACTCCATCCGAAAACAATTTTTTGACAAACAGGTGAAGATGGAAGATGAGGCAGACATCAGAGAACAGCTGTTTCATAATACCGTGAGAGAAAATATTGTAAGTAAATATAATTTCTTTATCAAAACTTTTGTTATAATATTTACCAATGATCCAAGTGTCATAAATGATCCGAGGGAAACAATTTTTTCAAATAGATTTTTATCCTAATTATTCAAATTTTCATGCCAAAAATACATTAAGCTTTTGGTTTTTGCAAAAATTTGAGGTTAGGACACGTCATTCTTTTAATTCCTTTTTTGAATTTGTTATTTGTTGTATAATTACTGTCACTTTATTTTAAATTGATTTTTGTAAATAGTGAGTACTTTTTATTTACGTTACATAGGTCAGTTATTTTTTTTTTTTTTTTTTTGAAAAATTTATAGTCAAATTAAAAAAACTGCTTATAAAATGTGTGGTATAATTTGACTTATTCCTTAAACCAGATCAAATTCTATTCTACGCATTTAAAATCCTTCGTTTAGTTATATTATTTCTTGTCATACATAAAGAAAAGTGTCAAGTTATATCCTTTGTACGTTTCTTATCAATAAATGTAGGCAGAATCACTTTCGAGAAAAATTCTTCTTTACAAATGTTTACTCATGTATCTACAATATTAAGATTGAGTTTTAGTTTCAAAGAATAAAAAAACAAATCTATTCTAATAAAGCGCCGTTATCTCTCAGTTTTTGATAGCTGACCTCGACATCTAAATTGCAAAGAAGAATCAGTTTCACACGTCAATCCTTTATACATATAAACAAGAATTTGCTTGTGTTAGAAGAATAGGTTTGTGTACTCCAATAACAATTTAATTTGCTATAACTATTGTTTTCCTCTACAACTGGGCTTGGTCACACAGTATTGTTTTCAAGAATCTAATGAGCTTTAATTCTTTACGATCAATCTAAAAAACAAATTTGAATTTTATTTTTTCTATCAAATAATTAGTTTTAATTGATTAAAAGAGACTAAATTCTTTTTTTAAAATTTTTATTATTTTTTTTTTATTTTATTTTTTATTCCAGATATATTGACTTTGCTTTCTACTTTCTAGTGCTTCTTGCGCCAAATTTCTAACTATTAATTGCGGTATTTTCTAATAAATACTTAAAAGTACAGTTTTGAGGAAAAATAATTTTTTTCATAATAATAAGTAGGACAGTAAGTTTAAGAATGAGGAAATAGATAAATTTTTTCAATACGAAATATTCAATAGAAGTTTGTTAAATTTGTTTTGCCATTTACATAATCTCTTAAAAACAGTTGGTTACATACAATGGATTTTAGTAAAACCCGGCAAGTGCAGATTATAAACGGATATAGAAGCCAGTTGTTGATCAAACTTTTCCTATTATACGAATTTGTTATTTACAAAAATTTTTGCGCGTTTTTTTTACTGGAAAAAACGAACATAATTCGAAACTTTGCTGTTTATTTAAACTCTATATTTTTATAATTTACAAATTAATAAATCATAGATTAAAAAATATATTTTTGTGTATTTTTAAATTTCTTTAGGAGAATTTATTTGATTTCAGTTTTCTGCTCATAACTTGCTTATTACTTTATTGTGAATTAAAAACCATTTTTTATTGAAATGGAGAAAATTGGGAAGAATTTGTTTATTAATTTGTTTATTGAAATGAAAATGATTTTGAAGTTTATTTGTCGCGTTGCATGCCAAAAACTGAAACTTGCCATTGACTGTATTCGAGAGAATGTCATTGCACTGAAAGGAATGTATACTCATTGCTGAAGAAGTCTATATTTACAGATATTCCTACTCCTCTTTCTCTTGTTGTACATCTCGAGCTACGCGCTGATAGCGAGATTCAGGAAAAATGATAGAGAAGACTATCTTTCAGTAGATGAAGATGAAGCGCTGGTCTACAGGATTAGCCTTTGGCTCTGCTCTTTCTCTCTCGCAGTGTCAATAGGAGCAACTTTATTGCTGCCTCTCTCCATTGCAAGCAATGAGGTTCTCATCCTTTACCCCAATAGCTACTACGTCAAGTGGCTTAACAGCTCTCTTATTCAAGGTAACCACATAACTGTGTTTGTGCATATTTACAAAGTATTACAAATTTTTATTTTTTTCTACTTTTTTTTCTTTTTATACTTTTTCTTAAATTACGAATATAAACCACTTTTTTCTGTTTACCTACAGGTCTATGGAATCATGTGTTTTTATTTTCGAACCTCTCCCTCTTCGTCTTCCTTCCGTTTGCCTACCTTTTTACAGAATCGGAAGGCTTCGTTGGATTCAAGAAGGTAATTTATTGTTTATTGAAAAAAGGAAATAATAAATATTCGAGTTGGTAATATTACTCTACGTTTTAGGGAATCATGTCCCGAGTTTATGAAACTCTGACAGTTTTATGTCTACTGGGAATGCTGGTATTAGGAATGACTTACGTCATGTCCTCCCTTATTGACTACCAAAAATCAAATCTTCACACATTGCTCAGTAAGTAAAAGAAAATACAGATTTATTCTTTATTTACGTTTGCTCAAAGTTATAATATTAATTTTTAAATTTTATTTCCAGATTTATGGAGTTACTACTTACCATTTTTATATTCATGCGTTTCATTTGTCGGAGTAGTCATGTTATTGCGTAAGTTTTACAATTTTGGGTAAATTGGAAAAGCTCTAGAAAATTATTTTAATTACTTGAATATTTAATCACTTATTACATTTTATCAATACTTTTCAGTATGCACACCAGTTGGATTTGTTCGACTCTTTGGTGTTGTTGGTTCATTCTTAGTCAAGCCGCAGTTTCTAAAAAATCTTGATGAAGAATTTTTCGCCTTCAGATTAGAGGAAGACTGTTTGAAAAGAAGGCAAGTATTGAAATAAGTTTCACTTTTCATAAGAATTTTCAGAAATATTAATTTTCTTTTGAATTAATTTTTTAGACTTGAACAAGCTAAAGCAACTGGAAAATCGTACGTTTCTCCAGTTCCAATGTCACCTCCCGAGTGTGATGTATTAGCGCATGACGACGAAGAACTTCTTTGTCCAAATCCCGGTCTTTTGAGTCTCCGAAATGGTGCTTTACAGAAAGGCCTCACCCAAAGACTAAAAGATATTCAGAACCGTAGAAAAGTTCTTGACACAGAGAGAAGGACTTGGTGGGTTCGAAGAACTCTCGTTTACCCTTTAGCTATGTTAGCTTTACTTATTCTTTCGACTACAACGGCATTACTCGCTGTTCAAAACACTTTACAATTGCTCATAGGAATCAAAGCATTACCGCTAAGCACTAGGGTTCGTAAATTAATTTCCGTTTTCTATCATTAGTAATTTTAAGAAAATCAGTTTTAATTTTGCTCTTTAATTTTAGCAATTCACGTTGGGTATAAGTTCGCTCTCGAAACTTGGCCCAATTGGAGCGACAATTGAGGTAACTGTAATTTTATACTTGGCCGCTACCAGTGCTATTGGATTATATTCACTTCCTGGTATTAAAAGGGTCCGTCCTCGATTTTACTCAACTCCACTCACGCATCTTATAGCAAATTGCGTTCTTTTAATTGTCCTTAGCTCCGCTTTACCACTTCTTTCGAGAATAATAGGTAAATTTTATTTCTCTAAACACACCCCGATTCTCACTTATTTTTATTTATATTCATTATATTTATTGTTTACAGGTATGACTAATTTTGACTTATTGGGCGATTTCGGAAGCATTGAGTGGCTTGGAAATTTTAAATTAGTCTTGTTCTACAATTTAATTTTTGCTATTGCCACAATAGGTTGTTTAACGACAAAATTTACAGCGACAGTTCGAAAAGAAATTTACGCCAGGCTGCGAAGCAGTGTCATTGGAATTTTTAAACGTGATTCTAAAAAGAGTAACTTGGGGATGTTTTCTGTAAAAGAAGACTGATTATAATATAAGCGAATAAAAGAAATAGTATATTTAACACAAAAAAGCAATAACGAGTATATAAATTATATTTTTCAATGAATTATGAAAAAAAGAGTTTTCTACCCATGCATTTCTTTGCGAAATTTTGGGGATGCGTTGTGTCATTAAGTTGTGAAAAAATGTCAGAATTAATTAACTTACGATATGATAGCTATTTTAATAGTAATTTATACAGAAATAAATTATTGCATGACTAAAGATTTAGCTAAGGGCACTGATAAGAAATTTTTTTTGTTTTTATTAGGTAGTTTCAAGATTATACTTTTATTCAAAATTTTACAACTACGAATCAAAATTCCATTCGATTTTTAGTGAACACTAAAATTAATAACGAAACAAGTATTTTTAATTCTATTTTATGTTTGTCTTGAAATATTGAAATTTACACTCTACTCTCTATTATTTTTCAGATGGAAAATTTTTCTTAAGTGTAAATGACGTTTAACTTATTTAAATTTAATTTGGGCATTATCGCTATTTTTAATTAATTTATTACTTTCGCCATCAACACTTTTCATGTATGTAGTTTCAAAATTGATGTATATAATAATTATTGGAAATGGAAAATGTATATGCTTCATATATATCGACTGCACTTTGAACGCCATGTTCCAGAATCAAGATCATTTATCTTATCGAGCGTTTTTAAATTAAGTTTAAGTAATGAGTAGATTTATAAGATTTTGATGATATTTTACAAGATTTAATGTGATATCCATCTTGTCAACAAGACAATATTAGTATATATACACTGGCACTAGTATACTCAATTTTTATGTATCTTGTTAACGTTATGCATTATCTTTGTTACTGAATATTGATGTACACGAATTTATTTCAATAATCAAATAAAATGTGCATCTAGGTAATGTATCAATATGTATTGCAAAATGTGAGAGTTTCCGTGGCTTAATTTTATAACACTGTGTAAGAAATTGTAAAATAATAATTAAAAACCTAGCCCAAATTACCAGTTAATACAAAATTGTATTATTTTGTGAGCATGTCACTTCTATGTTTATACATAAATTCTAAGTGACCTTAGATTGTATTATATTTATCTGTAGGCTAATTAAGATAAAATTCTTCAATATATGTAATTTTCAACATATCCAATAAAAATTAAATTAATAACATAATAATCAATTCATAAAAAACGATTTCTTTATATTTCAAAAAGTTTTATTAAATAACACTCTCATAACATAATTTTGTATATAAAGGAAATAAAAAAGTTAAAATCCAACAACAGCTTGTACTTGTGCCTCTTCATTTTTCTTTTTATCACTACGTCTTTCTTTTATTCTCTTCAAACCAAAACTAAGTAAACATTGAGTAGTTTCACTGCACGCCATGCCTGGTCGAATAAGTTTATAACATCCTGGTTCACTTAAGTCAACTATAGTAGATCCAAGTTTTCTCTTATCCCTCAAGATTGTATTGTTGGCATTATCATGAAAAATACCACCCAGATAAGGCCACAAACTTTTAAATTCATCTGGATGTAGAGTACTCGGACAATTACTTTCATTCGCACTTGTAAGTGCTAACGGTTCTCCAATATATTTAATGACACATCGTAAAAAATCCGAATCGGGTATTCGTATACCAATGGTTGAAATACCTGGATTCAGTTCCGGATTTAAATTATCGGTTCGCTTTAGAACAATTGTCACGGGACCAGGTAAAAGTTTTTCCAAAAGATCTATTGATAAATGAGAAGCTTCACCCCATGTATTTATTTCCGAAATATCACTGACGCAAATGGAGAGAAATTTATTTTCATCTCGACGTTTTATGGCGTTTAGCTTCTGAACAGTACTTGAATTTTGAGCAAGTCCTGTCAAGCCGAAAATAGTATCTGTTGGTACGGCTATAATCTTAAAATTTTTAATTAACTCAACTGCAATTCCAATACTTCTGTCGCCACCGCAAAACCAATGTTGACTGTCATTTGCAGATTTTAATTCTTCTACAGCCGCCTGTCTAATATCCTTCAATGGACCAATGTAATCCGGATTCATCATCGTTCTCTTGATATTATAGTATAACGGCAACTGCAAATTCTATAACAATGAAAAAATTTCAATAATAAACAGTTCATTTTAGATAAATTCATATGAATTATTATTTTAATTTTATGACCTACCTTTATTCGCGCCAATTGTGTCCACATTGCGGGTTGCAACATTTATAAAATGTAGTCATCGGTTCGTCAGCAGAGCGAGTTTGAATTTGCATGAAATATGCTCGAGGATGAGAGCACTTTGGACACCGTTCTTCTGTAGAATCAACGTTCTCCCAAGCAGCACTTCCTCCTAAGACGTCGTCAACTTCCTTTAGTTTGGGATATGATCTGTTGCTGATTTTTTTCGAAACGTTGAATATATACGGACAAGAGTTGCAAGCGAAGCGAAGACGGTCCGAACTTTCAATACGTATTCTATTCGAACAGTTGGGACAAAATAGTAACATTTTTCAAGAATTAATCTTGAAATGGAAAATCTATTTAAGTCATCTGCAATTAAGAGGGTATTTTAAATTAATAGTAATTAAATTTCATTCATAAAACTTTGTAATACAGTAAAAATCATTCAACACCTATTATACATACCTAAGGCAATTTGAAGAATTTGTCAACATAAATTAATATTTTTAAAATAAAGTTTCAGATCTTCCACGTTTTTTAAAGTCAACAAAGTGCACTCATGGCCCTCATGGCATTAAGTTATAGGTTATGTTATGATAATTTCATTTTATACACTCACTCTACGTTCTATTAATGATTTAATAAACTGTTTTTTAGAATAACAATAATTTAAGACATCTATTGTTTAACTATTTGGTACCACTTTGTACTAACCGTCATAATAGTAACGTTTGTTGGAGACTAGAACATTACTTATTGACATTTATTTATTATTCTATTGGTGTGGTTGGGAGCAGACAGCTTTTTGCACTCATGTGATACTCTGACAAATTTTTAGTTTTTAACGGAGTAATAAAAATCTTTGTGACATTATTATAGTTTTTCCATTCTTACATTACAAAATTTTAAATGTAGAAAACTTTTACAAATTTCTTATTATTAGAATTCTAGAATTAAATTATATACAACATTTATTATCATATTACATCATCTAATTTTTCAAATGTTTCCCGGCGAAAGTGGCGCTCCCACATCCGCATCCGGTTAAATTCGTTTCATTTTGTTCTTGTGTTCCATTTCCATCAATTTCCATATTCCACATATTCCAATTGTTAATTGGTATTACTTTTTTGTAGTTTCTATAGAATTTGTATTTTTCATAAAAAAAAAATATAAACTACGTGATATGATACGTATTAAACAAGTTTAAATTGTGATACGTGAAAGTTATAGTTTATGTGAAACGTTGTTTATAATGATTAATGTGTAATAATAAATATAACACTGATATTTAACATCTCTCATAACCTCAATAACAGGCCACAATGTTCCAAGGGTGAGAAGTGCTTTTATTGATAAATATAAATAAATTAATTGTTTTTTGTAGATTATATGTTCATCACTACTTTTAAATTGATAAGTATAATTTTGTATAAAGCAAACAATCTGTGTCGTAAAAGAATGAGAAGCATGTTTTTCTTTACACTGTAACTTTTCTGTCGCCTTACAATTTTGATAGATAATTTTAGAGAAATCTGTAAAATTAAGCTATAAACATAATTTTACAGATTTTTATAAAAAGACAAATCAATATTGCAAGTCTACGAGACATTTTTTTACAGTGTTAATAATTAATATTCATAATTAAACATTTAAATAACAAGAAATTTATAGTATTGATGTAATGTTTAGCGGGAAATTAATAAAAAATTCCATTTAAGATTGATTATAAATTTATTAATGTTAAATATAAATACTATTAATTACACTCAGCAAAATGTAATTTACGCCTTTATTTACAGGTGCAAGTCTCTGTGCTTTGGTACATTTCGACCTCAACAGCTGCATAAAAAATGTGTTAGTTCACTATCCAAATCTGAAATCATACAACGAAGGAATGTCCTGTTCAATGAGGAGAAAAAGAAACAAAGAGCAGCCATTGGTAGGATAGAGAAGATAGAAGTGAAATATTTGTCACCACAGGCGGAGGCGACTTTAGTGATGAATAAACACATTTCAACACCCTACGACTGTACGAAACACATATCTTCTAATGTGTCAACAGTTGCAGCCTTGGCAGTAGTCGACGGTAAACCCTGGGACATGAATGAACCATTGGTCAATGATTGTGAGTTGAAAATTTTAACTATGAATACACCGGAAGTAAGGGAAGTGAACAATGCTTTTTGGCGAACGTGTTCATTTATTCTCGGTTACGTAGCAAATTCTGCATTTAAAGACAATGTTGAATTGCATTTACACAGCTTTTTGTATCCAATCATAAAAAGTGGAAGTTTCACCTATGACGTTCATATAAATCTTCCCGAATGGATACCAACGCAAGCTGAACTTTTAGCAATGTCTGCATTATTTAAAAATGCCTCAGAAAAGCAGTGGCTTTGCGAAAGGTTAAAAGTCCCTCCCAATGTAGCTTTAGATATTTTTCAAGATAATCCTTTCAAGTTTAAGCAAATACCAAACATTGCTGAAAAGAATGACAATATGGTGACACTTTATCGAATAAATGATCACATTGACATTAGTAAAGGTCCAATGGTAGGAAATACTGGCATCGTGGGCCGTTGCTCGGTCACAGCTGTCCACAAATTAAAATCAGAAGACGAGAGCGAGAATTTATATCGTATTCAAGGCGTTGCGATACCCAGGGGCATTGCGATCAATCACTTCGCATATGGAATTCTAGAGAAGAGGTCTAAAAAATGGAATCTTACAAATTTAAAGTGGAAATCAAAATCGGAACAAGAGGAGGGGGAGGTTAAACTAGAAGCTGCTGCGTCGCAATGATAATTTTTAAAATAAGATTGTGTAAATAAATTTTCAATACTAAGTTGTAAAGTTTACAAATTTTATTGTCTTTGTCACATTCAATTTATCACTATCTGGTCATTTTTAATCAAATTATATCAATTATATTAAGGGATTTTGTTTCTAAAATGATTTTTGAAATCAAGTTTCATTTTTAAATTGCATTATTACTTTACTTTAGTTAAAATAAACCGCCTAGTACTTTATTTTACATTCTCTCTTAACAATACTATTAACAATATAAATAATTAAACATTTAAAATACTCGATAAAAATATACACATATGCTTCAGAGTTTACCAAATTCATCAGGAATTTTTTCCCCAGCGAGGACTTCTAAGCTCCCAGATGAAGGTGCCTGGCAATCTGTTGGACACAGAGACAGGACAAGTGACGTGCAATTTCAAGTACAATTCCGGATTTTGACTATTTCCGTTAGAAATATTCTCGATATCGTCTGATTTAAGGATTGCGCGAACAGCCAAAGGTGCCAACTCTGGCGAACATCGTAATTCCACAACGATCACCAGGTCGAAGCATGGATTTATTTCCTGCACCGTTTCCTCGTCTTCCATATCATTCCCTTCGTCCATGTATTTAAATTTATTTTCATAAGCGTATTTATTCATATTTCCTAATAGTCAAAAAAATCAAATTTTAATTTTCCATTATTGTTCCATTATTGTTCGTTTTTATTATTTTTTTTTGTACAATTTGATTTTATTTACCATAATAAAAAAATTGCCCTCCGTATTCTCCGTAACCCGAGTAGGTGGACGCTGGTGGAGCTCTAGGCAGAGGCATCGGTGGTGCTTGAAGCATCAATTCGCGGTCGTAGTGACATTTTTCGAAATGATGTTCATTTACACTTCCAACGAGTCGTCGTAATCGTAAATACATAAAGCGTTGTTCGTCTCGCCACGAATTCTCATCAGCAGCACTCGGTATTTCCAAACAAGTGAACCATGCTCTCTTCATAACGTATTTCAATTTCATCGTGACGATATTACTCCTGCTTCCACGCCCCGAGGATGCTCGAAATGATAAAACCTACCGAATTAATATTTTGTAAAAAAACTAGTCTAATTATCTAGAGAATTGTTTTTTTAATATCACTAGCATCTAACCTGTCGTCCTTCCGCTAAACAATCCAAAACATCTACTGTTTTGCATCCAGATATCAACGCAGATCTAATTACAAAGTATTATACATTTAAAAAAAGAATTCGTTTTAAAAATTAGTTTCAAAAACTCCTTCCCTAAAATATCTTAAAGTGAGAATAGTTTGCGGATTGTTCACCTGTTGATTTTACGCTCAGAGACTTTTTCGAAAAAGTTCATAAATCGTTTGCAAAGGGCAATAAAAGAAGTGATACTGGCGTCGGGACCAAGCAAAGTTGCCAACGATGCAGGATTTAATTTTGCGACACGAATTATTTTATTCAAATCGTCTAATAATGATCCAGCGTAGAAGCAAAGACGGGGGAATTCGCCTTTCCTCGGAGGGTGAGTGTATCTCCACGTGACTGCCTTTAACATTTTGTACTGAGCCCTTATCAGCTCAAAAACATTGAAAGCCTTACTGAAAGCCAGAAGATCTATTTCCGTTGTCACCTTGTACCATATCATTGATTCGAGATGATTCATTACCTCCTCCAATCGGATACCAGCGGCTAGGAAAGCACTATTTAAAACTGTCGAAGCAACTGTTGAAAATTTCCTGGAAAGCAGGACGAGAGATACTAATCTCAAAACTTTCACTTAATTTTATTATTATTATTATTATTATTATCATGATTTTAATCACACGACTAAAAAACTAAATTTTGTGACTTTTAACATTAATAAAATTGTAGATATGCAATATTAAAAAAAATTTAAATCTGTAATATTGAAAAAATTTAAAATTTAGTTTCTATACCTAGAAACTAAACGAATAATGGATGATACGTCATGTAGTGGTAAGAGACGTATTATCATTTCTAATACTTCTGGGGGAAGTGCTTCCAAAGTTACGACGCGTGAATTATCGAATTTCTGCCTCTGCGAATTGCTCTTGCATTGTAATGACGATAAGGTTCTTTTTTGCTTCTTAGTTGCGCTCATTTAATAAAATTGATTACCCTTTACAAAGGGATCTTGTCAAATATGTCGCTTTTTTTTTAAACAAAATTTCTTTCGTGACAAGAAAGAGATTTCTGAAACTATTGTCAATATGACGTTGAACCGCATTTTGAAAATAAATAATGACACATTTTTGACATTTCGTCGCAAATTGTTTTATGAAAACAAATTTTTTGATTCATCATAAAACAAAAGAATGAGTTACAAGAAACAGAAATGCACAGAAATGTTGCAAAAAGTTTCAAAAGTTCAGGAATAAAAATAACAAGGAGGAATCTTGATTTTTCATCTTGATAAAATGAATAAATAATAATTATGTGAAAGTTAATTTAATTTCGATTTCTATGATATGTCGAATAGTCTTTTTATTATAATAGATAAGAAAGAAACTTGATTCACGATTTCTTTTCTTTATTCAATTAAAAGTCTTATGGATGGAAATGAAATAATTTGTCATCACACTTTCATTTGTTTTTATTTTTCTTTCTCGTTTTTTTTTTACACTGAGAGAATAATTTAAAGTCTTGAAAAATTGTGAAAAATTGCAAAGCGAAAAGCAGTAATGTAGCTTTGGTGAGCATTATGCTCACTCCTGCGTATATATAAAAGATATCAGGTTGACAAATCTTTCTCCTCGAACTATTCTCCTCTTGTCTGCCTCTATCTCTCCCTCTCACTTTATTTTTTTTCAAATTTATGTGTTGCACATGCACATACTTTATTCTTTTGTAAAGAAGCAACACTCACTTTCCTGGGCGGCGAGGAAAGTGTGCTACTGAGTCAGAGTCGCATTATTATTCTCCGATCCCTACTGAATCATTTTATTTCCACCCACTGTACCTCGCAGCTTCTTCTTTTTCTTCTTCTTTCGTCAAATAAAAACAATATTCTCAAATACTTATTGGCTTTTTTTAATTTTGAAAAGTAATTTTAATTAATAAAAAAGCAAATCAAAATTCTATGTAAAATTTAATCGTATATAGAACCAGTTAATTATGAAGAATAAGAAAAATGATCAGTATATTAACTTTCAAGCTGCGGGAAAGTTCAGCCCAGGGCAAGCTGAATTCATTAAAATTAAATTAAAATTGGTATATTGAACTTTTATAGTTGTATTTTATTTATCGGATGTAAATATAATATATTTTCAGAAAGGAAAACTCTATTCAATATTTTTGTTTATCGTAAAGATGAATCAAAAGCGAAAACGTTTTATGGCTTTTGTAAATAAAATATTGTATATATATATATATTTACAAAAAATTGCGATGATGGTGACGACAGAAATCAAGATCAAATTCTTTCCGCCTGGACGAACAGGTGTGAAAGTTTGAGCAAGCTAAAATTAATTCCCCATCAGTATAAATCCCTGCCACAAATTAGAAAACGATAAAAAACGCTACAGTGCAATTAGTAGTTCTTTCATATTCAGCCTCATGAATTTCTAGTGATGGCAAATTAATTGATAGAAAAAAAATTTACGATAATTGAAAAACAAACATCGCCTTTTTTCTTTGTATGAAATAAGAAAAAATAGTCTTTTAGAATTTATTTAGTTTAACTACTATTTGTGCAAAATTTACATATGTACAAAATGATTTATAATATCTATGTACAAAAATGAGTATAAAAATTAACAGGGTTGCTACGCAATCTGACAAACCTCCACCTGGAAATGTCAGGGAATTTTATAAACCTTGAAAAAACTTGAAAAAGTCGGGAAATTTTGATCAAAATAATCCTAGATAATTTTTCTTTTCTAAAGTTTATTTTTCAAATCTAATTTCACTTAAATATTTCGAAATTAATTTAATTTTTAATTTACAATTAAAAATTAATTGAATTAATTTACAATTTTCATAAACAGATGAACTTCAAAAGATTTTGATTTGTAATTTTGTAAAATTTCAATTTTAAATGAATTTAATTAGAAATGTATAAAAAAAAACTTAAATTTAAAAAAAAATTTTAAACTAAAATTCTTCTGAAATTAGTTAAATTTTTTAATTGTATATTTAATTGATTATGAAAAGTAATGGATTTATAGAAGAATTTTAGTTAAGAACAGTAAAACAAATTGAATTTTGAAGCAATTGCAAATTGCAGATATTCAAAAGTTAGTAAAATTCTTCTCAGAAATTCAATTATTTTCAAAAATTTTCATAAAATTCTTGGCAAAATATTAATTGTTTTCAATAGCTTTCTTCAATTCAATGATTTTTAATATCTACTAATACTTTTATAAAAATTCCCAAAAGAATTCAATTATTTTTAATACAAAGTTATTGATTTTCATCAAATTTTTCAAAAAATGAAATTATTCTTAAAAATTGTTTTTAAATTTGTCAAGAGAATTCAATTATTTAAAAATTTGTTGATGGAAAAATTCTTTATGAAAATTCAATATTTTAATAAAGATTCAATTGTTTAATAAAATATTTATTTTTGTAGTTAAATAATTGAACTCTCTAATAAATATTTGATTTAAAAATGAATTTCAAATTAAAATCTTTGAAACTTTGAAATAAAAATTGAAGAATTTTAGTTGAAAATTCCAGAATAAAAAATAATCGTAATGATGAAAGTAATTTTTGAAGAAGTTACAGTAACAAAGTAGCAAGTTTTAATTATTTTAAATTTATAAAACATGAAGAAAACGATCACTCCGAGACGAAGATTCAGAGTGATCGATATCTTCATGTTTTATAATAATATTCTTATATTGAATATCTTAATTTTGGTATAACAAAAAATAATTATTAAATATTTATTTAAAAATGAGTTATTGATGTTTTCGAATAATTTTCGTTTTAAAAAACCGGAATTCCGTTTTTAAGCTGGAAAACCTGTAAAAGTCAGGAAATTTGAACAGAGCTAAAGCGTGGCAACCCTGAATTAGTTTTCTTCTAAAGAAACAAATAAAAATACAGGTACTATTTAAATTATATGTTAAATTCTCTTTTCTAAATTCTAAATTAAATAATAACTTATTCTATTTTTGATATAGATTTTAACTGTCCACATCATTGTGGATGGTATCTTTTATCCAAGAGAGGTAATACTGTATTTTTGTGTAAACATCGGGAAAACCTGGCCTCGCACATCCGGAGCCAAAAGATGTGACACCGACCAATTGCCAAGCTCCATCCGAACCTCGACATTGCAAAGGACCTCCAGAGTCTCCCTGTGTAGTTAAAATTTGTTTTCCCCATATTATATTTGAAAGTCGAAGAATTTTGAAAAATGTTGGTCTTGAAAATAGAAATAGTAAAATACCGACCACGCAACTTCCGGACGAACCATCCGTATGACCGGCACACAAGTGTCCATCTCTGAAGAGCACCGACTGACCGTACGCTTCGGAACAGTCTTGCGGCTCCAATAAAGGAACGGTGGCTTCTAAAAGAGCATTCGAAAGTGAGGGAGATGGCCCATATCGTCCCCAACCTGACGCCACACAATGAGCTCCAGAAACATTAGCGTCCGTCTCTGGGAGGCAAATTGTCCGCACGACTTTTGAAAGTGGAGCCGGTCTTCCTAGTTTCATTAGGGCTGAAACAATCCTCGTGTCAAATGTCTAACGAACAATTAGCAATTTTACTTTTTATTATTTTGTGATTTTTGTTTTTTCACAAAAATCTTTTTATTATTATTTATTGCAACCCAGTTGGGTTAGAAATATTTATTTATACTTTGCATTGAAAAAAACAATTCCTTATTGTTATTAAATTAACTGATTAGGATGTTAGTGCGTACTAATTAGGTCTTACTAAATAGAATACCCACTAATTAGGTCTACACACATCTGACATCCTAATTAGTTATCTTAAAAACCAAATTTTATACAGCATTACAAAAATCATTTCTCTGAAATACTTCCCGCACCTCGAGAAAAAACCTCTTCAGGTACTTTTTTCAATGAAATAATTAACAATTGCTTACCGATATCGTGAACATAATTGTTAAATCGCTCGTGAAGAATGACTCGTTCAATGGGTAATCGAGCAGATCCTCGTCCACCACCGTCCAGTTCCCACTCGCCAACTACCGCCGTCCATAGAGCTCCAATCGGAAGGTTGAAGAGTTCGCTGTGAAAGTGGATATTTAACTTTTTTCATTCCACATGCAGTGTGTATTGAAAAGTGAAATTATTATGTCTTACTATTTCGAATCGCTTATTACACTATAGGAAGTGAAAAAGATTTATTTTTTATTTTTTATTTTTTTACTTGGAAATACAGTGAGCCGCTGTGAGAATCCACATTTGGTCAATTAAAACTCCACCACACCAGTGACCAATGAAACCCATTTTCGGATGGAGGAGTTGCAAGGACACTTGCCATGGCCATGATCCTTTCTTACTCGGCTTTCCATTGAAAATTCGACCTGTCGTCGGTTGACGTCCTGAAGTTGATCTCGGCGTTCTTAATGTTATCGCTGGGCAGCCGCATTCTAGTTTCATATTTATTATTTATTTTATTTATTATTTACTGTTGCCTATAAGTTTGTCCTCCCATTTATATCTGACTCCGTTTCCACTTTAAATTCGCAATTTCAAAATTATCTAAATTTTCCGATTATTTTCCGATTATTTTAAGAATATTTATAAATTAACTAAATTGGATTTAAAAAACAATCGCGGTTGGCTTATTTTCCGCATTTAAACGCGACTTATATTGAGTCAAACTACTGAAAATTGCAGAGAGTGCGAATCAGTAGTATCGGTCGGTCTGAATCAGACAATTCGATCCGAGTTGTTTTAAGGGAAAAATGTACCTACACAAACAGCATGTACTTCATCATATTTAATATATAATTTAATAAAAAATGTCCTTTTTCTGATTAAAAAGTTTAAAAAAGTTTAAAAAAGTCGACATTGAAATACTGAAATAATTAATTCTTTCTATTTACGAACTTTGGTTTCGAAAAACAGTAAAAAATTGGTTAACAATAAAAAGCGAAAGAAGAAGTAAACTTACTCGCATTATCGTCCCTGAAGGTCTTCATCATGGCAAAATTAACCCCTAACAAAGTAAAAAGAACGACTGCAAGAGCCTCCGCTCGAAGATTCATTGCAGAACGAAGTGCGGCGCCAACCTATTTTTAAGGGTTGTCGTACATGTTTCTTTCATTTATCATAAATAACTTTCAATTCACAATGGATCACTCAATCAACTGTTTTTTAAGGTAAATGACGAAAATTCCGATAATTTCGATTTTATTTGCACTCAATCAGACGAAGAGCAATTATATCACGTGATTTTATTTTTCCTAATTATCTACCAAAATAGAAATCCACTAATTTTCTACAATATAAATTTAACTCTACAACCTTAAATATCATACTTTTTGGAATATCATACAATTTCATTGAAACCGAAAAACAAATTCGTTAATTTGAAATCAATATGACATCAAGAGTTATAAATTTTAAATTGTTAAATTTTAATGTAACCGTGGAAATTTATAATTCGTTAAACAAGGATAAAATAAAAAATACATTTTTAACAAACAACAAACAACACTTTCACTAAATAAACGGCGAATATGCAGTGAACATTGCGACTGAATGTCTGCGATTCTGAACAGAGAAAAGAAAGAACGTCCACCGCTCCGTGGCGATTCTCGCGAATGATTGCTCTGTGCCGGACGATCGATCTTACAAGAGCAATGAAAGTGATCGTATTTGATGATAGTTTCTTCGTAGAAGGGATAATACAGATGCCCAATATGAATAGACCCTATTTTTCAGAGATTACAAATTTTTCGAATTCTTCAAATTCATTTTCATTTCGTTGTAAACCGAACTAGAAAGCGGGAAATAATGCTTCAAAAAGGGCATACGTAAAATTGTTATTGTAAATCTGTCATTTATCCTTAATAACTTTTTTTTCTTCTTTTTTTTAAATCGACAGTTTTACTGACCCTCTTCTTAAAGAACGTTAAACATTTGCCCCAAAAAACAGGTAAATTACCTATTATTATTAAAAAAAAAAAAAAACCACTGAATTATTCTAAAATATATCTTATATTAAAAAAAACACTAACATTTAAAAAAGCTAGAAGCCCAACTTTTTAATTAGTTTTTTATGCATTCTATTTTTACCTACATAAAATTTATAATGTGATGGGCATTTAATGGGGAAAGTGAACCCGTCTATAGGTTTCGAAATAGATTTTCAGATTCTTCACATATATTCGCTCCGAGGGACGCGCCTGTTTGATTCTCGCATCGATAAAATCAAGCAACACATCTTGATTCTTGATTATAGACTAACGTCAATCATAGATTCATAGGCTGTTAATTATAATTAATATCCAATTCAATAGAGATCAATATTCACTATATGCTTAAAATTATGCGCCTGAAAAAGAACAAGTAAACTAATGAAACTTTTTTTTAGAAAATACTTTATTAGATTCTTCAGCAATGAATATAGTGACATCAGCAATGATTAATTTTTCATTCTTATTTCTTATATACTTAATATCTAAAAAGTGACTTTATTATCAAGGAAGAGATGAACTGCAGATTTCTCTCTCGTATGTGAATGCATGTGTAGATAATTTATTAAATCGAATGACACACCTGCTCCTCATCAAAATTGTAAAAGAAAATTTCAAAAAAAACGTCAAATATAGTATTTGCATTCCGTATTCCGTTAAAGAAGTGAAACGAACTTATGTATAACCTATATATATATACACTTTTCCTCTAGGCAATATTATATGTATATATTCATTTATAATCGTATATTGTAATATAAAAAGTGAAAGAGAAAAAGAGGAGCAATTTCTGCTGGGATTAACTCGTAAAGAAATGCTCAAATTATCTTTATTGCATTTTCACTTTCGATGTGAAAATTCAAAGTTGTTACGCAGGATATGTCGAAAGAAAGTATTCAAATTTTTTAAGCGCTAAATTGCGCCTATATCTAATATATCATATTTTTATTAACTTTACAAATACTCGCTTATGTGGCATCTACAAAAGAAGTGAATAATACTAAACATTCAGGTTTTTATTCTAACGGCTTATTTCCATATAAATCCAGTTTTTAAATATTCTTGACTCTTTGGTCTCGAAAAAGACATTTTATGAGAAAAAAAATAAGTTCAAAATTTAGCAGGTTTTTAGTGTTCTTCACGTTCATACATAATTTAAATAATACACACGCGTAAATAATATATATTTTTTTTTCTAGAAACAAAATAAATAATAAATATTATTCTTTATACCTTAGCAATTATATTGTCTATTTTAATTAATCTTAATAATATATGCATTCAACAGCACTTATCGCAAATGACAACTGATGGATGAGGAGAAAATTTTAATTCTTTTCTATTATGACAAAAGTAATAATTTTATCATATCCTCTGATAGGGTATTTTTATCCATTTCTTTCTTTTTATTTTTCACGAAACTCTCTAAATAAAACTCGCAGTGATTCAAAATTTCAGTCACTTTTCGAATCAGCAGCTTATATGGAATTATATTTAATAAAGCGACGTTCTCAGTGACTCAAATTTTAGAGAGTAGATAGAGATAAGACCGTAGATTTGCATTTATGCGAACATGCGGTTTATTCCAAATAATAAATTTACCGCTTAATATTCAAGTTTTAGAATGAAACTTTCCCCATATAACTAGATAGCATTTTTAGGACACTTGGTATATGTTATATACATACATATTTACCTGTATATTATGGTCATGCAATTATTTCGCATTGTTCTTCCTTTCTGACCGTGACAATCCAAATTTCTTGTCACACTTACGCATTTATTTTTAATCATGAATGGATTTTAACTAGTATAATACAAATTCGTTTTCCGTAAAAATTAACTGAAAATTAATTAACTTTTTATTAATAGTAATTAAAAAGAATAAAACATGATATTAATACCTATTTATCAACAAATAAAGATGACAAAATTAATATTTTCAATTATAAACACTAAAGGACATATTTAAGAAATAAATATAATAACAAACCAACACTGCCATTGTTTTCAAAACTTCCAAAGCGTGGAGTGCATGTGTCATTCTGAGCAATAATAAAATGACGAAAATGTACGATATCGTTGTTCTTTTTGTAATTTTACTACTTTCCACGTAAATCCGAATGAGAAATGACTTAAAATTTATAATATGAATTTAAGTTTGTGTATGTTTACATATGATAAAGTGTAAAGTTACTTTTCTACAAATTTGTAGGTTAGGAGCCTGTGATAAAATTTAAAAAACACTGTGTTTTAATTTTATAATAATGACATCAAAGAAAAAGGAAATGCACTATTAAGAAAATATATTCAAAACTATATTTTCACACATGTGTGATAATCATTTACACACGTGATAAGCGATTGAAATTTTTAAAAAACCACAATGAAGTTTATATATTGCAAAGTTTTTATCAGTTTTGAACTTTGAAATTTACGAAATTAACGAAGCAATTAAAAGAAATAGTAATTTTACAATTACAAATGTCGCAAAAGTACTCAATTTTATTTATTCTTACACAAAAAGTAAATCATTTTTAACAGAAAAAAATGTTACTTTATACAAAAGATAAATTAACAAACATCTAACCTCAAAACTATTACATTGAAAGCAGTAAATTTATAGAAATTTAAATTCTAATTTCACTATTTGAAACTGTAATATTTTTTTTATATTTTTTCCAGTGTAGTGAAAGTACTTTCGGTTGATCGCCTCAGTTATGGAACTGGTCTTCGATTACAGAAAGCATTAGCGGATCAGCACCATAATAAATCGCTAAAAGGTCATAACTCCAATACTCTAGTTTTATTAGAACACAAACCCGTGTACACTGTTGGTATTCGAAATAAGGGCTACAGTGTGAACGATGAAAACAAATTAAAAGCCTTGGGAGCGGAATTTTTCAAAACGAACCGAGGTGGTCTTATAACCTTTCACGGCCCAGGACAGTTGGTGGCCTATCCTATAATAAACTTAAAAGATTTCCAGGGTGGTGTAAAGTGGTATGTTTGTCAAATTGAAAAAATGATTATTCGTCTCTGTGCTGAATTGGGCATTAAGGCAAAAACTTCCCCCGACACGGGAGTTTGGGTGAATGATAATAAAATCTGTGCAATTGGAATTCATGCAAGTCGATACGTAACAACGCATGGATTAGCTTTAAATTGTAATATGGATTTAAAATGGTTCGATCACATTGATCCCTGTGGAATTCAAGATAAAGGTGTGACAAGCATTAGTGAAGAATTAAAAATGAATGTGAGAATTGAGGATGTTCTTCCTTTGTTTAAAAACGCCTTTCAAGATCAATTTCAATGTTCGCTGATTGATTTTCCTTCCGGGGAAGCTTCAGAAGTACTTCGTAGCTGTAATCAAAAAGTGCTTAGATCTTCTTAAAATTAAATTTTTTTAGCCAATTTCTGAAATAAATATTTATTAAAAAGAGTTCAATTTTTGCAGTAATTGTAATATATTTGACAATAAATACATAAACAAACGTTCATTATACAAGCTATAATAAAGTTTTATAATTATAAAATATAAAACTAAAAAAAAATTATACACAGCCTATATGTTTTGATCAAACAATTATTTCGTCGAGCTCTCAGCTTTCGCATTTAATGAAAAGTAGGGGATCACTTTAAAAAATAATTGCCTAAAGCTAATTATTATATTTCGCTTTACATAATTAATCACTAAATATTACCTGTTTCGTACCTATTTTTGTGAAAGTAGACTAAATTGTTTTAATTTTTTTTTAGAAGATAGTTTCTTTTTTCCATAGCCATCATGCGTTACAAGTTTCGTGTGAAAATAATTGAAAGAAATTTAAAAACTGTTGCATAGTTTTTCAATCCCTTGACATGATACTTATTTACTAAAAAAGATATTTTTAGGAACCACAAACTTGAACAACTTTTATATAAAAAAAATGTACAAATATACTTTCTAGGCTTATAAACTTAGTATTAACTACGAAATAAAAATAATATCGATTTTTAATCGATTTAACGAAAATACATTAAAATGTATCAGTTTATCACATCTTATTCCTAATAAATATGTGAATAGATTTCAACAACATATATATTTATATCAAAATAAACATTTAAAGTATCAAAGTACTTTAATATCTAAATAATTAGTGTGATATTTTTTAAAAAATATTTTCATCGTGTAACAAATGATGACTAGATATGGACAATACGAATAAAAATAGATGCGAAGAATTCTAAATAAGATTAAATCACTGGTATAATGGTAATTAAGCCGGATAATTATTAATCTGTCAAAACGTGTAGATACCTTTGATTATAAATTTCACCCGTCAGTGTGCCCACCACGGCAACGGCATTGTGAAGAGAATTGGCGGAATCTCTAATTAACCGGATGGCTTGTTCGATATCGCCTTTTAGTTCGAGATATTGTTTGTTGAGTAAAAGGGCTTCGAGACTTTGCATAGCTTTGACAGCGTCGTTACTTGGTCTCACTTCCATCAAGTCCGAATCGTTTGATCTCAATGGAGCCACACCGGGAGAGTGTGGCGTGAACCTCAAAACTTGTTGCTCCGATTTTGAATCCGGCATTTGAGCTAAACAGTAGACGCTCACAGCTCTACTCAAATACTTACATCTGCATTGTGGAAAAATAAAAATTGATTAATTAACAATTTTCTAAAATTGGTTCGAGTAAAAAGATCAAATTTTGTTAACCTAATTGTTATCTGAGATCCTTTTCGAAGACCGATTGCTCCTAAAATTCCCCAGCCTTGACCAGCATCATCTGCAACTGTAAGTAGTGCTCTAGCTAAAGCCTTTAAGGCTCTCACTGCAACTGTCATGTTTTCACTATATTGACATTGTCTGTAAATCAACTCCAAAGCTTTCGCCCACAAAAGTGGAAGTTTACTCTCGAACGATTCCCTAAAAGAATTAACACTGTTAAAGATACTCAAATTTTACTCAAATTTAATGTTTTTAAAAAAAATTATATTTACACAGGTTTTATGGCAGTGATCCAATCAACCAGATTTGTCAGCAGCATTCCTTCTTCCCTAATATCTCTACAAGTTGGCAATTTTTTTAATAGAATCGCATAGAGTGCTAGAGGTTTTCCTTCCACTACTAAAACTCCCTCCACTGGTGGTTGACGAGGTACGAGAGTTTGTAAGACAGAAAGTACAGCAGCCCAAGAGGGTTGAACTTCTTCGACAACTACAAAGATTCAAATTAAATTTTATTATTAGTAAAATGAAAAGAAAGCAAATAAACGTAAAAAAATAATATGTACTGTAATAATAAAAATAATCTACCATTTTGCCTGAAATAAGCCTCTAAAGCAGCTTCCATGATATCTCCCAAAATTGATGGAGATGCGATCGCAACTCCTATCACTCTCAAAATTCCAACAACAACAGGATTGTTTCCTGTTCGCTTCGACAGCCAGGAAGTCCAACTTATTTTCAAATGATCAGCTAAAACTCCACTCTGATTCACAGAAAGTAACAATTCAGTGACTAACAGTCCGGCTTCTCCAGCTTGTTGGGGTTCTGAAACAGCTAAATAATCATTTTTTTTTTAAATTAATAAAATTAAATTTATTTAATTTATATATAACTTATTTCAAAACACACTTACTGCTTGTAATAACTGCTTCAAGTTCGTCAAGCATATTTGAAAGAGCATTCGTGAAAGATCGCAAATTTGTTGACAAAAGAGCTTTGTGTCTAGATGTACAGTTAGTCAGTAATTTCATTGACGATCGGACATAAATTTGTCGCTTCTTCAATGTCGTTGGATGAAAATGTGTTGCTGTTGAATCATAAGCAGCGGCGATTTTTAATAAACTATAAACAAAAGTCATTTCTTGTTAGAAGAAATTTTTTCCAATTCTAAATTCAACTATGTATTAATATAAAAACATACTTATTGACAGCTACGTCAATTGGGTGAACAACCTCATTTTCAATAGAAAGAATCACTCTTGGATCACAACTCATAACATGCCAGTTAATTACTTGGTCAAACGAAGAAGCATCTACCAAGTGCCATGCAAACTTTTCCGCTTCCTCCATCAATTTCACAGCTTTATCGTTCTTTGAAAAAAGAAAATTGATTAAAATTTCCTCATTATTATTAACTAATTAATCTATTTGTCCAAGATATTCTTACCTGTCTGACATTCGGTTCATTTGACAATTTTACCAAAAGATTCAGCAAACAGACGTGCATTCTCGCGGAGACTGTCAATGGTTGACTTGAAAGAGTTTGATTGATCCACAATGGCCAATTAATAATCGTAAAGACACTTCCGAGAAATAAATGACTGTCCGGCAAATATTGATCTACGACTTTAATCATGAATTCCACATCGCCAATTCCGGGAGAAAATCTTTCCCATGGTAAAGACAAAAAGTTGCCGTGAATCACATTCAAAACGTGATCTTTTATTGAGGCGTGAGCGAAATTGGTGACGTAAAATTGCCAAAGAAAGCAGAGGATTTTACTCGAGGCTGGCATTGTGTCGGTTATGAAGCGTATACATTCTATGAACATAGCAACAGTTCTGTTGGCGTAAGGACCATCGGCAATAATCCAGGGAAGTAAGATTGAACGATCGTCAGTGAGCTGCTGAATCCAAGCTGCCGTCGGTTCACGTAGATTTCTCGTCCAGTAGGGAGTTATCCAAGGGGCGAACATCTCACTCAATACGGGCCAAATCTTCTCACACACTGCAAACGATAATTATTTGTCAAATAGAAAATTCGAAGGAAGAAAAATTTAGAAACTTACACTGATCAGCTAATGAGCCTCTGTCCGACTGAAGGGTCAGGACAACTAAAGCGTGACCCACCATTCCGAGAAATATGGTTAAAGGTTCGTTATAAACTCGGTATTTCGGATATAAACCATACAAGCCGTATTGTAGACGCTCGTTCATGAAATGTTTGCTTAGGAGTACTGCCGTATCGTTCATCTGTATCAAAATAAATATTTACAACACTAAACAAAATTTACAATTTAAAATATTGCAGTTTATAACATACTTCTTGTCGAGAAAGCATTTTCTGTTCGGTAGCGTAACGACGAATCTCGTCTCTAACTTTTAAGACATGCATCGGAGGAGCCGATTTCGCTCTTCCACTCAAAGCTCCCAATAAGTCTCGCCAAACATCCAAAGACAAACACTGTCCTTCACTTCCCCGCAAAATAACACTCAGCACTTCGCCATAATGTTCTGGAAATTCGTGCAGCAGCACAAGACGAAGATGATTTCGGAACAACTGAAATATTTCGAAATTATTATCACTTAGTACTACAGATTTGAATCCTAATTTTAGAAAACAATTATTAAACAATTATGAAACCTCATGCAGTATTTGTTTATCTTCTTCGGGATTTAAGCCAATGTTACATAAAGCCCGTGACACTAATTCTATAAATGTTGATCTTTCACTCAGTCTCGGTCGTCTATAGTTCAACCAACTTCCAACATCAAACTGAAAAAGTAGACAAAGTTTACATTTTTTCCAAATTGAATCAATTTTTTCAATAAAAAACATAAATTAACGAATCTCACCTTGGAAAGAAGAACGAAACATAAATCTACATTAGAACCCGTTGACAATTCAACAACAGTTTGGTACATTTGTAAAAATGACGAAGCTCCACCAGCAACGGGAGTGAAATGAGGACCCAAAAGTCCTCCGAGATTAGGTCGTTCAATTATTGCTTTTAGAAGTTCTGTCCCTTGACTTTCTTCTCCACTTATAAACAGCTTGAAAAGAAAAATATCCAAAACTTAATTATTTATAGATTTCAAAAATGAAAATTAGCATCGCCAGAGGTCAAGGAAATCAGAAACTAGAATTTTTCAGGAAAATTTGAGAAAGTTACAGTAACAATTCAGTTTTAATTATTATAGAACTCGGAGTGATCCATTTCTTCATGTTTTACAATAATATTTTTGAATTAAATTTCAAAAGGTTTGAATTTGAATCTTTTGAATAATTATTTTTTAAATAAATTGCGAATGATAGTTACATTACCTGTCCTAATTTTTCGATGCACGTTGTGATTAGTTGCTTTGTAGGCGGACACAGTGAAGCCTCCTCACTGTAAAGCTCGACTAGGTAATAAAACAATTTAACACCACTGTCTTGCACTTTGCGCAAAACTGATGTATTCTCAGTGGTACGATTGAGATTCAATTCGTGTTCAAGTAGTCTAAAGAAAAAAGTTTTTTTTGTTTTAATTCTGTTGAAGAATTTTAAAGATTTAAATTTTAAAGAATAATTTACGAATTTACTTACGCCATCAAATGATCAGCAATAACACAACCTAGGGTAACTTTACTCGGAGGTGGTTGACTAGCTTTCACCAAAAGATTTTCGTACTCTGCTCTATTTTGACTTATCATTTCATCCACTCCATCACTGACACGAGCTTCTAAAATCTAATTTATTTATTATTTAGGTATTTATTTAACAATGTATACTTTAATAATTGAATACTTGTTAAAAAATAATTATTCAGCTATTTTCATTTAGGAAAAAGGAATTTTATACCTTGACTCGAATGACTGCCGGACCTGCACAATGAACAATAGGCGGAGTTCCTGATCGTGAACGTTTCTGATTCGAAGACGTCGTATCGCAGAGAGCATGAAGTGTAACGTAATTTTCCACTTCTCTATAAAGAGTCGGGACCAATTCCAAAAAGCTACAATCCACCGCCGTGTGCTCCGAGACCATTAGATTAAAAGTCTGAGCGTAGTCCAAAATTACTTTGAAATGTGGTTTTATTAATTTAATTACTGAATCGGAATTGTACAAACAATCCCTGGGAATAGGCTGCAAGACAGGATTATTTCGATTTAACACCGGAGAAGGTACAGGTTGCTCGTAACTATTTAGTCTTCGAAATATCCTTTGCTGAGGATCCGCAGGTTCCAAGGGAGTTGAAGGTATGCGAGTGGACTTTTTGAAAGAATCCGTTTGTTGGAAGGTCATAAGCTGCCACTCCAACACTGCTTTTTGTTGGCCTTGTTGCACCGAAAAATAATCCAAATACTCTAACCAAGGATTTCTGTCTCCTTGCAGAAGGAGCATTAATTTTTGTGACATGTATTGCGGAGGTAGAGCTGGAAGATAGAGGCCAGATTCCTGCAGTCTTGGCTCTTCAAGCCACAAGGTCATTGTTTTGTAAAATTTCGCCATATCGAGATAAAATATTCTTCTTTCGTCGGTAATTAAATTTCCATTGTCCAGATCGTTTTCGGCTTTCATTTGAAAATATTCGACAGTGTCGTGCAATCTCTTCTTCACTTTTTTCAGGTAGCTTAGATTTATCATTCCTTCGAAAAATTTCTCACCCACACCACCGTGGTCAATGACTCTGTCAACGACATGTAAATATTAATATTTACAAATTTTTTAAATTATAATATTGTGAATGATTTGAATTAATTGAAGACTCACCCAGATGTAGATGGAGGTCTGCCCAGCAGAAGAGAAAAAAAATTCTGCCACAAGAGAGACAAAAGAGGATGATCTAGAGGTGTGTCGAGCGCTTGTTGGGACCAACGATAAATGGACAAACTATTTGCATTGAATGGTTGAACTTTGACAGTAGCAAAAGCTTTCTAAACAAAAGAGATTTTTTGTAAATATTACTTTCATGTATTAAATTAATAATTCAACTTTCAATAATTCTATAACGAAAGATTTCGATACCTTAAGAGCAGAGTCCAATGAAGTCTTTGTTTGTAGGCACAATTCGCGTAGAATCTCTTTCCACAAGTTTGTCTTTATCTCTCTTTCATATTGCTCCGTGTACAAAATAATGTAAGCTACCCAAATTGACTGTATAGATCCTTCCAGAAGACTCGGACAATTTGACGAACCCATCGCCCAATTCAAGAAAGAACCAAAGGAACTTGAGTTTTTCCCAGTTGAAAGATTCTGGAAAATATTTAATTTTTATTCTCTTCTTTTTGTTTTTATATTCTTATACGTACCTCATTACCATTCACGAGTGACAGCTAATAAAAGACAAAAAATGTTTACAATTTCTAAAGGAGTCAGAAAGTGCGGTAAAATAAAATTACTTACGGAAAAGAGATTTTGGAAGGTAATCTCTGTTGTCGTTCTTGCATCAATGTAAAAAAATGAGGCACGTATTATAGTGTCTAATAAATGAAGTACACTTTGATCCCGATTCCAGTCTGGTATCAGTATAAGAATATTCAACCACAGTCTTACGAAAGGCTCAGGAGTTTGTAAGCAGTATCTGAAAGAAATAAAAAATATCATAGTTACGTGGGTGTTGAGAAAAATAGTAAGAAGAAAAATAAACTACGTTTACCTTTTATAATTGTGCAAATGAGATTCAATCATACTAGAAAATAGTTTCAGAATACTGCCAGGAAATTCCGGAGCAATAAGATTTTTCGCTATTTTCATATACGTTCTGTCGGCAGTGATCAAAGCTATCACCAGGCTGAAAAACTTTTCATTTTTAAGCAAATATTCCGAACAATTTAAAAATAGTGGAATTATATTGTGAAGAGCGTGTAACATTTGTTCGTATTTGTGATAAGATTGCAGTATTTGCAACTGATCGAAGCCCTTGGAACAAATTAGAGGAATGGAATGTCCCCAGAGTGTCATTCTCAGTGCTACAAAAGCGGCGAGTGGTTGCTTCTCTTTCAGAATTGTGACTAAAATCTCCAAAGTGGGGTCGGAATCCAAATCAGGCACGTGGGAGAAAGCTTCTCCGGGGTTTATTATCGAGTACTGACTAACTGCATCCGATTCCTCCAGTCGATGAAGTCGCAATTTCGACACCATTTCCCAGATCCAGAGGGAAAATGCTTGCTCGTTACTTTGCGATCGAACTATCGACGAAACTTGCTTCACACTCTCGGCCAAGAGAGAAGCACTCTGACCAGGACTGTCCAAAATGTATTTTTTCGAAAGTTCGACCATGAGTAATGAAATACGACGGTGTACACTCGTTGGAAGATGTAGATTATTGTCATCGTCGTCGTTATCCCCTATGCCCCAGTTAAGATGCGAGAGAACTAATCGTGCCAAGTGGTTCTCAGTCGTCGACAGCGGGTACTGCAGCAGCCAAGCAGAAATTACATTTAGATCCGCAGTCTGTGGAATCCATTTTTCAATCCTCAACTCGGTGAACAAGTACAAACTCAATTTTCCCACGGAGACGAAATTGTCCCTCAGCTTCAAGAGAATATCCGACAAAAGTGATGAATACTTATCGGTCAAATTCGACAACAAAGATCTCGCATCCTTCGAACATGTCTCCTGAGTTTTTCTACTCAGAAATCCGATTTGAAAGAGATCAATAGTCGTAGCTCGGACAAATTCGTAATCGTCCTCAGATCTCGCAATCGCCATATTAGCGAACGTAGTCAGTAAAAAATAGGACTCATCCCCCGGCATGTTACTCAGCTTCTCCTCAAACTGATCGTAGAGCTTCGAAGAATTAAGTTCCGATTCCCATTCCGAGGCAGACATTTCGAACTCAGGAAGGTCAGCAATAGCCGAATCTGTATGCAAAATGTAAAATATTTTCCAGAGCATACTGGAAGAGACAATATGATAAGGAATAGCGGCAAGGTATTGCCAAGCTCCAAGTCTTCGAGAGGAGAAAATACAGAGAGTGGCTCTCAGAAAGAAATAGTCGTACTCTAATTGTATTCTCGTCAACATTGAATCATCGGTGATTTTCGTCTTGTCGAATAACTCCCACAAGTCACTTGCGTACTGCACCGTATCTCTGATTAAGGCACTTAATCTTTTTGCCAGTTGTCGATATCGAGGAGTGTCGTAGGTCTGGAGTCCTTTTTTCAACAGTCTCACTATGACGGTGGAGAAGGCAAAAATCCGCAAGATGTGATGCTCCGTAACGGCATTGCCATCCTGGTGAAACATATCGTTGTGCCGCTCAATGAAGAGGATCTGCTCGAATAGTTTATCGAGTGGGATTTGATGCAAAAGGGATATGAGATCGCTTTCGAAGAGATTTGCTCCACAGTTCGCGATGTCCTCGTCCTCTTCTCCCTCTTCGTCCAACATTACCCAAACCGTATCTCCCGTATTTCCAGTCTCTTGTAAAGATATTTGAACCTGCTCCAAAAATTGATTCCTCTCCTTCACTGGCAGGAGAATAACTGCCAGAGTAGCGACAATGTGGTCCAAATAGGGATCGTTTAGAGGCGACGAACTGAAACCTCTATTCCTCGACGGAACCGGAATTTGAATGTAACTTTTCGCCCAACCAGTCACTCCTCCCGGACACCTCAGAACATGGTTCAGTAAAAACAAATGATCCTGCCAGGTCGCTATTCTCAACAAAATAGCCACCAATTTCGACAACCAATCCCTAGTGTCAGTCACGAATTTTCCATCTTTCAACGCTCGTCTTTGAAAGTAAAATAAAATCGATATGCACATTCGAAGTTCTACAAGTTGTGGCATCATGTGAGAGGAAATCTGAAAAGGCTCCAAACTTATCGGTGCGTTTTGCCGCAAATTAGCAAAGTCCTTGCAAGAAATACAAACTCTCTGAATGTAGTGCTCGATTTGTAATTTCAGTGTCTCCGATTCGTAGCAATATAACGCGTGTGTATTATGTAAGGACTCTTTAATAGCAGAGAGATTTTTCGTCAGGGCCGCTAGGGTTTTTTGATTAAAATGAGCAACCGAATATTCATGACTCGCGTTCACGGGATTCCCATCCTGACATTCGCCATATTCCGTGATTCCAGCCTTATCCAAACACCACAGTTGCTTCTGAATATCCTTACAAGACTTTTTCAAAGTTTCTAATTCGTGAGAGTTGACAGTCAAATGATTCTGAACACGTAGATAACTCATGACGAGTTCTTGAAGTCTGTGCTGCTGTCGAATACTGTGACCCCGAAGTTGGAAATCCACAAACTCATTAATGAAACTTTCAACAAGGGACAATTCTTCATTACTGTAAAGTGCAGCCAGTTGTGTTTCCGTAAAAGGTTGCAACTTTTTCACATCCTTTAATTTACTTTTCTCCGCTATTGATGGTTGTACTTTCAAACTTAATTTTCCTGAAGGATGTTCTTTTTTCAGAGTTTTAGTCGCTTCTGACGAAAATTGGAGAGATTGCTCTCCAATATAATTCTCGATAATAGGAGCCGATGGGAATGTATCCTCCATTCTAATCGTTGAGACATTGATTCTAATTTCTTCCAGTTCTGAATTTGATTCAGCTTGTTCAACTGGTGCTGAAGCTGTGGGAATTCCTGTGTCTGTTTCATCTATAAAATGTACGGTACGTTCCTGTATGGGGAGAAAAATATTTTTAGTAGAACTTACTTTTCGTTTGGCATTAAAATAATTTTTAAATTAAAAAATAAGATTATGAAAATTACTTGAATAACTTTAGCAGAAGGCAACTCATCTTCTTCCACAATTACAACTTTATAATTTTCGTTTTCATATACCTCAGTGTCTATTGCGGCTGAATGTAATTCACTTTCCATATTTTCAATACCTTCACCTCGAGGATAATTTGTTGGCGACTCCCCAAGTAGGCATTCAAATTCTTCCAGAGTTGGAGCATCGGGTATTTCACGCACCAAATGAGAAGATCGAGCACGATCTCTCTTTTTTTTCTAAGCAATAAATATTCAATTATTAATCTTATTAATACATTTTTTTTAATAATATATTTTCTATATTAAATTAAAAAGTTTCATAATTCAGATAAATAAATATTATTTCACATACTTATACAAATGGAAATAAAATTTGCCTAATTTGTAAATTTAAAAGTTATTAAAACAATACCTAGATGCATGAAATATTTATAAAGAAATATATTAAATGAAATGTCAAACTATTATAATGTTTCTTACCTGTCGTGGTTTTTGTTTCTCCATCACAGCTGTTTTTCAAATAGATTGACTAACTTAGATTCTTAATTTGTAAGTGTACGTGTATATGATATATGTTGTACGTACTTGCAAAGTTGCAAAAAAACAACGTCAATTGTTTTGTTACATTGCAAATATTTTATCAATTCTTTTCAATATGATTATTATCAATATATTTTACTTGAAAAAGATATTTGTAGATATTGTGAATCATTAAAATTTTCACATGATTTTACAATGCGTATAAAGAATTGATTTTTCTTAAAAAGAAATGGCATCCTTTGTAATGATAATATTATTTTTCTTTATTTTAATACGATTACTTTCATCATAACTGAACACTGGTTGAGTCATAATAAATTTAGATTAACACTATTGTAATATAACTTTTGTTTTTGTTTTTTTCTCTCTTCTGTCTAAATAGTTGAAGCAGAAGACATTTCTCGCACCCCTACTGTTATCGACAGCTGATAAGTCCAAAAAGCTTAAAAATAAGCGCGATAACTATTGAAATTTGAATTGTCTTTTTGCCAATTGTTTTTATATCATACTATCATAGAAAATAGTCAATTAAATTTTTTTTACTTTATAACGTATGTTATTACTAAATAGGATAAAAATAGGAACCGTTGGTTATTTAAAAATAGATAATTGTATTTTGTTTTTGAAAATATTGAAACTTGAAGGAAATTTTTAAAACAGTATTTATTAAAGAACTTATTTTTAGAATAAAGGGAATGAATTATGAAAATATTTAATAAAATAAGTTGTAGAGGTTAAGTAAACGTGAGCTAAAGACATAACCACAATATTCGCGAAAGTTTCGGTTCACACAAACGACATAGCAGACAAAAAAATACTTGTATCCTTTACTATCTCATACTTGAAACTTTTGCAAATCTACCTACTCTGCGTTGGCCTTAATGTTTGCATAAATTTATTGATTTAATTCATTTCATTTGAAGTAGTTTTCAGTTTAGGAAAAGTGGATTAAAATGATTTAAATACTACATTTGAGTTGTATTTACTTATTAAAAGTATTTTTACCAAAAAAGGAAAAAATAAAGTCATCCCTTGTGGGGATCGAACCCACGACCTTTGGATTAGAAGTCCAACGCGCTATCCTCTGCGCCAAAGGGACTTGAGGAACAAGCGTCATAAAGAGGAGTCTTTGGATTGAAGTTCAGGTACGTAATAAAAATGTTCAACCCACAAGTGGAAAATAATTTTTATTAATGAAAAATTATTAATTTCATAGATTCTAGTGAAAATTTTTTTGGAAGCTTATTATAAAAGTTTAAATTGTTTTAAGGAATTTTTGACTCGAATCTCAAAGGAAGATTAATTTTTTAAATATTGTAGAAGTGAATAAAATTTTTCTTTTACACTCATTTTATTTAGTTTTACACACCATAAAATTTTTTTTAATATTTATTAATGATTCTTTCTAACTGGAAGGTTCAGGGAAGCTTACCTCGAGTTCTATATGTGATATAGCTTCTCTTTAATTCCGGTTGAGCTTCTGCATATATTTATTGTTATTTTATTGACCTTTATATACATTTTAATTAAAAATTAAATTTTAATATTGTTTTATCAGCAAATTACAGAAATGAGCAAGCATTAAACTCACCAAAGATTCGAATCAATATATATATTGAAAATTCAAATTACTATCGACTTTTGAGCAAAGAATAAAAGAAAATTTTTCTTTTTGTTTTTAAATTATGAAGCTTACATGAAACTTATTGCATAATTCTTTAAATGATGTTCGTTTTTGACTGTTTGCGAAAATTGACCATATATTGCATGAAATTTTAAAATTTCTTAATTTTTTTTTTCTTACCTACTTTTATACGCAATGTTTGGTCAACTTTTGCTTCAAATATTGAAAGAAAAGTGGACATTTAAAGAAGACTTCATTACTTATAATAAGTTTCGTATAATCTTTGCAACTAATAATGATTCCAGAGTTTGTAATTTTAACTTTTAGGTCTAAGCAATAAATTCAATAATTTATTTTCATTTTAAATTTTCATAATATGTTGAACAATTTTCGTTCTAAGAAGAAAAAGTACATGTAATATTTTTTGCATCTATTGGCAATGAAAATTACCACCGCGGGCTCGGTGTCGCTAGTGTTTTACACCAAAAATGGACGAAATGGGTGTACAAATTTAAAAAAATATAAACTTATATTGTGACTTTTCGGTTTTAATTTTAAGTAGTTTATCAATAAAAAGATAAATCATGACCAGCAATCTTAACAAATATTTCTTAAACATTAGAATACTTTAAATATTAACATTTTTTGCAACCTTGTACACCCACAGAAGCCATTTTTTTAGTTCACTTTATGGTCACTACGTGTCGCATTGCAATTTTAAATCCCCAATTACTCTAAAAATGGAAACAGTAGGAGTAGTAGGAAGGAGTTTGAGTTTAAGCGAGGAGCCAATGGGAGCATATCAAGAAATCGATGTAATTAGCAAGAACCAATGGGAAACGACGTGTTTTGACATGCGCACTCCCTTCTTTTGAAACACCCACCAATAGCTTAATTTGATTTACGCATTATTAAGAGGATTGTGATTATTCGACGTGAAAACGTAATGGCGTTTTCACATTGTTAAAACAATTCTATGGACCTATTCTTCTCTTTCAAAATGAGATAATAATCTACTTCAATAATATCATAATGTAATGAGTTTATTTGACCAAATTTTAAATAATTTTACATTATATATATTTCATTTTTATATCAATAATATAATTCAATATGTAAATATTTAAATGTTAGGTTTATTCTTCTCGTTTTACTATATTTTCCAAGGATATCAAATTGAGACAAAAAACGTATCAAAATAGTTGCGAATCAACGTTTTGATTCGTTTTTTTGTTTCAATTTGATATCCTTAGAAAAATGTTGCTTCGTAACTATCTGGATACCTTTTTTGTCTCAATTTGATATTAGAAAAATTTCAATTTTTGCAATTGTTAAAACAGTAGCTATATAATATGAAGACATCTTTATTAATTATTTCCCACAGCTATATATAATCGTTTTGCTGTGATGGAATCGAAAATTATTTTTTTCTGAGTAATGAAACTTGAGTTGAGGGTAATATTTGAAGAGCTTTTGCAAAAGTATATATCAATTCAGATTCCTATAATAAGAGATGAAGAATAAGTTTCCCGATTGCTTCTTGTGCAGATGACCATAAACACGCAGCAATATTGAGAAATATCTATTCCCTGGAAAGATGTTTCTTTAATTAAGTACACAATATATAAATATTACTTCTTTTTACGAAACATTAAGAATTTTATTGATATCATATTCATATCATAATCTATTTAATGCAAATAATGTTAATGTGTAAATCTTCTTTCAACGTCGCCTTTATTCAAAAATACATCTGCATAAATTCTTTTGTTAAAGTTTAATGAATTTGCATTAAAATATTTTTTTTCTTGAACTGCCCTGTAAGAACAAGTGTATTAGAAGTTTTCATTATTAAAAAGTTAGAAGCTGCATATTAATAGCTTTTTTTATATTTATTATAATTATTGATAATATCAGTTATTTGAGTCAAATAAACTTTTCCGTGTTTAGTATAGAAAACAAAGTGCGAATCAAATTTGCATTATTGTTATTGAGATATTAAGGACGAACAAAAGAGGGAAGAAGGGGTAGAGATCTACCTAAAATCCCCACCCCATCCTCTTCTTACTGTATCCATCGGTGAGGGAATGGACGGTATTCAAGGGTGATCCAGACGCGTGGCACCTCTCAATCAAAAAGTGTTGAGGTCGGAAGTTTAAATATCAAACTAATTTCATTTTTATTAATGACAATTTAATACCACTCTCAGCATTTAACAAATTTTTTTACTAAATTTCACTTATTTTTCCTCGTCAATTTTAAAATTATAAGAAAACCAGTGCAAAAAAGTCTCAGTGTTTTCAATAATTCGTCTAATGAAATAAATACATACTTCCATTCATATTAAATACTTATAAATAAATACTTCTATTCATATATTTTACCTCGTGCTTTCCCTTTTAATCCAGTAATTCAGAGAAAAAATTAACAAAATATGAAAAAAAATGAAAAATGTCATTTAAAATAGAAAAAGCCCACAAGTTGGGTTTAAGAATAAAGGAAAAATTATTTCCAAATGTCATCTAAGGCAAAAGCTCTGCAACCCTTGGGAAGACCGTCTTCTCCTAGGAAATTTTTTGCAAGACTTTACGGACATTTGGAAACAAATGAAAAGGATAAGGAGAAGATCATCAAATTGCCGGATGAAAAATCATTAAATGAAGAATCGCGGGATGAAGTTGATCCTTGTCAGGGGGAAGTGACAGAAATTCACTCGAATTCATTGATTTGCAAACCAAAAGTCGCTTGGTCAAAGATAACTCAGGAAGAAGAAAGAAGACCCGAGAGAGTTTCAAATTTACCTCTATTAGGTTTGCCCTTTTTTCCTCAAGGATTCCTCCCTGCTGGCTCTCCTCATTCCCTAACTTTAGCGCAGCAGAATTCGCTGCAACATTTTCATGGATTGCCAATTCATGGACAACCGGTTCATCATCTTCATGGACTTTCTGCCTTTCGTAAGTTTTCATCTTTTAGTTTCATTACATTTTTTTTTAATCTCAATTTTGTCACTTAGAGTTTTCAAATTGAGACAAAAAAACGAATCAAAAGTATTGCGAAGCAATAACCTTTTTGTTCGTTTTTTTGTCTCAATTTGATATCTGCAGAAAAACTGTGTTAATGATTGTAATTAATTCACTCTTTTCGGCAATTAAATTTCTATATCGTCTATAATTTGAATCATATTCAATCAAAGAAAATAAAAATTAGAAAATTTTCCTGAATGTTTTTTAACTATATTATTTATATTGTATTATTACTTCGGGTTTTCTTCTAAAAAGTACCCGGCGGGAAATATTATATTAATTTTGGGTCCGATTTTCTTATAAATTTTGAATTTTAAGTTGTTAAGACTTAAGACTGAAGAAAATTGTTAAATTCAAAAACTTATAGGAAAATCGACCTAAAACTAATATATTTCCTGCGGGGTTCTTTTTATTATGATTGTAACTTTTTAAATTATCAAACCTTAATTTTTTTTATATTTTGAACATTTAAATATTTTGAATCAATATCTTTTTTAAAAATAGTAAGTCCGTTTTTTCAGAGAACAATGAGTTTAATTTATAACGCCAAAAACTCGAAATAATTGTTATGAATGTGAGTTACACAAGTATGTATTAAATTCTAATTCGCATTACAAATATTCAATACTTGTGCCAAACATGATCGGCTTATCTAATCGCCATATATATTTGTATATATCATATAATAAATAATCCCATAATCTGTATACCTGTATCTCGATAAATATAGAATATAGATGTATAAAGAAAATATGAAAGACGGACCCCTTGTGTATGTCCGCTTTCAAATTTCATTTCACATGCAACTGATATGCAATTCCTTTAAACTTCTTCGGTTATTTTTTCTTCTTTTTACAATATTTTAAATTCCCTTTTCTTCATAGATCGAATATAAACTTTTGAAATACATTAAAAAATAAAGAAATTATGCGGTGACAATTTCAAAAATATAGTAATTTTGAAATAAAAGAAAGTAAAAATTGATAAAACGAGGTAAATATAATTTGATAATAGAAGAAATGTGCGAATACCAACATTTTCTTCAGCATGTTTGTCATTTATACTCATTTCGCATATTGCGTGAGAACCGCACATTGTTCGGCAAAGCTCTATCGTTTTATATATTAATTCTGATTCTGATAACCTGGCTGGATGCAACTGAGAATCCGCGCCATAACTATATATTTGTTATTACAACAAACGACAGAGTGTTGCCCATGGATGGTATACACTTGCAAAAGGATTTATCTTCGCCTCGCCACCTCACAGCGATATTGTGATGAGATTACGGGGCGCAGTTGGCCGCGTTTCAATGTGAAATACACACCCCCGTTCCGTATTTCCACTTTCCAACAACCCCACGTTTCTCTTTCTACATCAACAGTGCTGATCTTAAGCGGCTCTCCTCTCCTGGCAACGGACAGCATTGTTATAGAGACACAGAATGCTTGTGTCCATTTAGCAAAAATTTCAAACTTTCCATCATTTATCATGTACATACATATAGAATAAAAGTCGTTCTCTTATATTTCGAAAAATTTACATTTTATCCACATTTTCACTATATAAATAAGACTTAAAATTTGTCATTGCAATAATGAATCAAAAATCTGAATATTACCTTTGTCACATTATATTGGCCGCGCAGGTAAACTGCAATGTGATAAATGATATGCCGGAAACAGGATGCTTGAGGCTTCACACAATCTGTTCTAATGAAACAAGACCCTTCACTTTGATTACACATCATCTGTCAATCTTTCCTTTTTCCGTTTAATATTCTTCTTACCATAATTATTCAGCCAAAAATAGATATAGACAATAAAGTCCAAGAACTGTAATTTTTAGAATAAATTTTCAAATCGTATTAATTTTGTAATATTATTTAAAGTTGCAAGAAGAAGAAGAAAAGAAGGAAGGCCCAGGCGACAGAGGACAACATTCAGTGGGGAACAAACATTGCACCTTGAAGTTGAATACCGTCGAGGAGAATACATTTCTCGAGGACGACGTTTTGAGCTTGCTGAAACTTTAAGACTCACTGAAACGCAAATAAAAATTTGGTTTCAAAATCGACGAGCCAAAGATAAGAGGATAGAGAAGGCGCAAATCGATCAACAATATCGGTATAGAACATTTTTTCATTAAGCATTTATTATAATAAACATTTTGTATAATTCTAAAATTAAATCAGGAATAAGTGCTTATTTAAACAACAAATAATATTTTAAGTCTCTTATTACTTTTGTTAATAAATCTCTTATTAAAAAGTATTTAATAATTTGTTTAAAATTATTAAACGGACTATTTAAAAAAAAATAGTCCGCAAGGCGTGTGCGAAAAGAAATTACACATCATTTATTTAAATGGTGACAATATAAATCGAAACGCTCGTGGGACTGCAGCCGATTCAGTTGCACCTGTTTTGGATAAATAGAAATTTTGTGTAATGCATTTATCTATGGTTTATTGAGCAAGCACACGAGTGATTACATACTCTACAGGGCGAATAATCCCAATGATACTATACAGGGGTGTTTCTAAATAGACTTCAATTGGATTACAATCTTCCGTTATTGTTCTTTTCTCCCCCAAAAGAAGTAATAGTATTTTGTCAACTTTCTTGTAGTCAATTAAATCTGTCATGAACGTCATGAATGACATCGAAATATGTTGAATATAATATCGATAAGCACTGTCATTTTATTCAAATAGTCTGCTTCTCTTTATAAAAATTAAAAGAATAGATTTTCATGATGATCTCACAATAAAATGTTCTTTTATGTTCTTTAAATATTTTTTATTTATCTCTCAAGTTGCATAGTAACTGTACAAAATTCTTGGTACAAACGTATAGATTTCTAATTCTACAATAATTTTCAAGTTGACTTGTCAAATAATTGAGTAAAGTCTTTTTTTCCAATGAATACCAAGATTCAGTGGCGGATCCAGAATTTACTCCAGGGGGGGGGGGGTCATTTATAGATTCGGCGAGCAACGACCATAATTAGCTGACCTTTTTTTTTTATGTAAATTTTTCGCCCCAGGGGGGGGGTCATGACCCCCCATGACCCCCCCTGGATCCGCCACTGCCAAGATTTGTACATATAATTTCCACTTTTTTAATTATTAATTAATTTTTTGATTTCAGAAATTTTGCACTGACGACTGGTTTGGTAAATTTTCCGATATGTGGAAATGGCAATAATCTTTGCCTATTTAAAGATATTTCAACTCATACATGCAATCCTGTGAATTTTACAAACAATTTAACATCCGTCAAATATTCTCATCACAGTAGTAGTGGAAGCGAAACCTCGGAAAATCCATCAAACGTTGTATAAGAAATTAAATTAAAACTATAAAAATGTATGTAATGAATAACTGTTTTAAATTTACCATATTGGTTGAATTTTTTGAAAAATCGTTCGCCTACATATAGTAAAAATTATTTCCATACGTTGTATAAAAAAACCTAAATTAAAATCTATTTTTACTATTATTTATACCAAATGATTCTAGTCTTATTTACGTAATTGTCTAATTAACATGCACTTAGGACTTTATTACATTTTTTAAGAAGTTGAAACATGTATGTTGAAACAATAACTTATAGATGTTTTTCTTTTTTTTTAAATATATTAGGTGGCTTTAAAAAAAAGTTCTTGCTTCATTACAAAATAAAAATGTGGATTTTAAATCTTCTGTGAATTTACGAAATATTAAAAAAAATTAAAACATGAAAATTATTTTAAACTAATATATTTTGTGTCATCTGTAAGCAATAAACAAAGACAATAAAATAAAAGTTTATATGTTTAATTTTAATTTCCATACATCTTTATACATACAAACTATAGTAATATTCATTGACTTCTCCTCCTTATAATTTATTTGCTTGTAGTACAATGTACAAATCCAGATCTTTACTACTTGTCACAATGTATTCACATTTTTAATTCAAGACTATTGTGAATACTCAATACGTACTTAAATCTTGTTAATAGTATTGCATTTCTAAGTAAAAACAGTATAAATACTTATTAATAATAGTCGATTGAAAAAGAAATTACAATAATAGTCCAGTTAACTGTAGCTTTAAAAATAGTAAAAGTTGTAATAGTTCAAATACTTATTACAAATAATCAGTTAACAGATGTTTTGACATGTAGAATTTCTGATGAAATACTTATGGAAAAATGATGGTATTTGAAAGTTTTAAACATTTCATCCAGGTACCTTAATAGTATAAATTTAAATAAATTACGTAAGACTAGAATTTACTGACAAAACGATAGGCGACTGACAATTAGTTTCAATGTAAATTGTTAAATTCAATGGAAAACAGACATTTTTTTTACAATATACAATGGCACGATCTTCCAAAGTATACTTGTGTAATCACTGCTTAAACTCACGCAATTTTTTACATTTGTTGTACTTGTAATCAATGCTCAATTGTTATATACAATATGTCAATATCAAAAATATAGAAAACACAAAATGAGGCTTGAAAAATAAACTTATATGCATATTCAGTACTTCAATATAAAATAGAAAGTCGAAAATACAAATATATAAATAATATTCCCTATGGAAAGACAATTATAGAGAAACTTTGAATAATTACTTATCAAAAAAGACTTACACTTATACACCATCGTTCATACAATAATTATTTTCTAGAATATAGGTCCATTTTTCCTAAATAGTTGTAAATTTCTACTTCGGTTTCGTGGTATTCCATGTTAACCTATCTTCGTAAAATTGAATTACAGTTTGTGGACACAAAAGATTCGCCTCCTTTGCAGTTACCAAATCAGTTTCTTCAGTTCCCTTCCTAAAAACGAGAATAAAATTCTCTTTCAAACAAAGAAGTACAAAAATCAAAAATATATTTAAAATTCTATATTTTACTCACCATTTCATTAAGAACATTAATTCTCCACTCGAATCGGTTGCACCGATAATTTTTTCAGGTTGCAATTTTCTTTTGAATCCGTGAGGTTTCCCTTTATCTTCGTTGACTTTACTTTTCTTATTCATTCTGAAGCTTTGTGGGAATTTTTTCGATTAATTTCAATTAGTCATATATTTTCTCATTAATTTAAAATATTTCTCTTCAATGTATCGTTAATTCTTATTTTACTTAAATTGTCAACTTTACACTGTTTCAAAAAACTTTTTTACGCATATTTAGCTGAATATTTAATAATGTTTCGAACAATTTTTTGTTTATAAACGAAACACTGAAATTCTGAGTTCTATTTGTCGTCTGCTTCGAGTGGTTATCAAACTTTCCACCAGATGTGTTCTTACTTGTTTATTTCCGGAAATAACAAAGTCAAAAAACTTTTAAATTTATGTAAATTATTATTAGAAAACAGTTCTAATTTATCAAATTACTTTATTGTAAGACAAAATATAATTATTTTTCTATACACTACCTTATATGTAGTATAATACTAATTATTTAAGAACTTTTATTGTAATCTAAACTCAAAAGCTCAAGAGAGTGCTTATTTTCTATGTATCTATATATATACGTCAAGTTTTTTGGTAAATTATAATTGGTAAAATTATAATTGCTTTTAGTTGATTAAATGTAAAGAAAAATTCTAAATGTCAAAAATAGGACTTTTCGTAATTATAAAAAATTCCAAAATTCGATATTTGGAAAAGAATATTAAAAATTTGATAATTTTCTAACATTTAAAACTGCGCATGTGTGAAAATGATCTGGTTCGTTTCCGGAAGAAGGGTTCACACGAGTGACTCGAGGGAGTTGATCGATTCTAAAGTTGACGTTGACGTGTACGAGTGCGTACAAGACATCAAACGCTTCGCATTATTCCAGTTATTTTACAAATCAAACAACAGAGAGTGGAAGATTTTTTGGAAATTTGTCTTGAAATACAAACAAGACGTCCAATTCCAGAAAATCGGACAAAATGGTGAAGATGGATCATGATGTAAGTAGAAATTTTTTTCTTAATTTGTTGCATAAAGAAATTGCATTAAATAATTTATAATAATGCCGGATTATCTGGAACGAAAGTTTTTATTTTCTAGATAATTTGCAAATAACTTTTTTAATTATATATTGTCTCCCTATAAATGCCTGTATTCGATAATTTATAAATTTCTATTTCCTTTCGAGTTTTATCAATTAATCTGACGATGTTAGTTAACAAAGTTGAATTATTTAACTATAATATGATGATTCTTATATAATTGGCTTTTTTAGGTGATTTTAATTACAATTTACATTTTTGTTTGATGGATTTTTTCGAAATGTATCAATTGATATGAGATAGCAATTCCCTTCGAGTTCTTGACAGTTTTTATTTTATTTTTTTATGATGGCGGCGTACCCACGCTTCGCCATATTCATTTCATTCAACCGGTAAAGATAAAATTTGTTTTCATTATTCTTTCTGGAAATATTGCACAATAGTTTCAATTTTGAAAAAAGGATAAATTCCCTTATTATTGTAATTTTGGCCTAATTTTGCATAGTTTATGTAAAATATAAAATTTTTAAGAAATAATTTTTTGTTTAATGCCACTAAAATATCCACCAAGCTTTAAATTTCAAATCGTAATTCTTATGTTTTTACCCTTAACAAAAGTACATGAAATACGAATTTCGATACTCACTATTTTTCGTTTTCAATGAGTATTTATTATTTTTGTCTTTTTTTAGAATTTCAATGATAAAGATTTGCGTAAAACGAATTGTGTATTTTAATTTATTTGTTACATATTTTGCTTTCACTGAATTAAATTCTGTAAATTATTTTCTAGGATGGAAATAAAAATGAGCCAGAGCACGTGAGGAAACTATTCATCGGTGGACTTGACTACAGAACGACTGACGACTCCCTAAAGAAGCATTTCGAACAATGGGGAGATATTGTGGACGTTGTTGTGATGAAGGATCCCAAGACAAAACGATCAAGGGGATTTGGATTCATCACCTATTCCAGAGCTCATATGGTTGATGACGCGCAGAATGCGAGACCACACCGCGTCGATGGTAGAGTCGTCGAACCCAAGAGGGCCGTTCCCCGGCAGGAAATTACAAGACCAGAAGCAGGAGCTACTGTCAAAAAATTGTTTGTCGGTGGTTTGAAGGACGATCACGAGGAGGAGGATCTCAGATCATATTTCCAAACTTATGGTCAAATTAATTCCGTTAGTATTGTAACGGATAAGGAATCTGGCAAGAAACGAGGATTTGGATTTGTCGAATTCGATGACTATGATCCTGTTGATAAAATTTGCCTTCAGCGAAGCCATCAAATCCGTGGAAAACACGTTGATGTGAAGAAGGCTTTGAGTAAAGCTGAGATGGCTTCGGCAACTAGTGGAGGAGGTGGTGGTGGTGGACGTGGTGGTCAAGGTGGAAGAGGAGGACCGAGAGGTGGAAATCAAGGAGGCGGAAGCTGGGGAGGACGTGGAGGTGGCGGCGGAGGAGGTGGTGGTGGTGGCAACGACTGGAATAATGGAGGTAATCAGGGAGGATACGGCGGCGGCGGAAACCAAGGAGGCTGGGGAGGTGGTAATGGACCGTGGGAAAATCAAAATCAAGGTGGTAATTGGGGAGGTCAAGGAGGCCAAGGAGGTTACAACAGTGGTGGAAACTGGAGCAATGACAACTTTGGAGGAGGCTACCAACAAGGTTACGGAGGTGGACCTTTGAGAAACAATTACAATAGTGGTGGACGATCAGCACCATACGGTATTTATATCTCATAGTTGAATATTTTAATGATCACTGTTTTTTACTTTTCTTTACTTAATTTAATTTCTATGTAACAGGTCAAATGGGTGGAAACAGCGGCGGCGGTGGTGGAGGTGGTGGTGGTGGCGGCGGCGGAGGTGGTTATGGTGGTAACCAAGGTGGATACGGAAATAATGCAGGAGGAAACATGGGAGGAGGTGGTGGTGGCGGAGGTGGAAGAAGATACTAAAAAGTCCTGGTTTTTCTTCAATCGGTGAGAATACTTTTTTCATTCATTTAACCCCATTTCATTTCAATTTCAAAAACAGAATTTGAATTACGTAAATTATTATTGGAAATTTTCCGTTGACTAAATTATAGAAACCCTAAAAAAAGCTTTACTTTCACAATGGTTAATTTTTGAATTACTTGTTTTTCAAAGCTTTTTCCAATCAATTTGATAAAAAAATTTATTTATTCCTAAAAATGAAAAATTAACTACATTATAAACAAAGAAGGTAAAATTTGAATATCCAGATAAATATTACTTTTAATATTTGCGTTGAAGTGAAATGTAGAGCAATTTTAGATCTAAACAGGGTTGAGACGATTTAAATCATGGTAGATAATTGACGTGAATAGAATCACTAGGCTTTGATGAACTGTCTTAAAAAAGCAGCTTAGTTCCAAATTTTGTAAATATTGATTAATTATTATTATTATTATTACTGAATATAATGGAGTTTTAGGAAATAGTCGTGAATTTCTGGGATAAAAAGCTAGATTTAAATAGAATACAATAAAAAAAAGTATGTAATTTAAAAAATGGAATCCATGATTTATGTCCAACCCTGGACGGTGCATCTACATAAGTTAAGAGGATATTAACGATTATTCAGGTAGTTTTGAAAGGAGAATGTAACACTTGGACTTAGAGCTTTTTACAGTAATTGGGCATCGTTAAGTAACTTCACTAACAATTTGTGACTTTTGAACCTCAGGTGACCCCTACTTGTCTTCTAGTCATCAGTACTTCTGTACTGTTTAGTTTGGAGCAGGCAGGGCTAAAAGGCTAGAGACAAGACCAGGCAGGACAATCAGGATTCAGGACAGAGAAGCGTCATCTGTTAGATTGCTGTGAGGGAGGCTTATTTCTCTATAACATTTGGTACCTAGCACCTACTGCATCAGTTACATGTTCGTCCCAATATTATTGTGAAAAAAGAAAGAGTTGTACCACAGTTTTATAGACAATACTCGCACCCTCTTGTGTCACGTGTATTTATATTATTTAATAGAGACATGAAAGGCAGTAATCGATAGGAATGTCGTGCTACAATAATAGAAAATCTATATTCTGACCGAATATAATCACACTATTGGCATTTTTTCACTATTGGCATCTGGCTTCACTCAATTGACTCTTTAAGCAGATGTTCCGCTCTTGTTTTATTTTTCTTAATATTTATTTACAAAAGTCTTACTGTCGTGCGCCTTAATCCTAATTGGCCTTTAAAAACACTAGTTTTTCAAATTTATGCCATTTAACAATTTTAGAAAAACCTCTATGAGTTTTAGTGTTAGGAATAAAAAGTAATTTTTTGACGACCCGGTCCATATAAGAATCAAGCTTTTGAATATATGAAAATAATGAATGACTCTTATGTAGACTAAAGAATATGAAAAAAAGATATGCCAGGAAAAATAAAACTGATATCAAATGTATAGGCAGACTATTTTGTAGTTCGTCTAGGTTAATCAATTTACTTTTAAGTTGTAATACTACAGTTAGATAATAAAACAGACCACAACCTTTTCAACGATATTTTTCAATTCGAAGATTCATTATTTAATAAATAAATAATTATGTAGATGGAGATAACAGGAGCCAAATATTATAGGTTGGTAGAAAAAGAATTTTTCTTTATATTTTTATTCAAGTCAAATAAAGTTTTTCTATAATAGAAAAACGAGATATTAATTATTGTATGACTTAAAAGAACTGAATCTTTTAAAAAATGATGATAATTTATAGGTCAAGTTTGTAATTTTTAGTTTGTGAGTTATTAAAAAAAAAAGTAAATAAGTATATACATTTATTTATTTAGTGTTTACATTTTTTTCTTTAATTTCTCTAGATTTAATATTTAAAACACGTGTCGAAGGCATTATTTTAAAATTTAATTACCCTTCAACACTTGTAGTAACAAAATTTTCTTTAATTTAATAAAAAATTTATCAATAGCTGAAATTATAGAAAGTTTTAGTTAGTTTTATTAAATTAGTTGATATTATTTAGCGATGAAAAGAATTAGAGCGTTTTGCCAGAAGAAACTTATAACAGGCAGGTAGCAGATCGGAGGGACTCTATATCCTCATCATCAAACTAGATTGCTAGTTATAGACCAGTCAAGGTAGGATTCTTAGATTCTGTTTTTCGACGTACGAGATTATATGAATCGATGATAGTTGAAAATGTACACTTTATATGCATGAAGTAATTTAGGATCAATTTTCACCAAGTGTATTACTTTTATTTTTCATTCAATTTATTAATTTAAGTCATGTATGAAGTGAGGGACATCGCAAAGTCAGTTTAGTGGAAAAAGAAAAATTTAATAAAAAGATTAACAATAATTCAATCAACAATCAAGGACAGTTCATGAACACGTTGAAGAGGGGGGTAAAGTAATATTTTTTGAAACTACTGAACTGTGATGTCATTGTCAAATACGTGAACTTAAAATGTTATTCAAATTAAGATTACCAATAGGTATGACTTTTAAAAAAAAATTCAACTTACCTCGCTTAAAAAAGTTAACTCGTTATGACAATAGAATAATTGTATTTATTTTTAATATTTTATAAAAGTTTTAAATACAATTTCATTCAGTTTTTTTTTTATCTTTTGTGTTTGTAAAATTCTTTTTTAAAAGTGAGAATCATAAAAAAATGTACTCTTCGACTCAAAAGTTTCTTTATACAATATATTTCAAAATCTGAAAATTTTCATTACTTTCATGTAATAAGATTTTCACTTTTAATCGAATTCTATCATTTTTTTTTTTTGTTTTTAAATTTTTGTTTTCAAAATTTCATAAAAAAGATAATTACTTCCTCTTTTAAAATTGCATATAAAATTATGATGTAATATTTTTTATTTTTCTTGTATTAATTGTTGTTTTTCGTTTTCATTAATTTCTGGTATACCGTTTGGGTGGAAAAACTTGGGAGAGCAAATCATTCGAATCGTCTGCCATCATAAAATATCAACTAAGTCGCAGGAGGTAAGTTTATATTAATGTTTTGAGAGCGTATTTCAAAATAATTAAAAACCCCTTTTTCAAAATGATTTATCACAGTGTAAATTATCCATTAAATATTTGTTTATAATTATCATTTTTGTTTTAAGCTATATTATCTTAGTATTAATTTAGAATAAGTACAAATGTTACCATTTATAAGAATTAATAAATTTATTACAGAATTATTTTTTGTAAATTTCTTTCCCTTTATTATACTAAATAACCTATTGAAATTTAAAAAAAAAGTGATTAAAATGTTTGGAAAAATGGCAAAGAATTGACACAAAATTGATATACAAATATTATATATTTCAGTATAATAATCACCATCTTAAATTAAAGTAAGGCCATTGTTTACTAGTCAATATATGTTTAAGGAAAAAATAGAATGTTTTTTTATTATAGATGAGAAATGAGAAGTGAGACGAGTATGAGTATTGAAAATAAATTGTCATAAAAATGGCAAGGATTCATGGCACACCTCAACGGTCAGTGAATCAAATAAAAATAATATAAGAATACTGAAATAAATAATAAAACCAAACAAGAAAGTAGTAAAAATATATTTTACCTGTACAAGATCTCGATTATTAATAGCTTTCATTAGCATTATAATGTTATATTCAAAACAAAACAGCGATATATTATGTAATTATATAAATGAATGGAGCATAATTTTCTTTCCTCAAAATTTGTAAAAGGGACAAAAACTTGGAAGAATAACTAGTCTTTATTTAACGTGCATCTAAACACAAGGAGTTCAAAATATTCATTTCTAGTTTCTTTTTTTTCTTTTTTTTTTTTGTTTAAATAAACTGCTTCGCCTCACATTCGTTTCAATTCAATTCAATTGTTCATTTCTATTGATAATTATTCATAAAACTTTTAATATGGTACAATTCAGTTAGACAAAAAGTCACATTTCTGAAGAGATACTCATTGACAATCACAGTCTTTACAATTTCCTCGATTCCCTCTTACTTTTCAGCCATTGCACTAATATTGCCGCAACACAACAGTATAATTATAAATATACTCCAACAATGCGTGTTCCTATCACAATAAAATTTCATTTGAACTCCTTGCGAATGGCGAGAAAACTAAAAAATGTTTAGGCGTCTTAAAACTCTATTATACCTATTCCACTAAATTATACAAAAATTTGTTTGATTACATAAAAATATGAATGTAAAAGCTTAAAGCGAATATAGTCGATACTCGATATGTAACTATTTCTATAAAAACTGTACTTCATTTATTGAAATACCTCATTTCATGAACGTACATAAATCATTGGCTATCTTATTTAATAGTCGAGGTTTAAATCAAATTTTCGCTTAAAATTAGTCTTAAGCTAATATTTCATGTGCATTCAAGTACTTTTTTTTCTTCATTTATTATAACATAATAGATAATAGTTAGGTCTATTTACAATGGAGAAAATATATAAAATCTTAAAAATAGACAAAATTTATTTATATAGATAGTCTGAAAAGTTTTGCTTGGAAAATCGTTTGTATATACATTATTTAAATGAGCATGCTTCATTTTGAAAAATTATACGGTGAAAAAGAGGATACAAAATATATAATTAAAAAATTGCATAAGCTACCGAAGTCAAATTCAATCTACTATATAAATCACTTAGAATTTAATTATTCTCTTCTTCTTTTTCATCTTTCATTTGTCAGTACATAAAGTCTTAATAAATTTTATGTAATAACTTATTCTTATTAAATATTTGTTCTTATTCATCTTTCACCAAAGTCCTCTTTCCAGAACCATTTATTTATATTAGCACTATAAAAATTATAAGCTCATTTTGCCGATTAAAGTCTTTAAGATTGTAAATTTATAACATTGGACGAATATGCGAAAAAATTGAGTCAAAACAAAATTTTAAAACTATCTCCTATTTTTTTTGTATAATACAAAAATTATTAAATTGATTATAAAATATTTTTCCGTTTTTAAATCAATGTACAATTTTACAATTATTTACTGTAGAAAAAATGAAAATTGTAAAGAAAAATAAATTATTTCTTTACAAAATATTAAAAATTTTTACTGCACTGTAAAAAATAGTAAAAAAAATATTACACACATTAAATGTGACACATTTAACAAAGGGGAAAAGTGACGTGACGCGCATTAAATAAGGTTATGTTGTCACATTAAGGCACTTTTCCCCTTGTCTGTAAAATGTGCCACATTTCTATGAGTAATTTTTTTGATTTTTTACAGTGTGAAATTTGTTTCTAAACATTTACTAATTAATAGCATTATCACTGGCAGTATATAAACTATTCGTGATAGTTTACAAATTCTAAAAAGATAACGATTTATAAAAATTTGAAAAAATGTATATTTCAACGCATAAATATAAAGAAATATTTAAAAGAAATCAATTTTTTGAATTGAAACTGAAAAATCAGTTTCGGTTGTATAAAAACTTTTTTAAAAAGATACATTATTCCTGATATTTTAACTCTATTAAAAATTTCTACACTAAACATTTGTATGAACATTGAATAACGGATACCTCCATATTAATAAAAAATATTTAAGTCAGTCATATTAGTCGACAAACTTTTCTTAATTATGTAAATGGTGAAAGCAAAAATATAAGTCGAATATTGAAGCATTTTTATAGTGTGATATATGGAAAAAAATAGCTGGATTTATTAAACTTTTCAATGACTAGCTTTAAGATATTATGCATTCATATATATTTTTGTTTTCGCCATTAATTATTGAAAAAAGCTACATTTTCACGAGAAAACTTTTTCGACTATTTACTTTGTTATTTGTACGATTAAAATTAAAACTTTCTTAAATACATATTTTCACCATAATTTAACAATTTCCATCCATCTTTTTTTCGGTCCAACGCTCGTTAGCTCATTAACTTTTATATTTTAATTTTCAAAAAACTAATTCTGACAACCATACAACACAACGAAGTTATAAAAATTAAATAAACCTGTGCGAATTAATAATCTCATTACAACAACAACAATAACAACGGAATAATTGTTTGTATATTCCGCTGTGTGTTTTATTTAGTTCAAGAGCTTGTTGTTTAGCAATTGAGCGCATAGAATCATTTGTATAAAAATAATCAAATGGCACTGCGACAGGAATAGAAATCTGAACGATATATTATCTAAGTTATCCATTCTGCATCTTTTTTTTCAGAACGAGTCTTTTTTTCCTTTTTAAAATTTCATGAAACTATTAAATTCATGTGCATATTTCGAAATATTGATAATTTACGTACGTTTCTTTTTCTTTACATTTATCTATTAAAAGAATTAATAATATTGCTCATAATTTACTAAAATCCAATTAATTGTCCCTCGAGAATAGATTGTTAATAATTGAGAACGCAATCAAAAATGAGAATAGTCCCTTTTTTCTAATTTCTAACTAATAATCTATTCTCGAGATTATGCAGAATATAAAAATATAATCATTATTCGATTCATTCAGAAATTAATTGTTCGATTTTCTATTCAATTTTTTTTCCTGTTGCACAAAAAAAATGTTTCTACTTATTTTCTTTTATCATTTTTTTCTCTCTCTATTGTGCTTTTACATATTTCGTCATTTATTTCGAGGAATTTGAAATCAAATCTGAACAGAATGGAGAAATAAACGTGAAATTTGTTCTTTAATGTATTTGTTTTTTTTTTATAATACATAGATAGAAACAAAAGTCATTAAAGTTTACGTTTCATGTTTATAACTTGATTCTTGCTGTTTGATTATTCGGCTGAATTTACAATGCAACTTGCGATTTTAGAGTACATAATTTGACGAACTCTTTTCTTTTAATTCATATATTTGAAATATATGTGAAATATAAAAGAAATAATTTCTTCGGTTGGATTGTAAATTTATACTCGAATGTCGATCGAAATATAGTAAAATGTTTTTTAAAAACATACTGCCTTCATATTTCCAAATGAATAAAAATGTTTTTGAAATGCATCGAGAACGCATTTTCTAAACATTTTATCCACTTCAATGTATCGAGAAAATAAAATTATTTTTTTAGATACATTTTAAAATATAAAAGCAATACACTTTTAAAAAGACGTGCAAAAAATTAGAAAAATAGTTTTTTTTTGTTTGCATTAAAAAAATATTTAAAAATTGGCTACTATAGTTAATTCCTTTGCCCTGGCGAAATGTGCCATCCAATATACTTACAATTTTACATTATTCTTCATATGGCTACAATATCTTGGTTTATGATACAGAAGAGTGATTTGTACATATTTCCATAGGAGGGAAAAAACACTAATAATAAGAGTACAGCGTGCTCGGTCAAGCATAAACTCAGTTCCAATGTGATTGAGAAGTCTACTTAATTTTTCGGTTTCAAGATAGAATTAAACCGAATTCTGAATGGGGTACAAAAAAAATGTTTTACTATGATCAGTCGTGCACACTCACCAAATCGTTGTTTTGTAAAAAAACATCCCACTGGAGAGAACATCTCTGCAACAACATTCGATTGTCTCGAAACCCTTCGAGAGATCAAAGTTCTTTTTATTGCATTGTGCTGGGTGCTAATGTCACTTTACTATATTGTTCTTCAGACTGAGTGATACTTTGTGGCTTGCTGAATCGCTGACTCTGCAATGTGGGCTGCTCGATTTTAGGGCTTTCCGATATTGTCACGTATCCGAGGGATTTTGGTTTTTCCTCAGCTTTCTGTTCCTTGTCGGAGGATTTCGGCTCCCAACAGAGAGTGAGATTTGAAGAGTTCCCCTCTTCACTTCCTTCAACTTCAAAATCGTTTATTTCAATCTGTGGTATACAAGTTCTTAAATCGGAATTCACTTTTTGCTGCTGCTGCTGCTGTTGCTGCTGTTGCTGCTGTTGGTGTTGCAGCATTTGAAAGACGGAATTCGATGGCGAGTCTAGTGAAACGTAAGGTTTGGATGTTTCGGCAACCTTGGGTGAATTTCGCAAGTCTGAAATTGAGGCAACTGTGACGTAAGGCTTTGAGGAAATGTCGGTGAAGTGCACTGCCGTGGGTGAATTCGTGGTGGAAGAAACACTTGACTTGATATTTGCGAGCAATGTGGGAGTGAAAGATGGTGCCTTTGGCTTCTCACTCACTTCTGTGAAACCACTTTGAACGTAAGGTTTGGACATTTTGTCCGAGAAAGACTCAATATTCGTCGACTCTTCTATTTCTGGGAAAGCAATGTCCTCGAGCTCTAGCAGCGGATCCATTGTGTTTATACCTTTCGGTTTTTGCTCCAGAGAAGCTAAACTTACATAGGGGTTTATTGGTTTCACCTCTATCGTGGAAATCACTTGGGTCTTATTATCCTCGCCTTGAAGATGTTCGGGTTTCATTCCCACGACACTGTAACCTAGATTTTTGACATCCTTGTGCGGAACAGGACTCGGGTTGTTGGAAATTTCCTCAGAGGATGGCATACTCATGTAACCAGTAGAAGACCAAGTGTGTTGTGAGGTTGTTGAACTTGTGCTGTCGCTCAAATTCGGCGTCGATCGCGCTATCGACTGTGTGTCTGTTAGACTTGAATCTCCGGATTTGGTAACTTTCACGTAAGAGTCCCAACGGGCAGAGTCTACGAATCCACCAGGACGTGCGTTTCCAACATTTCGTTGTCTTAGACTTGTAGGATTCCAAGAAGTGGGAATTTCAAGTAATTTGTTTGGCGAGACAGCAATTGGATCAACGTCTGCGCCGCTGTCGCTCGAAACGTGCGAGTCGGACGTTAGAGACGAGGTTACTGATTCTTGACCACTGGAGCATCCACTCGAATCAGCAGACGATTGTCTCGTATGCTGTTCAGCAAACTTTTGCAACAGTTTCTATACAAAAAAAAAGAAAATATCTTTAGTACGAACAACAAAGAATCTTTAGTATGAAATATGTAAGAAATCATCAATAATTTTGAAACGTACCATATTTGGCTCAATTCCATGTGGAAGTTTCACGTCCACATCCCTCATGTACCTGCATTTCAGCCACGTTCTAAAAAAGATAATAAAAGTCCATTTTCAGTAAAAAAAAATCTTGAAATTAGTTACATTTTTTAATATAAATTTAACTAGTTTTATTAAAAATAATGGATTTATAGAAGAATTTTAGTTAAAAACACTAAAACAAATTGAATTTTGAAGCAATTATAAATAATTACAGAAATTCAATTATTTTCAAAATTTTTAAAAAAATTCTTGGCAAAATTTTAATTATTTTCAAAAACTTTTCTCAATTCAATGATTTTTAATATCTACTAATGCTTTTACAAAAATTCCCAAAAGAATTCAAGTATTTACAAATTTTTTATAAATTTCTTCGCAATCATTCAATTATTTTCATAAATAATAAAAATTTCACAGGAATTCAATTATTTACAAATTATTACTCAATTATTATCATAAATGATAACATTTTTTTATAGGGATTCAACTATTTTCATAATAAGTCATAATAAAACTCATCGCAGACTTTCAATTACTTTTAATACAATTTTAATGGAATTCCTCGAAAAATGTATTATTCCTAAAAATTTTATTAAACTTTATCAAAAAAATTCAAAATATTTTAAAAACTTTTCCTGCAATTTATTTATTACAATTTAAGTATTATTTTTAATCATACATTTTTAATTAAATTTCTTCAAAGATTTCAATAATTTTCAAAAAATTTAATGAAATTCTTTGTAACAATTCAATTTCCTTCAAAATAATTTTAATAAATTTTGTCAAAATTCAATTATTTTCAATGTCTATATTATTTCAATAAAATTTCACAAAAGAATTCAATTATTTAAAAAGAAATTTTAATAAAATTCGTCTCAAGAATTCAATTAATTTTCAAAAGTAATATTAATTCTCAGTAGAAATTCAATTACTTTCAAAAATTTTAATAAAACTCTTGGCAGAATTTCAATTTTTTTTAATACAATTTCCATTAAATTTCTCGAAAAATTGAAATTATTCTAATTTTGATGTGTACAAATTTTTAAAGGAATTATAAGTAAGAAAAGCAAACAAACCTCTTGGATGTGTAGAAGAGACAAAGTAAAAGGGCAAAAGAGCTCAGAATGCCAATTACCCAAATTATGATCCAGACAGCTAAGGGAGGACCTGAAAAAATTTTTTGTCAATTAATTAATTATTAAAGCAGAGTAAAGAAAGAAATTATGAACAATGAACTCACCACTACTGTAACAATTACCCTCCCCGGTATTTGACCACGGACCAGTTAAATGTTTTCTATTATCAGCAATATTAACAGCTCTAACGCGAAACTGGTACATTTTTTCTTGCCCTCCAGGTTTACATTCAGCAATAGGAAGATGAATTTCTGAAAAAGAGAAAAATTTGATTATTTAACTCTCTTCTGCTACTGTTAAGATGAGAGATAATGAAGTAAATTATTTACCTGTATGTGAGCTGTTTTGTATATCTCCATCATTAGAATAAATTTGATAATAGTCCAACTTTCCAGCTGCAATATCCGGTTTACTCCACTTGACGAAAACCTGGCTCGAATTAACAAACCTAACAATGGGGATCATTATTGCTCCTGGCGTACCAATTTTAGTCTTTTTCGAAACCAAGTTAGATTTCGCGCTGCATGCAACTGTACAAGCCTCGACCTCGATAGTATATTCCTCATGTGCATATAAATTCGTAAGCTCAACCTGAATACTGTGATTTCTATGAGCGTTAAAACCTTCGAGTTCAGAATGATTTGTCTCATCGACCCTCTTCTTGAGAACTTTTTTCGAACAATTGTAGTAAACTTCGTAGTAACGCAAGACTCCATTCATTGCTGTCGGCGGTTTCCAAGTGACTGTAACTGTAGTATTTGAATAGTTAATTATTCGAACATCCTGAGGAGGTGTACTTGGAGCAGCTTCCAAAGTTGTATTATACAAAGGATCGCTGTGCAATCCTTCTCCATGTTTCGTTAAAACAGCAATTGTTACTTTGTACGTGGTGTAAGGTTTAAGTCCCAGAATTACTCCATGAATAGTGGTTGTATCCGCCTTTATGGTTGTATTTAATTTCGCCTCTTTACAGTTGCGATTATAGGGCGCGATAATAGGACAATAATAAATATTGAAACCTTCGACAATTCCAACACGATCTGAGCAATCTAATTTCCAACCAACTTCGATGTAATCCGAACCGATTTTATTTATCCAAACAGATTTCATTTTGCTCGCAACTTTGTTGTGAATCACAGTGCATGAAGCCCACACCATTCCGCTACTTGCATATTCCGTATTTGCAGAAATTGCGAACTGATAGACTTTCTTGGGATCGGGAACTGTCATGTTATAAACAAATGTATTTTTAGAAACGTGTACCCAATCGAGGTATCCCTGAAAAAAGAAAATATATTACATTTTTGAAAAGTTTCTATGAAAATAACAGTTCTTTTTTTTTTTTTTTTTTTTATTGAAACTCACTGTGCACTGATATGGACGATCCCGTTCATTATCGCACCAATATATTGTAAAGTTTATTACATCCTTTTTTGCATCTTCCGGATACTTCCAAGACAATTCATATGTTCCACCATCGAAAGCAATTTTCGTGAAAGTTACCGGCTCACGTGGTACTGAAGAATAATAACAAGTTTAGTAAAATTATTATTTAGATTCTCAAGTAGTATTACGCAAAAGTACTTACATTCCGAGCGACTTGGTACGAAAATTTTCGACGAATTTCTACTATCTCCCACTATATTTGTCGTGACAATTTCAAATCGGTAACTGCCAGTTGTGATTCTTTTGAATTTCGCATAAGTTCTCGTAGTTTCACTAGGTTGAATGGAGACTTTACGACCGTCGGCATCCACGCGCAATACTTGATATCTAAAGTTATCGCCATTTTCTAGATAAGGTGGAATCGTTTGCCAGTATAGATAAACATCTCTGTATCCGTTGTTTTCCATTAATTCAAAACTACCAATGTCAGTTTTCGGCGGAAGTTCCGGCACTAAAATAATGTTTACAAATTTACATTAATTAACGAAATTTAATTTAAATTTAAAATATTTTTAAAAAATAATTTAATGAATATTTAAACTTACATTTTGGCAAGGTTCTAAATGTGACATCACTAAAATTACTCCACATATCGTCTTCTGCCAGTGAACTTTTAGCATAGACACGAACATCATAAACCGAGTTGGCGTATTGCAATTCGGTCAAATTGTAGTATTTTTGCTTTAATTGAATTTGATCAGTGAAATTAATCACCTGAAAATATTGAAAAAATTATTAGTTGCTATTTTTACTCAATCAAATTGTAAATTTGTTTTTGGATTCATGAATTGTTTACCTGCCAAGACTTCTGGCTATCCCATTGATTTTGATAAGTCAGTCTATAATGCAATCCACCTGGAAAATTGTTCACTGGGAACGGCGCACTCCAATATAAGAATACGCTTTCAGATGTTTTATTAAGCAGTGTGAAGTTGGCCGGTTTCGCTGGGATAACTAAAAATTCATTAATTATTAAATATTTGTTGAATTAGGATTTTGATTTACGGATATAAATAGGTAGAACAAAATAGAACTAACCTTGAGCGAAATGATGGATTTTGTAAGTCGTGCTTGAATTCCCCAGTACATTCTCGCCAGTAAGTATAAAAAGGTAATATTCATAAGTCTGTCTGTAAAGTGGATTTGTGGATATATCCCAGGTGCAAGAATTGATTTGATTATTATAACGCTCTTCTTGAGGACAAGGAAACAGTTTTCCTCTTCCAGCACGTCCAGGTAGTTTGAAAAATATACTGTACTTGGTCGTTATGTAATTGTGAATTGGAGTCCACTTACAGACCATATTTTCCCAATTGTGAGATATGCAGTTGAAATTCGATGGTTTTTGTGGTTGAACTAGATTTTTGAAAATTAAAATCGATTATTACAAAGAAAATTAAAACTAATGAATAAAATTTATTGGCATTTGAATGAATGAATAGACGGATGAATGTTCCGAAGGACACACAAAAGGCAAGAATGATAAAAGTGAATGAATGATGTTGTTTCAGAAAATTCAATTAATTCATTATTTCCTAATCATTTTGAGAGAATTTATATGCTATAATAAAAGCATTGATTTTTTTACTCTTCGTTTTAGAATAATCTAACATTTCAACTGAAATTCCGCAAATTGGAATAAAAAAGCTTTGTTGAAAATAAAAAATTGTTTATCTTAATAGATACTTACATCCTATAACGACTTTGTTCAAGCAGACAGCTAGATGAGTTGTTTTTTGATGCTCGTCAGTTATTCTTAATTTACAATAATACATGTCATCCGAAGGAGGTGGTTTCTCGATGTACATCTCGAGTATAGTTTCATTGATAACTGCCGTATATTCTGGTTCTATTTCTTTGTTATTGCGAAAGAAAACCACGTCAGATACATTTTTTCCAGGATAATTGGCATCCAGCATTGTTTGATTTAAAATACACTGTATTCTTAAAGGCTTGCCATACTCAAGTACAATATCTCCCGATGGAAAGGTCCCTTTAAAACAAAGTCAAAATATAAATAAGTTTGATGACTTGAATTCTTTTGTTTCTTTTTCACTGGGTCAAGCATTAAAGTCACTTGTATTAGGAAATAAATTGTTTTATTTTTTTTATCAGATGCTTCACTAAGGTAGTACTCTAATTTCTCATTTCTATTGATTATTAAATAAAAGGAAAATTACTCGACAACTTTCCAAGTTAAAATTTAAAAACTATTTATGTATTTAAAATTCTTTAGTCTGTTTTTCTGATACAAGATTTTGATTCAGTAAATAAAAAGAAAGTTTGGGAATATTTTTTTCGTCAGACTCAAAAAATAAAATAAGATAAACTTACAGCCAGGAGTGTTAATGCCTTTAGCACATTCACTGGGATCTGCACTACACGTTGTACAAAGAATAGCAATACAGATGGCCAAAAGAATCCTCCACATGTGTAATCTTTCGAGAGAGTTTGGACGCCGGCAAGTCGACTTTTGTAATGTGATGTCATTTTTTTCTACAAGTCGAGTGTGAGATAAAAGTTCACTAGTAGTTAAACGGTGTTTCCACTTTTGATATTGTCCCGTAAGATTGCTCGTATCACTAGGCACTCTTTTAACATCGTTTATAAAACATTCATTTTGTCGATACGATGTACACTGATAATTAGCACTTGGAATATCCTGACAACTTTTTACCATAAAGGTGTGAAGATCGATTTCTTCCTTTTCTTCATTAGGGAAATGTCTTTCAAATGGAGTAGTATCACCACTTCTTTCACAACATCTAATCGACGATTCATTATTATTATTACACAATTTCACATGAGATTCCGACATGCTACTAAAATCTGATTTCTTCTTATCATCATTATTTAAAGTATATATTGAACTGTACGTAAAATGTCTATGCATCTTTTGAGATGGTTTTCGTTGATGCATTTTCAAATGCTATCTTTTTCCCGTCACTGAAACAGAGTTGAAAAAAATTCATATAGTCAAATCTCACATACAAAATTATATATCGAAAAACACATTTTTTTGTTACAAGATTACTTTTAAATCCTCGTCATATATTTAATAAGGGACTAATGGATTTATACTGTTAGGTGATGAAACGGAATCAATTAGTTATAATGGTAATGAAAAGATGACAGATTTAAAAAGGCAATTTAAAAGCCTCAAAGCTTCAGGTAAACTATGAAATATTCCTTAAGTCAAATACACAAGATCGAATATATGTACAAATACGTAAATTGTAGGTATAAAAAAAATAGAAATCAATTAGAAATAAAAATTAAAATAATTTACATTTCGGAGAAAATGTTAACAAATCTCGACTTTTTTTTTTCCTTTTAATATGTAACGGAAAATATTATATATGAATCAGAGAATGGTTTCATCTTTTCGTCTCGAACTCAAACCAAACCAAACCAAACCAAACAGAGCTGCAGGTTGTTTGCCTGAATGACCCACAACCATTCAGCCTCCCTCTACAACATATATCTCCTTTTCCTTATACCACGAAATTCTTTTTCTAAACCTGCCACCCTTCTCTCTTCGACAATCTGTAGAAAAAACCCTGGCCTTTAAAAAGATACATTCACACTATACCTAAGTTTTGAATTACATTTTTTCCCATACACACAAATCTTTAAAATATCTCGTCCATTCAATTCATTCAATTGCAATAATAAAATGAATAAAATAAAATAAATAAAATGAATAAAATTGAAAATTTGAAAAAAATAATTCTTGAGTATTAAATTTTACAATATGCAATTTTCTATATTGTCAATAAAAAATGATAAAACTCAATACATAAGAAAAAGATGAAAAAGGGATTTCCTTGTACAAAAGTAGTATATGTTTAGAGAAAAATATAATCAACAGGAAAATAGAACTCAGTTGAATGCTGTGACTGGCTGTTGTTAAAACATAAATACACACCGTACACTACACACAGAGTAAAGAAACAGAACAAAATCAGAGATATTTCAGTGGAATAAGAAATTACTGGATGAATTATTCATAACGCACACACGCACGTACACATCAATACGAAGATACACTAACACGCTCGAACCATCATCACCATGTATCGTAAATTTTAAAGGAACTTGCAAAAAATTCATGCATATTTCGACATTTGTATATTTATTTGTTTATATTTTTTGCAAATCTTGACGTTTGTAAATATAATCAAATTTTGGTTTTTAATATTATAGCGAAAGGTAAAAACAAGAGCAACAAAAGTTTAATTTTCCCTCTAATTGATAATTGATACAATTTTAATGAGATATTAATTATATTTAAAACAATATCATTTGAATATTAAAGAATAAGTTTAAAATATATATTAATTGACATTAAAAATTTATGAATAACACAAAAATATAGAATAAAAGAACTACAGGTTTAAGTTTAGACTTTTTAATTTAAAAATTAAAAAATTTACGCATAAATTCCGAGTCAAAAATATTTTTTCTTCGAAATAATAAATAATTTATCGAATGCTGATACATCAAAAAAGTGCGAAAGTTACGCACTTTTATTTTGCACTTCTTGTTATAATAATATGAAATATTCAAGAAATCATAAATATGCGAGCAATATGAGAAATTAAAATAAAAATCATAAGTAAACACTGTTTTACTAAAAATTTTAGACAGATTTTAGAATTTTGTCATTTTGTAAGAAATCAGATATGATAGCAGGAAGTAAAAGTTTAAAACTGTTTAGTGATCAATTAAAGCTACTTGGAATAAATATTAAATGACTTCTTAGTATTTACTCCGGAATGCAGCTTTGTTAATTTACAAGAAATATATTGAAAAACAAAATGCTTTCTTTGTTTCTTAGTCAAGTAATAGTGAAATAAGTGATATATGTTCAATATCGAAAAATAATGTCTTATTGCTGATCCGTGCATCTTAGAAAAGATCTCAACTTACTAATTCATTAACGCAAAAGCGAAACAAACCTATTATACAAAATCGAAGAAATGATTGCCTTTTGTTAATAATCAATGAAAATAAAGCTTTCGTTTGAAAAATGGAGTTTACAAGAAAATTTCTTTCACTAGTAATTTTCTCTTTTATTTTTATACTTTATTATTCAAATTAGAAGACAATTTATTAAATTATTGAATTTTCGTATTTTTTGGAATAGCATTTTTCTTTATAAATATATGTATATGTGAAAAATGATTAATCGACAAAAAAAGGATATTTAAGTCGGAGAACAAACAAAGTACTTAAGAATAATTTCAAAGAATTGAAAGCTTTAAAGTAGATATTATGAGGAAAGTGAAGAAAAAAAAATTGCCGATAAAATAGCCGTTCACTACCAACCCTACCAACTACAAAATGTTATGGATCGAGAAAAGCTAAAGAATTTTGATTTATTAGTTATTTCTCGATCTCAACTCCCGAGCTTGTTCTCTCTTTGCTTACTCCAAAGTATGCGTAAAAATGCACGCGTGTACGTGTGTCTCGCGCTTGCAGAATATACGATATCATCTAATACAATGTTGAATAGTCGAATATACTCTCTGACACAACCATTCTATTGCGTTTAAGCATAGGGCTGTATGCATTCTCACGTATTCTGCACGTGTGTGCGTTTTACGAGGAACATGTACACCATACTACGAGCCTCATGGCAAATGAAAAAACATGCTCCGATCATCTACCAGGAAAAAATTCAATCGCTTGAATATGGCTAGCATTTGTATTTCCCTTTTTAGACAAGACAAATTTTCGTTCAATGGAATTCTGAAAAACCCCATAAACATAATTAGAATAAAGAAGAACTTACTCTCGATAAGGATACGTTGATTTTCCAAAGGTGTCTCATTGCACTTCTAGGAAAAGACCGTCTTCACTACACTGTACTGAATACAGAGAGAGAAAGAGAGAGAGAAAGAGAGAGCCGCGCACAAAACCCGTTTCACTCTTAGATCTTAAAAAACACTCTTTAATCACTTTTCATTATTCAGAATCAATAGATTCATTAATATTGTAACATTTAACACTCACTCGACTAAAGTCGCATCGCGTAAATTAACCTGTGCCACATCATATTTCAGAAAAATTCTGTTTACATTCAACCAGAGGGACTAAGAATAAATATAATGATACATTCTAGGCAGCATACTCACGATCAATCGTCAATGTTGCCAACGTAGCGACCTCGGCTACTAACAAAATGTCAAAAATACTAAAACTCATTTTTAACCAAATTATAATGTAAATTAATGTGCAAATCAATGCTGTAAATAGCGAGACGAACTTTATTGAATAAACGCAAAAATAAGATGCTTTCAATAGAAATAAAGTAACAATATGTAGTTACTTTGTTTTTAAAATGTTTGTAATACTTCTCTGACGTAAAACTCTATTCTTGGAAAAGACATAAGATTGTGGGCAGAGCTGCCAGATCGCGCTTCTGTATTGAGTTTGCGCAGTACATTAAATAGTGTAAGCGCGAGAATAAAAAAATGTGAAAAAAACCATAAAAAAATAAATAACAATCTAAACTTTGTTTATTGACAAACTGCATTTGTTTACTACACTAATAATTAATTTTCTTACCCTTATTATTACAAACAATCTAAAAATCATTCGTCAATTAAATAGAAATCAAAGACTACAAATTTTAGAAATATATAACCCCCAAAAATAAGTCATCGCCATTTAAAAAAATTTTTCCCTAGGTATATAATTTCAAGAAGATAAAGATATAAACAAAAAGAAAAAGTTCGTGTTGTTTTAAATCTATTAAATGGTATTTAAACCAATAATTTTAGTATTTGAAACAAATATATGAACTAGTATTTAATTATATGACTGAAATAAAAATTAGTTGATTCGAGTAAAATTTAATTTATGTCAAAGTAATCGGTTAATCAAATGAATTTTTTAATGTAGGTACCAAAAAGAAATAAATATAGACTAATTGTTTTTTTGTAAAAAGGAAAAAGTACATAAAGAAATAGAAAATGAATTAATTATTAAACGCTTTTATTTATTATTTTAAAAGTACGTTAACAATATTTCAGCAGCTGTATACAATTAAATGTAACAATACATCATTATAAATTTATTTTGCGACGTTTTACAATAAATGTCATTTCCTACTATAACAGCTCAAAAACATTTACAATATACAAGTAGCTTTTGTAATTATATAATAAATATACGCAACAAAACCCTAAAATTGAGGTGAATATATAATTATTTTGTGTGACATACCTACAAACAGAATATAAATTACATGTGTTTTGTCTTTTTTGAAAAAAAAATCTAAACTTATTTTGTATATTTCAGTTTAATTTAAAATCAGTTTTAGTATCAATGACAGTAAAATTGAGAATTTATAATTACAATAACCTGATGAGAATAAAAATAAAAATATCTAATAATAAAGATTTTTTTTTTCTAATATAAATCATGTTACAATTACAAATTAATATTTCGTCGACTTTTCATAAAAAAACAAATCTTATTTTTGTATAAACTAACAAGTTTACACTCGAAGGTTATTTCGAAACAAGATTATTTTTAGGCACATATTTCTTAACTGTGTCTATGATAAAATTTTATAAAAAAAAAAAAATGAAAATATTTTCGACAAAGACGAAACGAGTGCTTTAGCGATTGCAAATAATAATTACAACTATTTGAGGTTTCATTTTGATATCGAAAAATATAATATATTTATATAAATGAAAATACCTTTTCAATATTTGTCCGCACCTTTTAAGTTTTGACAAAATTAATAATGCACTAGACTAGTATATAATATAAAAATAGGTTTGTTTAAAATACCTAATACTCTTTTGACACTATCTAAAGTCAGGAGGAGTTTTTACTTATGATTCTTATACTTTCATTCAGCATTTCAGTATTTTTTAATATGAATTACTTATCACACGTTAATGTACAATTATTAGGAGTACGAGCTACACTGCTCAAAAAAGCTCTTTGAGTCACTCTTCTCGTTTAAAAGTAGGTAAGTAAAGCATTATTACTGTTAATCTATTTAAGTCTCAAATTTTTATTTATATATTAAGCTGCTGAAGGGCACATCTTTGGTCGTTACAGCACTTAATTTAAGCATCTACAGTAATTACATTTTTTTCTCTACAAATGAACCCCAAATGTAATAAATTGAATTTTGTTGAATATTTAATTTAAAAAAAAATAGAAATTTTCTAGTAACTCAAATTTAATTATTTAATTTCAAGCAAATATTCTACACAAGCTTAAAATTAAAGCTACTTAAATTACATATTTAATTACGTGACTTTATTTTGATTTTTCAAGATTTGTTGAAACTAGAAAACTATTTCATTTATATAAGTTATTTATTAATAGTAAAAAAATAGATTCATTACTGAAAAACTCCAGTGAAAATTATTAATATGAGAAAAGCGACAAAATTGAGCTTGACTTATATTTACTGTATTCAACGAAAATGCGAAATAATAATACATATATAAAAAATAAATGTTCATAAGTATTATATTATTATATTAATTATTAAATGGATATTTAATTTTTTATTTGTCATTAACTATTATTTAAATCCTACACTTTACTTATTTATTTTTGAATTATTTAAAAATTATATTTTTAACAATCACTTTGGATTTTAAATTGTATAAGAATCTCTCTTTTTTATACAAAAATCCAATGTAAAAAAAAGATCGTAAATATTGATTTTCATTCATGTTATGTAATTGTAATGGAAGAACCTAACGTTCGCTATTTTTCTAAAGAGTAAAGTTTAAAGAAACTATAACAGAAAATATTTTATTAAAAAGAGATCAAAAAATTGTTCATAAATTTTAAATCTACTTTTTTAGTCATATCTCTAAAAAATGTTAATACTATAATAGAATGAGATAATTCTTTATATATTATAATTATAATAATTATAATAATTATAATAATATTATAATTATTATTATATTATTATTATATTATTATTATATTATAATAATATTATAATTATTATAATTATTTTATTATTATAATTACACTATTAAGCAAATAAGAAGACATTCAAGCTTGGCATCACTTATTGTAATATTGTAAAAATTGATCCCCATTTTAGTGGCATTATTATTTCGATGATGAAAAAATTTTTCACTCGTCCCCTTACCCTAAAAAGCGAGTTATACATTACTTGAACGGCTTCTAATTTAATTTTCATTAAAATATTATAACTTTCTAATAAAATTAATAAAATTAAGTTAAATTAAGAAATTTCAATTTAGAAAATGTTTTCCCATTAAAATAAAATGGAAAAAGAGGAATTTTACGATTCTCATGAGTATTTAAATTATATCTTTGTAAAGATAAAAAAGAACAAGTTGAATTTTTCTCCAAAATAGCAGATAAATTTTACGATAAAATTAAAAATCTCTTCTTACGTCTTCAAATAACATTGAAGTTTAAATGTCTTAAAAAATATTGAACACGTGCAAGGCACTATGTTTTTATTATTTGCCTGTTTTTCTATCACATTTATTCAAATTGTTAATAGTATAGTAATTTGCTATAGTTTCCTAAGAGTACAAAATATTGCTATAAGTTTATGGAAAGTTTGTAACTCTACATGAATTTTGAATATCTTTAAAGCAATATATTGTCTTATTGGAATTACTGAATAGTTAAATGTGCAAAGCTATCACCAAAATTGAAATAAAAATTAATATTTAAACATTGTTTGGAGCAAGCGTAGGATAGTGTCACCTAAATTAAAACTTATATATATTATTATAAATTTCCTTAAAGTTCGAAATGACATACTTTGAAAATGTACCTATAGTTAGATACACACGATTGATTTATTGTCTATCGGTTATTTATTCTGATGAATCTGATGTACCTATTTATAAATTTTATTGAAAAAGCATAACATTTTTCTAAACTTAAGTGAAATTACGATCTTAAAATTCTGTATAATATATAAAATTGTAAAATATCAATTATCTACTTATTTATATTTCAGATCTTTGAGCAATCAAATTTTTTTTTAAATCGCTATCATGATATTTGAATACCGATTATACAGCAAAATCATTTTGAGGCAAATTTGCGGCAAGGATTTCATAAAAATTGATTGGCTTAATTGAATTATATTTAATAGACCATTTAAATAGAAATGTAGATGCCATGTGTTTGTAAATAATATACTTATCGCAAACTTGATTCAAAAAAAGTTATGCTATTTTATAGTTGGATAGAGCAGATTATACAGCGAAGCATCTATGCTTTCTTTATTTCTGCTCCGCTTTTATCTGCTCTTGAATTTTAATAAATTTAATTTGACTGACTTCAATAACAAATTGCCTAATTGTTGATTTAACATTGGTTTTATATTAAAATATATACAGACGATTAAAATAACAAGCTAAACAAGTTAAACAAGTTAAACAAGTTATTGAATAAGTTATTAAAGATGTTGATTAATAGTAAGTGTCAATATGGAAAATGTGTTATTTTAAAATAAGTATATTCCTCAGAATAAAGATTTTTCTTTCTACTTTCGATTAATAGAAAAATTTCACGGTAGTAGTCCATTTTCTATTGTGATAATAGATTTATTTTTTACCTTCAAATATTCATATCATAAAGATGAGACGAAGCACCGACAACGGAAGGTATCTGACATCCACGTCGTACCAAAAGACGAACAGACGGACCACCGTTTCGTATTATTTCGATTGCTTCAGTGTGCGTCATGTTTTTCGTATTGATACTGTTAATTTCAATAATCTGATCGCCGACCTGTTGAAAAGAAAATACGAAATTAGAAAATATGTAAATACTTGAAAGCTTTATCTTTCAAATCAAAAAATACAAAGCTAAGAATAGAAAGCTATAAAAAATAGAAATTTAATTAGTTGATTTACTCTGAGTCTGTTATCCACAGATGCTGGACCATTTTCTGCGATTTGCAAAACGAATAATGGCATATTTTGAAATTCGCGCCCTCCACGAATACTAAAACCGAAACCTCGAGTTCCCCTTGTCAATTCAACAGCATGATATTGTCCACCATCTCCATCAGCAGCAGATTCATCCTACAGAAATTTATAAATTTAGTAATAATTTCGATCTAAATTCCAATTAAAGAATTAAATGATACGAACCTTGAGAGGAGAGGTACTGCCACAACAATCGTCCAATGGATAACCAATAGTCAAAGTTACTGAATATCCCGAATCCTTGATCAAATTGACAATGTCCTTGTGACAAACATTAGTAATGTCGACATGATTGACAGCAAGAATATGATCACCAATATTCAGTCTTCCGCATCTTTCTGCTGGGGAACCTTCAATAATCCTACCGATCGTAGAACCAGCTTTATTGACGGAAGAAATGATGACAAATCCAAAGCCCTCGTTTTCCATTCTGTTAACAGTCACGTCGTAAGGATACTGCTGATTCATCTGACCTCCATAAGATGACTGTATGTTGTCACGTAAATGTTCCTGGATATTGATGCGCCGCCGAATACCCAGAGTGACGACTCCATTTTGTGCAGCGGCTATCATTAACTGAACTACGTGACGGTGAGACGAATTCATCACGCTCTCTCCATCGACAGACATAATTAAATCACCGGTATTTAGACGATTGTCCAAGTCTGCTGCACCTCCAGGCACAATGTGACCAACGGAAACCTGCTGAGCGTTTTATTTTTATCGCATATTGTTACTGTCTATAAACCTTCTGTAGCGACTTGATCTACTTAAATTTATTCCTATATATATGTATGTGAAGCTTCGTGACGAAAGGTATCTCAACTTCCAAAAATTTTAGATTATCAAAAATACTTTTAATTTTGCACATAATACATTGTGTGCAAAATTAAATTACTTACTTAAATTAATTAAATTAATTAAATTATTTACTTAAATATTAATGATTCTGAACGGAAATTGATCCCTCTTTTCAAGGCTCGAACCAGTGAAATTAATAAATTATTTAAAAACACGGACTTTACGGAACAAAAATAAAAAATTACGGACAAAGATATAACCAGTCCGGGTCAAATAAGAGAACATTTTACTTAAAAATAGAAATTTAATTTTTCATAATAACTATAAAACATGAAGATATCGATCACTGCGAGTCTTCGATTCGGACTAATCGCTTCCTTCATGTTTTATAATAATAATTAAAGTTGAACCAGTGATAAAATTATCATTTTATATTATAAGAATTTTGTTACTGCAACTTCTTCAAAATTAATTTCATTTATTTCATTATTTTCATCATTTCAATTGAATTATTATTTTCTAGAATTTTTAACTAAAATTCTTCTTTAAACGATTATTTTTAATAATTTTCGAAATAGTTCTTGGAAAATTTTCAAATCCATTTGTTTACAATTCAATATTACAAAATTTTATCAATTATTCGAAAATTCTTCAATTGTACATTAGAAAATAAAAACTTGAAATAATTTTTAAAAAAATTCAATTAAACCTTTTGAAAAAAAATTAATTTCACAGAATTGTTAGTTAAAATGTAAATTTACAAAGATTTTATTTTAATTTGAAACCTTTTCAGAATTCAATTATTCTTTAAAAAATTCATGCTATAATGCTTTTAATATTCAATTATCTAAAATTTTAACTGAATTTTATTTTTAAATCAATTTTTATTAGAAAATTCAACTAGAATTCAATTATTTAAATACAAAGATTAATAACTTATTGAATAATTTCCTGTTTCATTAAATTGAATTCTCATAAAGAATTTTATCAACAAATTTTTAAATAACTCAAATATAATTCAATGTTTGCGCACAATTTCATTAAAATTTTTTTAAATAAATGAATTCTTTTGGAAAATTTTATTAAAATAGTAGATACTGAAAATCATTCAATTGAGGAAAATTTTTGAAACTAATTGAAATTTTTACCGAGAATTTTAACAAAATTTTTTTAAATAATTGAATTGATTCGAAGAATTTTATAAACATTTTAAAAATAATTGAATTCTTGCATCGAATTTTATTAAAATTTTCAAAAATAATTGAATTCTTAAGAAGAACTTTATTAATTTTCAAAAATAATTGAATTCAAGCGAAGAATTTTTTAAAAATCATTTTAAATAATTGATTTTTTTCGAAAAATTTTATAAAAATTGTGTTTGCAAATAATTAAATTCCTGCGAAAATGTTATTATTTATAAAAATAATTGAGTTCATAAAAAGAATTTTATTATTTACGAAAATAATTGAATCTCTGTTAAAATTTTAAATTATTCATAAAAATAATTGAATTATTGCGAAAAAATTTGCAAATCACTGCAATTCTTGCAAAGAATTTTATCCAAAAATTTGATATTAATTGAATTTCTTTGAAAAATTTTATTATTTATGAAAATAATTGAATTTACGAAGAATTTTATTAAAATTTTCCATAATATTAATTAGATTCTTTTGAAGAATTTCTTTAAAATAATGGAGTTTCTTTAATAATTTTAATTGAAAGTTTTCAAGGTAATTGAATTTTATATGAACAATTTCTTTCAAGTTTTTACAATAATCCTCTTTCTTAATAATTGAAATTAAACATTTAATTCTTCAATTTTATTGAAATGTTCAGAAAATAATTGAATTCTTTTGAAAAATTTCTTTAATTTATTGAATACAATCGGAATTTTTTAATAATTGTATTGAAAATAATTGAATTTCAAAGAAGAATTTTATTATTTATGAAAAATAATTTAATTCTTGCGATGAGTTTTACTATTTACAAAAACAATTGAATTGTTTCGAAGGATTTATTAAAATTTTAGAAAATAATTGGATTCTTTCGAAAAATGTAATTAAGAAAATGTTTTTTAAAAATTGAATTCTTTCATGAAATGTTATTAAAGTTGTATTAAAAATAATTGATTTTTTGCCAAGAATTTTATTACTTTTCAAAATAATTGAATTTTTGCAATTATTTGTAACTTCTCAAAAATTCTCCAAACTACATATATCGTTAAATTTACGAACTGTTCTTACTTTTTCAATAAAATTACGGACCTTTTTCTTTTTAAAAAAAACTGACTTTTACTAACTTTAAACAAATTTACGGATTTAGTTCGAGACCTGCTCTTTTTTATTTTCATTCTAAATTGTCAAATAATAAGATACTTTTCGTCGCGGAGCGTCACGTATTGTGAAAATTTATTCAATTTGGAAACAAAATGAAAGAAAATAAATCGTCACGTTAATTTTAAATCACAAGATTGAAATGGAATTAAACGTTTACTTAAGAGACTAACCTGAGATCCTTCTTCGGTACCTCCAACTATTCTAAAGCCAAAGCCTGTATCTTGCCTAACTAAAGTCACTAACGTCTCGATCCATTCAATATCAGGAATTGTCGGACACACCATATCGCTATTGTATTGTGGATACCTTTAAAAAATAAGTTATTAAAAAAACCTTACAATTAATTAATTAGTAAATTACACTACTATTTTTTGTAATCAAGTGGAGAAACACAAGGACAAATTAATTAATCATGAAGAAAAAAATAGTAATAGTAAATACTAACCGTGGTGTGGAACTGGAATGTGGTTGTTCATGTTCGAAGCTTGTTGTCTCTTTTCTCTTATCCCAAATTTCGCCTGTATCGACATTTTGCTCCTGTCCAATTGCATATGAATTGAAATCCTGTTCATTGAACTGAGAATGTGTTTGAACAGCGTAGATATCCTTGTAATAATTCGAATGTACACCTCCATTTTGCTTAATGTTTTCTGCATGTGGAGAATTAACGGAATAAACTTCATTGCTTATGTTAAATTTATCAGCAGCCACCCATTCTCTTTTTATGGCATTTCTCTCATCATTCAAATTGGTCATAGTTGTAAAATTATCGGCCAAACTACTAATATTTGATTTGTATGGATCTGTGTAGTACACACCGTGATTATAATCTGAATATTTAAATCTATTGTCGAGCGGATTCATGTCATTTTCGTTTGGTAATTCATTCCAATTTTCTCTTCCCATATCATCAGGCGACTTGAGATGAGTTCTAGTGTCAATTAACGGTGTTTTTGGACGTGTTGGTACTACTGTTTTAGTTTGAGTACTGTAAATATCAGCAGTTGGAGTTTTGCTTCTAAAAAAGTCGTGTGGATTTTTTTCCTTCTTCTCCTTAGGTTTCGGCGACATTCGCTGAACGTAAATTAGAGCTTCTTGATTTCGTGGACAGTCTTTTAAAACATTAACCACCTCGGAATGGCACATGTTTCTCACATTAATGTCATTTATATTAACGAGAATATCGCCCTCCATTAGTCTCTTGCAACGCAGTCCATCTAAAATTTTCTTCACTTTTTGACCCTGAGCTGAATCGGCTATTGTGAATCCAAAGCCCATGACTCCCTTCACCACTGGAATGCTGAGGAATTCTGGCTTTGACGGTAATGGAGATTCTTTACGTTCGCTTAAATCTCCAGTTTCAGAAAGAAGAATGTCTGTGCTACTTGGTCTTTTGATTGTATTGATTTTGTCAGAGATGCAAAGATCAGGCATTGAATTAACGGACGTTGTTGCTAAATTTTCGCCATTTTGCATATTGTTCACGGGAAGGAAGGAAGTGTCCATAAAGTTAAATGGACCTACAGATTGCATACGAGAATCTAGGTCCATGTACATTCCAGGATCTTCACTTGACAGATCTGTTGGTGTAAATTAAATAAAGTAGTAACATTTTAACGAAAATAGAATTCTTTAGCGAAATAGTGTTTTTACCTGGTGCATTCACAGCGATGGTAGTAACAACTTCCGTGTTAGGATCATTTGGATCAAAGGGTAAAGGATACCCTCGACAAACTTCCAATGAAACTGTGTCTCCAGTATTAATTGATTTAAATACATTAACCATTTCATTATGTGTAAATCCCAATACACAAGTGTCATTAACGTAAACCAGAACATCTCCTGAAAATTGGACAAATCGTAAAAAATATCCACCCTCAACCTTAGATTTTATTAAAAAAAATTATTTTACCAGTTTGCAGCTTTCCATCAAGCCATGCGGGTCCATTGGAAACAACACTTTTTATTTGTAAAAATTCCTCCACAGAATCATCGCCACCAACAATTGTAAAACCAAGACCTCGTGAACTTTTTATTAGTGATGTACGAATTCTTTGTCCCTTTAGTTTCTCAGGGTTTCGAGTAAAGTTGGGACTCTTTCTCTCCGATAAGTTTTGTTGAGCTCGCTTTGCTTGCAACACTGGATTTTCGTATTGAGTTCGACGATTCACGTGGTCAATAAAATAAGTACCGTATAGAGTATCGTCGATTTTCTCCCAACCATAAGGCAGTTCGTCATCAAGGCACTCTTCGAGAGACTGTTTTTGAAATTTCGACAACCGAGGATCAAGCCAGTGAGAAGTTCCGGTATTATGACTGCAAAAAAAAGTTTGTTATTTCCTTATTACTGTGTTGAAAATTTTTATTTTCTTTGATAAAACTGTAAACTACTTACTCAATAAAATAAATTTCTCCAGAGTCTGTGTAAGCCTTTTCCCAATTAGACGGAAGAGGTCCCAGCTGATCTTCTGTTGCGTTATGACGATTTCGGATTCTATGTTCGTGATCAAGACCTCCTGGTCCCTGATCCATTGATCCGGTGCTATATAAATAATTTGGTGGAACACAACGTCCAGAACTTTCTGGACCACCGAGTGTCATCATTTCATTATCCATATTGTTTTCTTAATTTTCAACAAAAAGTTTATTTATTACAATTCGAGGCAGAAACAAATGGATACAATTTATTGGAATTTTACACACCATCATTTTGCTTGTCAATAGGTTTCATATTATCAGTCTTAGTTGCCATTTTTGGAAACATTTGCATAACTTCTAGTATTCTGAAATAATAATTTCAGATTAGTGTAAACATATATTTGCTTAAACTATATACAAAGAAAAATTTTACTTTTAGAAAATTAATTTTTTTAAGAATAAATAAATATATTATGCGAAGAACTGAAATTTGTTTCGAATTTAGAAAAAGAATAGTGAAAACTGTGTCGTTGATAATTATCGAAAGGGAGAAGATATTGTCGCTTTATAAGCGACAATAAAAATAATGCACTTGTTTCTGCGAATTGACTGTTAAACTGTACTTATAACTAAATGAAAGGTATGAGCCGAGACCAGTTTACCATCTGGTCAAACTAGTAAATTATCAGAGACTCAACTTAGCGAATAAGTATTAGTATAATGTGGAAATAAAAGATTTTATCTAATTAGTTTTCTCTTTATACACTTGAAAAACAAATACATGGGTAATTTTAATTATTCCGAAAACCAGACAATTCAAGTTTCAAATTTATAAATATAAAAAAATATTTGTAAATAAAAATACACTAAAACTTTTATGAAAGTTTCTACAAGCTAATATGTCATACGTTAAAAAAAAATCAGAAAGCAGGTGCACAAGTCCCATGCATCCTGTTGAAAAGTATATAGAAATTATGGGAAAAGTAATTCATAATCATAGTCTACATATTAATTTACATATTTTTCTCCACTTTTGTAAGGAATTTGTCTCTATTTGTACCTGAGAATTTCTTTAAGAATATGGAAAAAATAAAAATTATAAACATTCTATTTTGTGGTATATTTAGTGGAAAAATTGCTAATTACTGTTAGGAAGTTTAATTTACTGTGTTTACTTTGTGAGTTGTAAATGTTGTAAACGTTGTAAAACAAAATCTTACTTACTCGTTGGAAAATTATAAGTTCTTGTCACGCATGCTGTAAAATATTTCGGCACTGAATCATACACACAAAAATTGGTGGAACATAATTATTATTTATGAAAGAACAGTAGATTCTTCATGAACGATTTCGTTCATTTTTCACATGAGAATCATTAATCTTGGACATATTTACAGATATTATTTAAAACTTCACAAACTGCAAGATTCTATTCATATACACATATATCAATATGTCAATAATGCCACTCAATGTCCGACATATTTGAAACTGCACAACACAAACACAAACTACTGTACAAGTTGGTGTGTGTCGCAGTTCGGTTCGGATCACTGCGCTTTTGGAACTCAGTAGTGGGGAGGCACCAGGAGGCACTATACACTCGTGATCAACGCTGCACACAGAAAATCTTGAGTACAGTCGAGTGCAGCGATGCCTGCCTGCTTTCCAATTTCTAAGTGTTTTTTATGCTCATTCCACACTCGTCGAGAGATGGAAAAGGACACCAATATATCCCTGTCCTTTTCTAACTAATGCTTTGCGTTCGCGATTGGCCTTTACGATACGAACGTGCGCATTGTAGAATCAACTTAAGCTTAAGGTGCTTTCATACCACCGGTCTACGGTATTTTGCTTAAAAACAAAGAATTTTGACGATTGATGTTTGATAATAACAATTCCATTTTCACTAAATTTAAAGTGAAAACCTTAAAAAGAAATGTAAGATATTATAAGATTTGTTGCAATTTGTTGAAACGACTATTAAATTAAATATATTTTAAAAAGAACTAAAGAAATTGTTAAATAATACAATAGTTTAAGATTAAAGTATAGTATTTTGTATAATAACAGAAAGTATTGTAGGATAAATATACTTTTTCCATAAATATCTTTATCAAATAAATGCTCATTGTTGCTCATTAATTTCAGTATGGTTAATAATGTGGAGGCAGAATGTTCGTTTGACAATTGGTATAACATTTTTTCTAAGGAGTCTTTGGAAGCAATTATTATTCCATTAACAACAGAAATTTTAAAATATTTGGAACATGATTCATTTATCCTTCCAATAGAAGCAACAAGGAATATTACATGTAATTCAGAATGGTCAGATGGTTCATCAGTCACTGAAGATTCTTCAAATGTAAATACGTTATATTTCATTGTATCACATAAAACATGCATTTCTAAATCTTTAAAAAATATTATATTCTCTAAAGGAACCGGAGAATACACCACCTAATTTTCCGGAATTTAGTCAGAAAATTCAACAAGCTATTGACGAATTTAAAGCTGTTTTTATAAAATCCAATTGGAGTACACCTAGTGTAAGTATATCATTTCGTAATTAAATATTAAATTTTTATTTTCAATGACAAAAATTAATTAAATTAAAAATTTAAGGATGCCACGTGGGTCACACCAACCAAGTCATTAAAATGCACTTCCTTGGAAGATGTGTATTTGCTATTGAAAAGTTCCGATAGGATATCGAGAGATTTAAGTAAATTAAGAAGTTGCAGTGATAATAAAAATCCTCTCAACTTCTGTTTAGTACTCAAAAGATGGAACGAAATCAATCCATGCACTGAATTTCGTTGTTTTGTTATTGAAAATGAATTAGTAGGTAAGTATTCTCAACAACCGTACTTTTCGTAACTACTTCAATTATATAATTTTATTTCTATTAACTTTAAGGAATATGTCAAAGAGATGTTTCACAATACTACAGACATATAGAATCTGAAAAGTACAATATTCAAAAGGACATTACAACTTTATTTAATGAACGAATTAAGGATAGATTCAAATTACAAAATTGTAAGTTTTAGAATATTTAAAGCATTATTCCTTTTTTTGTTCATATGATAGAATTTTAAATAAATTGAAAATAATGATTTCTAGATTCATTTGACGTTATACGTTACAAGAAGGATAAAGTAAAAATTATAGATTTTGGACCAATGAACGAATCAGTAACGAATGAAACTCTGTTCACCTATCAAGAATTAAACGAAATCGAAATTACTCCCGAGTTCAGATTTATCGCTGAAGAAGTTGGTGTCCAACCAAAAAAGATTAATCATTTTTGTGTACCTCAGGAAATCAACGACTTTTTTCAGTCGAGGGGAGAAATGTCCTTAATTGACACTCTAAGAGCAGTAAGTTTCATTACATTTAATTTACGTATCTCTTATATTTATAATTATATTTCTTATTTTTTTTAACAGGAAGTTGAGTCTCAAGAAACAGCTAATGAAAGTGACGAAGAAGAATCTGGACAAAACAGATAAAATAACCGTCTTTCTTCGTACACATTTTCCATTATTCATTAAATGTTATAAATTATAAAGATTATAAATAAATTGAATAATATAAGTTTTACATTTAAAGAACCATCATTTTTATAAGCAAAATAATAATATTTCACCTTAATAATAAGGAATTTAAAAGTAAAAAACAAGAATTATATTGAGCACTCGGTAAATAATATTTTATTAACTGTTTATTATGTTACAAAAATATTAATAACACAAGTTTTTTTTTATTGCTTTAGTGTACTGAAGTTAACAGTGCATTTCGTCAATGTTTTTTTAACAATTTTAATCAAATCAAGACATTTTTTTATGAACACTACTGTACATCTTAATTTGTAACGCGACATTATTGACAATTCTATTGCGAATCAAAGAGAACTTAAATCAATTAATTCATTTAATTAAATATTCATATTATTTTTAAATTATTTTAATTCTCAATCTTTTTACTTTTGTAACACAAAAAAGAAATTTAAATGTATTTGATAAAGAAATATAAGAGAAGTCATTTACTCCAATTATTATTTTTATTTTCATTTTTTAAAATAGTTTTCAAAAAATAATAAATGAAATTTATTCTAAAAAATTTTATCACTATATAAAGTTAAAATTCTTTAAAAAAATCAAATTGAATTTAAAAACTTAATTTAATCTGTTAGGCCTTTATATTGAGGTTTTTTGATAAAATTTACTTCTAAAAAGAAATGTTACTTGAAGAAAAAATTTTAAAATGCTTGTAAAAAGATATTAAAAATGTTTTATAATAGAAATCATAATTTTTTTTATCACTGTATTAAAAAAGTTGTTGCTCTATATTTTCATGAATTTTATGTACAAATAACGCTGTATTTGATACAATAGTTTCTCAGTACTAAAAAATGTCATTCGAGTGCTCTTATTGCACTTTGATTATTTTTTTTTTGTAAAACGACATTCAAAATGAAAATATAATAGAAACTCGATCGGTGAGCAAGGTCAGGGTGAGGGGTCGAGAGGGAATTTTCATTGATCAACGGCATCAACGGTGAAATTACAATGTGAAAAACTAAGTTTACCTTGACTCACTGATTAAGCGTCTAGTATAAATATTTTTTCTATTTCTTCATATTGACAGTAGTGAATGTATTGTAAATACTAATACCAATTTTCTTCCTAATTGATTAAAATTGAAATAAATTTTATTGTTTGGTAAAACACTTTTAAGTATCGATACCATAAAAACTATACAGTGAAACAAGCATGTTTAAAAATTAAAATCACTAAATTACTTGCAACATGAAATATAAATATTACTTTTTTTTTTTGCTTCTAAAATATTTTAAAATGCGAACAAATGATTACTGATTACAAACTCATGGATCACGTCATTTGCTACAGTTGAGTGGTGTGTCTAAAATATATATGTTTAGATTTTAAGTGAATATTAAATCGTAATTTTTTTATATAATAATACTTAATATAAACTTTTGTGCATTGAAATGAATGATTTACTGAAAAATTCATTAGTGATAATAATTTTCAATGCAAAAAGTAAGTTGATTACATAACATAATAGTACTTTTTTTTGTGGTTTTACTGATTAATGAAGACTATAAACTTCACAAGATAAGGCTCTATAAAATATATAGTTTAAAAATTACCTCTATGTTTTTATAAATAGAAAATGAAATGTTAATGGAGAAAGCATTTTGCGTTTTCCTCATTTTTCATCAATTTTTCATATTATTCCAGTCGATTTAATTTTCAGTATCTGTAATGCAAAGAGAATTTATTTATTTTTTGAAATTGTTTAATTAGAAAGAAAAATTGAAAGTTCTGCTTACCGATAATAATTAGGCTTGAAAGGACCAGCCTTGTTAAGGCCCATGTATTTCGCCTGTTCATCGGAAAGCTCTGTTAAATGTGCATCGAATGTGGGTAAATGCAGGGATGCTACATATTCATCTGGAAAGACAGAAATATTAAAATTGTGTTATAATTTTTATTAAATTAGAGAAAACTACTGATGAATTGACGTCGTTCACTTCAGGATCTGTCAAAAATTTATTTAGGAAAATGAAATAATTGAAATAAAAAAGAAAAGAAAACTACAAACCCATCTTTTTAGGCAGTAGGTAAACGTCACTTTTATAACGTCCCGATGGAGCGTTAAAAAGTTCGATTAATGCCAAAGCTTGTGTGGCGGCCGTGATAGACACGACGAAGGACGGAAGACTGGAGCAGGAGAGGTTGACCAGGCGACCTTCAGCTAAGAGCACTATTCGCCTCCCGTCTGGCCAAATCACATGATCCACTTGTGATCTTACTTTCTCCCATGTCAAATCAGGAGTACGTAAACTATTCTGTTAATGGGAAGAAATTTTTCGAATCAGGTGTCAAGGAGACTGAAAAATCACACCTTGAAAAATTGAGAGAAACGTACAATATCTATTTCTGTATTGCTATGGCCCATGTTGCAAACGACACAACCATTTTTCATCTTATCCATGTGCTCGCGAGTCACGACATTCTTATTCCCAGTGGCCGTTATCACGATGTCCACGTTCCTGATCACCTCATTCAACTTCATCACCCTGTATCCGTCCATGCTGACAAGAATTTTTTTTATCAAATTATGTATTCAAATTTGTATACTTTTCAATAATAATAAAATATTTTTGAAAGCAAAACTCACCTGGCCTGCAGTGCACAAATGGGATCAATTTCAGTAATATATACGATACAACCTAGTCCTTTTAACGCTTGACAACAACCTTTTCCAACTTCTCCATATCCACAAATAACGACTTGTTTCCCTCCAAACATAACGTCGGTAGACCTTTTAAGGCTTCAGAAAAGAGTTTATTTATACTTTTGTTCTTTTATTTCTATTTCTCATAAAAAATGTATATTTTAAATTGCTAATAATTTTGATATACCTATCAAGAATACTCTCTCGGCAACTATAAAGATTGTCGAATTTGGTTTTTGTCACACTATCATTTACATTCATTGCGGGGACGGAAAGCTTGCCAGCTTTGGATAATTGATATAGTCTATGTACACCTGTTACACTCTCCTCAACGATTCCTGTAAATCAACGAGGAATAATAAAATTATTTTCTAAGGACTATTTGATTTTTTAGGCAACGTAACAAAAACTGACCCTGAATCATTTTAAACATGGCGTTATATTTCTTTAACATGAGATGAGTGGCATCTCCTCCATCATCTAAAATCATATTAGGCTGCCAATTCTCTGCCGCTATGCATTTGTCTATGCACCACCAGAAATCCTCCTCAGTTTCGCCTCTCCATGCAAACACTGGATAGCCAGCGTGAGCTAAAGCGGCGGCCACTTCATTTTGGGTGGAATAAATGTTACACGCTGCCCATCTGACCTGAGCACCAAGTTCGACTAGTGTTTCGATCAAAACTGCCGTCTGCGCATTTATGTGAGTGCATCCTACGATTTTGGCATTCTTCAGCGGCTGTATAACAAATTTTTTTGTTTTCATCAATTCAATAAAAAATAGTACAAATTAATTACAAATTTACCTTATCATCGGAAGCTCGTTTTCGAAGAGCCATGATTCCCGGCATTTCCTGTTCCGCAATTTCAATCTCCCTGCGTCCAAATGCATGCTGATTTATGTTTCTGACACAAAAGTCACTAAAGCCTTTTTCCGTCTTCTGAATTTTCTCACGTGGAGAAACATCGTCTTCATCGGAGGAGCTTCCTGTATAAGATGCTAAAGTACATCGGCGCATCAAAAACGGTTAATTGTTAGTGGGAATCGCAAACTAAATTTATATTAGTTGACCGCTATTTGTCATAATATTTTTTTCAATCAAAGAAACTATTTCGTTATCGTTAGACAAATTTCAAAGAGGGTAAAATTCGAAAACACGTTAAGGAACAAAGAAATACATTTATGTAGAGCAAACACAAAAAAGATGTTTCTTACCAGAACTGTAACTATCAGTGCTGCTTGCAGACAAAGAACGGCTGCGATATCGACTGGATTTCTTTAAAGCTCCTGACTTGCTTTCCTATCAATTTTACGAAATTTTAAAATACACAAAACACAATCAATCGATATAATATATAAACTTCTTCTATTGCAAGTAATGTAAATAAACTACAAATAAAACAAAATTAATGAAACTATGATGTATGTAAAACGTTTACTAGACATTGCAGACAAAAATCCGGGCGATCATTAAACTTTTTTAAAATTAAGAGAAATATTCGAAAGGTTCTATTTGATCACCTTCTGATTTTGTGTTATTAGTGAAAAGGAAAAAGTATTTTTGTGGCAAAACAAGATCTAGGTGTATTATTGTGTAAAAACGCTTTTGTGCTTCACATTAAGAAAACTGAAAGCAAATACTGACAATATAATGAAAGATGTATTATAGAATACTTGTTACATAGCGAACAGCTACAAAAGTTTATTTGTCGATTCACATATGTTCTTACTTACTAATTTTGTTCTCGGGCCGTGAAAGGCATTATTTGATGCCTCTAGGCTCTGAAATCACAACCACCATTTCATAATTTAAAAGTATTATATTTTTATCATGTCCACAGAAATAATACAGCAAAACTATTATTTACGTTAATTCACGTTAATGTTTTTATCATACTTGTATTAAAATTATAAAAATGCAATAAAAATCATCCCAAAAGTATTTATGTAGATTAAAAACAAGATAAAAAATTAATAAAAAATATGTATTTTTAGGTTAAATTATATTACACAAGGGTATAAAAGTTATTTTTTTAAAACTGTAAAATTTGTGTAGAAAATAATAAAAATATAAGGGTGTATTAATTTTTTGATATTAATTCACTTTTACATGGATGATATTTTTGAGTTAAAAGAAAGATGTATGTGAAAGATAGTATACATTAGATATGTATAAATGGTATAAATTCAATCTACAAACTGTCATGAAAAAATATTTTTCTATATGTAAAATAATATAAGCATTATTATTTTTAGTAGGTTGCTACAGCTATATAGAGGTAAATAGAATTAATATTAAATGTCATGCAAATATTTTATACATTATACACATTTTATAGGTGTATTTATATCATTTCAGAAATGTTAGGTGTTCATTTTTAATTAAAAAAGAAAACCCTTTTGTCAATTTTATGTAATTGAATATTTTTATAGTGTAAGTATATGTAAATGGAAAGAAAATGTCATTATTTGTTACTTGTTAGTTATGTGAATACAAATATATAATTATATTGTTACACGTTATTAGTATGCAAAAGCATTTGATTATTAGTACTATAAATAAAAATATATAATTTTCAAATTTTTAGAAAAATGCATCTTTGTTTATGCATTATTAACATTATTGTAATTAAAAACAAAGCTTTTGATACATGCTGCATGTCCTTAACTCTCTAAATTAAAATATTTATGTGAATAAGAAATATTTACTTTGATATTCACAGGAAAGTTATTAAAATATATATCAATTATAAAGTATTTTTAGAAAAATAACATTGAAAATTATTTTCGAAATTATTTTAATAGAAATGGTTTATAGTAACAATAATAAAGCAAAAAATGGAGCACATTGAAAATTTAAATAAATATTTTTATAATTGTAAAAAAATGTACGCAATAAAAAATTAAGATACATTTGTTTAGAAGACAAAGTTAAATTTGTTTTCAACTTTTTTTGTGTCATTATTGTCTGAATAAAATATAATAAAATAACATTGAAATCCATCGACAATTAGAATTGTCAAATTTTAGTCACGGGTTCTGACGTAAGAACAAGTTTTTAAACAAAACAATAATGTTTCGTTTATTAAAGTTTTAAGGTTAGAATTTAACAAACATGGGAAATTTACCTTTGTAGCAACTGCTGGATCAGTAACGGGTCCATCAGTGACAGTATTTCTTCTTTCTTTTCCAGAAGAAGTCGTATTCGAAACATCGCTAACGTCAGCCATTTTCAAAACTGGCTCTCTTGCTTCCTGTCGAAAGAAACGATGGCGTTAATCTGTCACGAGTTCACGTCACATGTTCAATTAAAGTTACGTTACTCCGACTTTCGTAATATGACTAAATGCTTATATCTTGATCAAATAATGTTGCCTTAAACTTTCAAATATTGAATATAAAGATTCTTTTAATTTCATGAATTTCATGTAAATTTCGGTAAAACTCGACTACTATTATAGGATTTATGAAAGGTGTAAAAAAGTTGTATATATATGTATACACTGTATATATAGAATTTTCTTTTATCAATAAAATCCACATTATATAGTTTTGACTTATTCAAATAAAGTGACAAATTTATTATTAGATATGAATACTCATTTATTACAACATACGAGTTCTATAAATAGATTTTTGAATTATAAACGATATTACATAGAAATAAAATCAAAAATTTTGTATAAATATAACACATACTATTTATTATTTTTTCATACAGGTATTGAATAAAATGAAATAAAATGCCAATTCTTGTGTGTATATATATCAGAATGGTTTTTATTTTCAATTTTGGGGAACATTTATATTTATATATATAGTATAATAATAACATAAATTAAACTTAAAATGCTTTTAATCTGTTCATTTGGGCGATTAAATCAAAATTACATCCTATTTATATAAGTATTTATACAATTAATTTTTTAAACGAAATAAAAGTTTTTATTCTTCCCCTGTTGCTTGAGCAGAGTCAAGAATTAGTTCAAATGAAAAAGGTTGAAAGCTGTAACCCATACCAGCATAAAACTTGCTCTGGAATTCCACCCAGTGGAGCCTGAGTGTGTGAAGGAAGGCGGACAAGCCCTCCATTAAAACCAAAATACCAACCGTTAAAACTGCCCAAAAGGCAAAAATGGCCCAGAGGAAAAATCCGCCGAGCCAACCTTCCTTAACTAATCCATTTTTCATTACCATATTCCATAATACTTCGGAAAGTTGTGCATGAGCCAGGGACAAGGCCCACAATCGAAGGTACGAAGCAGTGTGAGAGACACTTCCGAGAACGTACTCAATAGTATGAATACCTTGATGAATAAAGACCTCGCTCATATCCTCCTCCTCATTCTTTTGAACATTTTGCATCTGTACCTGTTGATTTCCACTAGCACCTTCAACATCTCCATTTTCCGTTCCATGATTATTGAGTTGATAGTGCTGCTTCTTCCTCTCCTGAATCATCATGAATGGTTTTGCGAACAGCATCCAGGGAATGCAAAGAAGAGCGATGACTACCAAGAATTTTTGCAGCCCCTGCTGACCAGCGTACATATTCTCGTCGCATGGCTCACGACGCACACTTTTATTGAACAGAACCATGTTTATGAAAGTGATTAGAACCGAGGGAGCACAATATGGTCCGTGCTGCTCGTCGCCGTACGGATAGTACTTGATCCACTTGATAAACATCAGAAGAACCATGTAGAAGAACAAAAACAACAGGAAAATAATTTGCGGTATAAACTCGCAAATGATGTTCAATCTCTTTTTAAAGTACATATGATTCCAGAAACCGACCATAATTCCAAAGAACATGTGAATGACCCCGAAGATAATGGAAATTTTCATTTTGTAAGAATTTAGAAAAATGATCTTGTTCTCAGCCAACTGCCAAATGGGGTCCATTCCAAACGGATACGGATATTTGGAATAGTCTGTTGAATTTGGATTCAACTGTAAGTGCGGATTGTCTTGGAGAACTTTCAAATCATAATTCACGCTCCAATAGGATCCAAATATATTCAGGGACTTGGAGAAAACATCGTTGTATATCAACCCCGTGTACATGGAAAACAGCCCCATCAGAAAGATGATGTAACGTCCGCCAAAGAAAATGTTCCAAATTTCGTTATCTGATTTCTTTGCCGCAAGAGGCTTCTCCTTCAAGACCATCCAGGCCCCAAATAGAAACATGATGAGACCATGTCCAGTGTCGCCGAACATAATGGCGAATAAAAATGGAAAAGTGATTATAGTATAAGGTGCAGGATTCATTTCTCTATAAGACGCAACACCGTAGGCGTCTATTAACGCTTGGAATCCACTGGTAAATTTATTTGTGCGATTGTACGTCGGTGGATCTTCGAAGGTGTCCATTCGGTTCAGAATGGGTGGAACGGAACTGCCGCTGCGCTCGGTTCCTCGACGCAAAGCCAGTTGAATGCTCTCGATATCCAAAAGTGGCACCCAACATTCTGCAATTAGACACTTTTGAGTAACGTCTAAATTAAAAAGGTTCAACGTATGATAAATTGCTTTGATCTTCCGGACTTTGATGAACCAATTCTTGAGGTTTTTGGCAGCAGCGACGAGAACTCGATGGCGATGGTCTTGAGTCTGACCCAGGACAGTGTTTAAGTCTTCGATTCTTGTCATGACGCCCATTGCCATTTCTCGTCGATCTGTCGGAGCTTCAGGACAGGGGTACAATGTTGCTCGGAATCCTTCGCAGATTTTTTTAACGCGAGTTTTCAACTGATCACCTTGGAAGAAAATGATGAAAACCGATTTGTAGACTTTGTCTCCAGTTGTTGGATCTTCAAGGGGAGTTTCGATTTCCGCCTGACGGAGAAATACGTTTCCTCGACACGCTCGCCACAACATCCTCTCGAAGGCTGGAATTCGCTCTCTGAGAATGACTCCGGCGACGAAACCCAGCTGAACAGGACCGAGCGTCGACTGTCGAGCGATATTGTCGTCACTGATTAAGGCTCGTGTCATCGATTCAGTGGAATTTAAACCAGCGTGCTCTTGCTCGTCGAAGAAGACTTGTGTTTTGCGAAGAATATGCTTCAGTTCGGTTAGTTCGAGGAAATTTCGTTTAAGAGCCTCGGCATTCTGATTCACTTCTCGCAGTTCATTCTCTAGTTTCTCGAAAGTCGCTTCTAAATCAATCATTTCACGTGGTTGGGGTGCTTCAGGATTGTCTCCTGTATCAAGCATTGGAATGCCGTCCTTTTTTATTTCCTTTTCTAAATAACGCAGTTTGCGTTCCATTTCATCACATCGGCGGACTTCGTTTACAAATTTACGTTGGAATGCATTTACATCTGGATTGAGATCTCGGAATTGTACAAGTCCCAGTTCTCCCAGTTCCGATACACAAGCGTATGCAGCTTCACTCTGTAGAAAGAGTTGACACAATGCCATTTCCTCACTTCTGAATAGAGATCCCATCTTGGTAGTTGATTAAAACTTCTCTGGAGTTAATACCGGGGCTGAAAGAAAATCATTTTTCATTCTCACAAAAATGGTCTAAAGTCTCATTTAATTTTCATGAATCATTAACAGTAAATTTTTCTAGCCTATAATTAAAATCCAATTTGATAAGAAAATTCTAATTCTGTTAAAAATATATTTTTAAAATCAATATCGAGTTTGATAACAATAAATTTGAAAATGTGACGTTTATCAAATGTTATGCTATCATTCAAAATAAGTAAAATAAAAACTGACCATGAAATCTTGACCTTGTAGGTTTTTCTGACAAGTGTCTTTTTAAAAATCATATGGTCTGAAATTTGGCATGACAGAAGAATCGAGTTCAAATATAATTTTAATTTATAAAGTAAAATTTTGTTGGTATAAAATTTCCGAGTGGACGAAAAAGTCCGAATTATTAAAACTTATTGTTTTTTTAGTAAGAAATATTATATTGTAAACGAAAATCAAAAAATAAAACTTACATCAAGGAAAATAGACCGAAGCAATGTTCATCAGTTTGTTTTTCTCCTTCCTCGGAAGAAAAACACCCACTTCCTTTATTCTGCAATGATACAATTACTTAGTTTCATGGAAAAATGACTGATATTAATAATAAAAGAAAAGGAACCAAATATTTAAACAATACTATACACACCTATCAGATGATCAATACCTAACCATTGTCACGAGACATCGAGACCGTATCCCGTATTGACGTCAAAAAGAGAAATCTTTGAACAATCTGCTTGCTCTGTCGGTTAGAACTGCAACTATCGCGGGTTAATTTGAATATTATTTAAACCAAATTTTTAAATGCATCTTGTATTTTTTCTAATTAGTAAAATACTTATTTACCTTGTGGATAAAATATTTTGAAGAATTTTTAATTAATGTGTATTTAGTATAAACTTATTTAATGTATTCAGTAATTTTACGTTAGGGTGCTTTCACACCTTATCACCCTTTGATGTTAAACGTCAGTTGGTAAAATAATTCTATGCATTTATTATTAAAAATATTTTTCCCATTTTTTCTTACAAATACGCACAATTTAAGAATGTAAAAATAAAAGTTTACAATTTCTTTTATTCTTTAAAATCTTAGCTATTTTTATCATTATTAGCTCAAATGATTAAGATTCAAATCAACATTATACAAAAATATTGTATAAATTAAGGTTATGTGCATATAACTATTATTAATAATGTTATAATAATAGTTTGTTGATAAAGAAAAATAATGCATTTTAGTGATAATAAATGTACATTTTTAATTATTTATTCTCCATGTGTCGCGATGTGAAAATTATTTTTTCGTGCCTCTTTGGTGCGACAAATTATTATTCTGCGACACATTTAGTGATTAATTCGACGAATTATAACAACAACGATAATAATTCATGGGCTGAAAAAATAATGGAGGCAAATTATGATGAAAATTTGTCTGAAAATCCCTTCTTTCAAGAACTTCAAACTGAGCACAGGTCAACTTTTGAGAAAGCAATAAATGAAGGTTGGATTATCTGCGTTCCTCGATGCGGTAGTTTTACTAGAGGATCTCTTCTGGAAGATGATTTTTTGAGTCATATTTTAATACCTAATGAAGAAAAACCAGGTAAAGAATATAAATTCTATTTATTACATTCATTACGAGATCATTGCGATATTGTTGATATTTTCAGTATTGAACTTGAAAAATAATTATTGTTATTGTATCCAGGAACATCTTTTCATACGCTCACTGGAAGAGAGGTGAAACTGTGCAATCGAGTCTTGACAATTGAATATGATATTTCAAAACCATGTTCATTGCATATGCTTTTCGAGGAAACTTTCTACACCGAAAATCTTCATAAATATGTTATATGGTAATTAGTTTGATAGTCGTTACGAATGAAAAAAATAATCTGTTTACAATTTCTGTATTTTATATTCAAGGTGCATAGATCATCCACTGGAGCAAGGTGCTGGTACATCTAGAGATCATGTACCAGTTGTGACGAATCTACGAGAATCGAAGGATCTACTTTGGACGGAAGTTTTGAATAAAACTGTACTGCAAGATTTAGATGCTGAAATTGAGGAATTTAGTCGCAGTCAAGATGATCTTGATCATAAACCTCTGCATTTGCAAAGGGATTTAGTTGCTTCTCTCTATGCGAAGAGTTTAAGAGTTCTGTTAAAGGACACAAGACTACGTGAAAGAACCACGGGCAGTCGTTATTTTCTTCAAACAATTAAAATTGCGGCTGAAACATACATTCTTCACAGTCTTCGAAATATTCTTCCCCAATCAATTTCGACCAGTACTGCTTTCGAGGATGCGAATTTGAATAAAATAATTAAGAACCTTCATGAACTGCAACTTAAAGATCTTGGGGTGCGATCGGATCTTTGTGACGGTGTTTCAAGAGGGAAATTGGAATTATCTCGTCTTGACATTTTTAACACAGTTTTAGGAAAGATTGGCTGTCTGAGAAGGGCGATTAAGTTCATCTCTCAGGGTGAAACGTCTGTTTCTTCCGACGATTTGCTACCTGTTTTAATATTTTTGGTTATTAAATCAGGACTGCCGAATTGGATGGCACAAATAACTTTTATGAAACATTTTCGATTCTCTGCGAATTCTGTTTATGAAGCTGACGAAGCGGGATTTTTGATAACTTCTTTGGAAGCGGCGGTTGAGCACGTCAAGTCGGGAGTTTTGACTGGTTCTTCTCAGCCGGAAGCAGACAATGTGGATAGAGATGAAGTGGACTTTGAAGTTAATGAGGATAAGAGAGAACAAGTGACGTTAAGTTATTTGTTGAATCGAATAAAGAAAGGTGATTTGGTGGAAATAAAGCGTATATTGTCTAAGACGAAAGAGAAATCAATTAATAATGAGAGTAAACTTTGTCATCCACTCTGTACATGTGACACTTGTGAGAGAATTGTGGCAAGAACGTCGCATTTAAATTGGCCGACTTTGAATTCAAGGGACGATAGAGGATTAACTGCGCTGCACATTGCGAGTCTTTACGGTCAAGTTGCTGTTGTTGATTTTCTCATTCGACTTGGGGCTAATGTCAATGATGCTGACGCTGACGGAGCAACGCCCTTGCACTGTGCTTCATCAAGAGGCTATCAAAACACGTTGCTCTTGCTGCTACACGCTGAGGCTGATTTAAATGCCACTGATACGAGGGGAAACACACCACTGCATCTCGCCACTGATTATGGTCACGAGGGCTGCGTCAAAGCTCTGCTTTATTTTGCTGAACAAATAAGACTCGTGATTGACGTTAACGCCGCCAATTTTACGGGCGATACCCCTCTACATTACGCTTCAAAATGGGGTTATGGCGAAATTGTCGAAATTCTCCTAGATCACGGAGCTAACCCCAAAGCAATAAATAGAAGAGGTTTGACTCCACTCGCAGTTTCTCACAGCACTTACGTAACTAGAATGTTGCAAAAAACTGGAAGTAACGATTCAAGTTTCCTTCCACGTCCAGTAAGAAAGGAATCGATAAAATCTGAAGTGAAGGAAACTGCAAAAGTAAAAAAACAAGTGGTAAGTGTAATAAATAACAATTTAATTTAAATTTCATTTCGTTTTGTAAATTTTACAAATAATTACTTTGCAGGACTTTGCCGAATTCACCGCTGATGATAGTCATAAGATCACCAAACTACTCTCAAGTGTGACAGAGGGAGATCTCTGTTTAGTCTCATACTATCTAGGTTTGGATGGACCACTTAAAAATTCCCTGGAACAGAAATCAAATTTTTGTCATCCTCTCTGCACTTGTGAGAAATGTGCTTCTGCAGAAGAGGTTTTTGACAAAGAAGACAGAAAGCCTCATTTGGGAATAAACACTTGCAACAGTCAGGGACAAACAGCACTGCACGTTGCTTGCGAAAATGGACACGTTGAAATTGTCCAATTATTATTAGACGCAGGGGCTAATGTAAATGTCACAAATAAAAGCAAAGGACAAACACCTTTGCACTTAGCTTCTTTGAATAATCACACAAAAGTTGTGAAATTGCTTTTAAATTGTGGAAATTGTAATATTAACGCAAAAGATGATTCTGGAGACACACCATTACATCTTATGATAAGAAATGAAAATTCAAAAGTTGCAGAATTATTACTAAGGCATGGAGCAAATGCACAAAGTAAAAATTGTCATGCAATTACACCTTTAGAAGAAGCTGAGAACAAATTGTCCAAAGATGATAATCTTTTTAATTCTTCTACTCCTCCGAACATCATTAAAATCTTAAAAGAAAATTACCTGCAATAATATTTGCAATTATTTACTAAAAAGTTAATTTCTTTGTTTCAAAAAATTATCAATCAATTGAAACTTGGATAAGTGCCAAAGCTAAAGTGACTAAATAGTATCTCCTAAAAAATTATATGTATATAAATAAAAAAACATTTCCCAAATTATAATTACATTTTGTAATTTGGTTACTATAATTATACATATGTAAATTTTAAAGAATTTTCTAATTCTATGGAAATAAGGGTCTCAATATTTTGTAGTTTTATTAAAAAAAAATTAATATATAATAAAAGAAATAATAAATTATTCAAAAAATATAATAAAAAGTCTTGATATTGATTTCAATAGTAATATATGTTATTTATTTTTATACAAAATTAATATTTGTATAGAAAGTAATGTAAAATCTATTTTCACTTAACAATAATTGTAAAGCTAACACCTACTACTACTAAGAATCCATTTTTTTTATTTACACTCTCACACAAATAATACAATTTTTTACAGTAATTATCACACATCAAAGACAAAAAAAAAATTATTGAATAAACGATTTTATTTTCTGATGTATCATTAATCGCATTTGTTTCTAATTTATTAAAACGTTTCATTCCGTACATTATTTAAAATATTTTAAACACTTCAAAGTAAAACTATTTATCCATTAATACCATTAAAAATTGTGCAATAAAAACATATAAAACTTGTTATAATTCAAAATTTTTCTTAAGCTATTAAAATAATTGATTTTTAAAAAAGGGAGAAAGAGGAATTTTTTAATTTTCCCCGTAAAGAAAACTTGAATCAACACTCACGATACAAATTTACACATTCAATTAAAATTCACTAGTATATTCTGCAATTAAAACTTACTTCTAATATATCACAAACAGTTTTTCTTCTAATGCTAGAAAATATATATTATCTTTCATCTTTTTTTTTTGACATTTTTATCTGATTTTTACACAACACACATAATAAATACATAAATCACTTTGAAGATTGTATTCAATTGGAATGTACAATACAACCTACGTATAATTTATAAATTATAAATTTATATTATAATAAATTCACAATATGCAAAAATATTTATATTGCATAAATCTTTTAACTTATCAATAAAAAATGATTTTTTTGTATAATACATTTTATATACAATTATGAATTTTTCTAATTAGAAATGTTGAATATCACCATTAAATCGTATTTGGCTTTTAGAATACCATATTTTTTTGAGGAATTCCAAAAGTTTTCCAAAATTCGGAAAGAAATATAATTTTTTCAAATAGAAAACTTCTATAACAAGTCTGATTTATAATTTCGATTATTAATTCTAATTAATAATCTTAGAAAGTAACATATTGTATAAAATATATGTATGAATTTAACTTGATGGTGGTAGTGCCCATTTTATTGGTTCTTCAACTTTTCTTCTCCTGTCATCGTACTTTTTTCTTTGACCTCTAAATCTCATTCTATTTGGACTCCAGTCAATAGAATTCTGTGATCTCCATTGTGTCGTGGGCAATGATTCAACTGTTTGAATTGTTTTATAATATTGATCATCTAATTGAAATGGAAACTCATAATTTTCATGATAATATGTTTTGAGATTTGGCTCCAATCGAAACTTTTGCATAGCACACCACACATGAGGTAATAAACATGGAAATCTAGAAAGCCAGTATTCGGTGAATTTTTCTGGTATTTCACCCAAACTTGATTGTGCTTCGGGCGTTAATTCTCTGTAATGATGTTTCTAAAAGAAGAAAATATTTAAATTTTCACGATATTTTAAAAAATAGTTATTTAATTAATAATCTACAAATTTTGAAACAAAAAAAATATACTTCTCTGATTTTCTTAATGCAAATACCTTATTTCTAAGTGCTCTGAGTAAGTCTCTAACACTTTCGCCTCGATAGCTTCTGTATTTACGCAAATCAGTAGCAACTTCAACATCAATGTGAGATCTCCAGTCAGATCTTACTACTTTATTATTATTTGTTTCTAATGATCTTAAAGCGGGACTATTAAGTTCATCCTTCTCAACTCTGTCACTGATATCCTGTTGAAAAAATTCAATTTTGAAAATGCGTATAGAAAGGGCAATAAAAAATTTGAAAAATGAAAAGAAAATTACTTGAAAGAAATTAAGAATTTGGGCCGAGTTCCAGAAAAAGGGAAAATTTTGAACTGCAGTCGCTGGTGGCCGATCTGTAGGATTACTATTTATCATTGATTGAATTAAAATAAGAGCAATTTCTTTGTCATTTTCCGAAATTTCTTGAAGTCCTGTCAAGTCACTCTCACCACCTGCGAATTAAAGTAATTATGAAAAAATATTTTTGGGACAAATTAACTGAATTTTAATAAATTAAAAACCAACAGAGTATATTTGCTTGTCTTCTCAACTGATCTCCGAATGGATGCTTCCCTCCTGATAAAACATAATAAAACACGCAACCCAGCGAAAAAACGTCAACTGCACAAGTTGTTCTTTCTCCATTTAACATCTCAGGTGCGATCCATCCATCAGTTCCAGTTACACCTGATCTTCTAGAAAAGGACATTCGGCCCAATTGTAATTTTTTACAAAGACCAAAATCAGAAATCATTGCTCTGACTTCTCCTCTAGGCCCTGGTACTGATAGCAGTACGTTGTGTGGTTTTATATCTCTGTGAACTGCAAGCAAAAAAGACGCTTCTTAATTATTTTAATCTGTTTGAATGAAATTATCATTAAAAAAATGAATTTATTTAACGATTAAAATTACTTGCCGATGTCTAAGAAATGTAAATGTGAAAGTCCAGAAGTGGCTTGTCTTAAAATATTCTTTATTGATATTTTTCCTCGGTTGTACCTTCCAGCAACATAATCTTGCAATGTCGCTTCTGCTAATTCCAAAGCTATGTACCGAAACATTCGATCGTGTTCTGTACAAAAATATCGAACAACATTTGCATGTGCGTCGGATTCTCTTAGCAGTGCAACTTCCCGATCGGCAAAAGTGAAGCAGTCTGGAAGAAGGCGTTTCACTGCCACTGGTCGATTATCAAATTCTCCCCTGTTTAAAAAATTATTGAAAATTAATTAAAATATGAAGAATAAATTAAAAGACAATAGAGGGAAAAACGGCAAATCAAATACATACTTGTAGACAAAAGTTCCTTCACATCCTTTACCTAAAACTTCACTAGTATCGAAAGTAATTTTTCCCACTCTAACCAAACCTTCTCCAATTTCCTCAGGAATGTAGACATCTGCATTCTTGCCATTGCTACCAGTGCGACTGCTCTCTCGGGAACCCTGATCAAATTGCTAATTTTAGGCGTAGGAAATTTCTTATTCATTCATCAAATTATTTTTGATTAACAAAGCTAATCATTATTAAATGCTAATCAAAATTAGCTTTGTTAATCGAAAATAACATCTGATTTTTACAAAGATAATTCGGAATTAAAGATATAATTACTTGTGATAACTGCTGAAATTCTTTGAATTGAGCATTCAAGTACCAAAACATTGTGATTATACAACCGACCAGAATTATCAATGTCAACTTTAATCCTTTACTCTCTTGTTGATTCAGCCATTTTTTTCCTGCATTATAACTCGCAGCAATGGATCGACGCCAATTTCTATGCTCATTTGTTGTGTTTATAAATTCCTTATTGTTGTCTTCGATTGTCTTGGTGAAATTTTGTAAAGGTAAACTCGCTGGAATAACAGCTTGAGAAGGTCCTGCAATTTGAAGAGGCGAATTCTGCGGCTTATACTCGGCAGGCACATTGTAATGACCTTGAAGAAAACAGATTATTCAATAACGATTTCCTTATTTAATTATAAATTTTATAGTATTTCGAAAATGTTTGGATCTTTCAAACTTACCTAACATAATAATATTCTTTTCAGGATTAATGCTTTGAAAATCATTATCAGATGTCTCGATTTTTGTCGTAGACACGTGATCTCCAGGGAGAGGAATTTCGTTATTGTTATTATTATTATTATTATTATTATTATTATTATTCGAAATATAAGACGTAATGAGAGGTCCCTCTAAAAGTAAATGAGCCGTTTTGCTAGATATTGTCACTGTTGATGAATCAGCAAATGATGGAAGAGCATATAAACCATGAGTATGTTCTCCAATATAAAGAGTTTGTCTGCAAGAAAGTTTGAGTTTATTAACTATCAATTGAGAGTGAAAATTACTCTTGGGTTTTGTATTTTCTTTTTGACTATTGTACGTACGACAATTGAACTTGATTGAGATTCGCAGTAGCTCGATCGAGTAATCTATCCAAAGCTTCTTCTGCTACACTGGTAAATGGAATTGCAGTTAAACCGTCTTTACTCACAGTGTAAACTGCAATAACAGGACTTCCTAAATCCAATTCCCATAAAACTTTCAACAATCTTCTATTTAAAGTTACAACTCTGCCTGTTGAACTTGTGGTGAAGTGCAAAAGATCTGTAAATCATGAATAAAATCAAATAATTGAACTTGGAATATATCAAATTTAAATAATATTAAATTAAAAATTGAATACCATAATTTTCGATAGAATCTGATTCCATTTTTGCAGCTGAATAATCGTAGAAAGTGACATTCCATTTTCTATTTTTGTGCTTACTGTCAATCATAATAATATTGTACTCTGTCCGTCCAACATAGATAACATCCTGAGTTTCCAAGGGACAAGTGTTTTTGACTTTGTTGAAGCCTAAAACTTGTTCCCTTTCGCCTGTTTGTGGATCAACACTAAACCAGGTGTCAATTTTTCTTCCAGTATATAAAATTCCATCACTGCTTCTGCACGGGCTACTGGCCACAAGTTGCGGTATTGTAAATGGCAACTTTTTTAATACTTCAGAATCTGCACCAAAAAGATACAATGTGCCGTCCTTTGGATCAGGTAGAAACATTGGCCTGAAAATATTTTCATGACAATTTTTTACTTATTCAATAAACAAAAGAATTCGATTCTTTCAATTTACAAACTTTTAAATTAATAACAAAAAATGTAAGTTTAATGTACTTACATAGAAGTTTCGGAAATACTGTGTGGTACTTTTACTGCAGGTTCTATAATACGTAAATAAATTAAAATAATTGATACTCTAGAAATGATTAGATTTAAAAAATAGAATATTGAATGAAATTACCGTCATCCTGACGCCATCGAATTTCACCAGATCTTTGCCCTACTCCAATAAAAGATCCACTAAGAGTGGAGAATATTAGAAGAGGGTCATGTTCAGAGGTCAACTCTGTACTCTGACTCTAAAAAACAAAATAAAATTTATTCAATTATTCCAAGGTTACATACTAATAATTATTTACCTACAACAATATGATAAAAACAAATAATAAATTTATACATTCTAACAAAGTAAGAAAGAAACTGAAACAATATACTACCTCTGTAACTTGTTGGTTTGCTAAAGTGCCCAGAATAAAGAAAAGCGTAAAAACAGATGGATATATTTTTGGAAACATTTCAAAAATTAGAATTCTCATTTTTGTGAGATTTTTAATAAAGTTAGGTTATATGTTCTCCTCTAAGCTTTACAACATTCCAAACCACAATATTTTTATCCATATAATTTTGCATTGGTTAAAATCTTGCACTAACGTTTTTCGAGAACAATTAAACTGTCAATAACAATGTAGAATTCAACTGGTAACAATAGTTGCGTCATTTTTTATAGTTCTTGGACCCACACTTCAATATTTATTCTATGTGAAACATTTCGAACACTCAAATATATTGTACTTTAAATTTTTTAGTTATTAGAAAATTAATTTCATTGTGGACCTAATTTTAAATAAAGATTCATTTTTTAGTGAACAAATTTTTTTTTTATATGAAGTCTATAACATAACCTATACATAGGATCAGTATAGTATAGTGTTGGCGTTGATAAAACAAGGAGATATTAAGGTGAATTTTCTATTCTATTTTCTATTATCTATTATTTTTTTTGTAAATAAAATATATTAATGGAAAAAATATTGTATATCAGGTTGCTTTGTTGTTGAAACTTTGTTCACAATCGATCTTCTAAATCGATTCATTAAAAATGCGCTGTTACGCTGTTAGGTTGTGTTCACAATGGACTAAAATCGACTAGCTTTTTAGAGGCTATTGTAGAACTTCCTTTATAACATAAAGATAGGTGCGATCACACTGCATTTATTATGTTTGATTTAAAGTAAATTCATATTCTGCATTTAAATTTATGATAATTTAGTCAGAATTTTATTGATTTAAAGTAAAGCAGAATTTCATGAGAGTGAAAAAGATAGTAATTATGGATTCAGCAAAGGCCAAAGACCTAAATAGAATTCACACGGATACGGGAACAAAGCTTGCAAAAGAAAATGACAGAAGCTGCCTGCATCCTTTTCTTTCTGTCTTTCCGTATCCGTATTCATTTTGATGCCCTTAGTATGTATTGAAGAAAGGCCTTTAAAATATTTGACAGGCTGATTTAAGGTGCTTCGACAACTTTCATTCTACCAACAGGAACAAAAACATTTACATATATATAACAAATTGTAAAAGTTCCTTTATTCTATTTTATCACAATAAACACTCCTTTTTAAATTATGCATAATAATGATTAAATTGCAATAAAGTCTTATCTCTCCGTCAGAACAACAAATACTAGAATCGTAAAATTTTAATTTATCTTTCGTCTAGGACAATGTAATATAGAAATTCATAGATAGAGAAAGAGTGAGTCATAAAGATAATGACTATATCTGAAGCTGTTAATAAATATGACGACATTTCATTTCAATAATAAACAAGAAATATATTCACCTATGAAAGTTGTTAAAAAATGATCTCCAAAAATAATCCAAAAAAAATTACACTAGGAATGATGAAGGGTAATATTTTTCTAATACCTACATTTTTATTATTTTTCAAATATTGATTGTTTCTTTAAATTTTTTTTTTGACATATGTTTATTTATGTATTTAAACAATGCATTTATTTTTATTAAAGATTTTTTTTATTTATTTTAATAGTATTCTAAATTTATCTAAATCTAAATATAAAGTTAATAATTTGTTTAGAAAACAAGAAAAACGCAAAGATCATGAACGTTTGTTTAAAGTAGAGGATGATTCATTCTATTGGGATTTTTAATATTTTAAGTTTTTTAAACGAACATACGTCCATTTCCTTATATTTAATGCATATGAAACGTCAAAGTAGAAATTACATAACTATAATAAATAATAATTAAAACAGTTTTTTTAATTTTCTATTTAGAAAATATATTTAAATTGTAAATTATATTTTATATTAATCAGTGTGGAAATGACGGTGTGAAAATATAATATTATGAAACAAAATTGAAATGTGAAATATTAATGTATGTAATTTTCAGGAAAGTCAATCACTACTTCGGTGCCTTCAATTAAATATCACGCAAGCGATGACGAATTGGAAGAATTGTATTCAGAGGAAGAGTCAGAAGCATCTCCAAAGTGCAGTCCTATTAAAAAGTTGGATGATTCTGAATCTTTTGAAGGCAACCTGGAGCGACGATCAACCAGCATGGATGAAAATTTATCAGAAGGAATGCCACCGTCTGATACTTGGAAATTGCTTTTAGACATTAGAGGAAAGATAACAAAGACATTTGAGGATAAAATATCGGAAATAAAAAGTGAAAAAAAGAAGAAGAAGAAACGAAGAAGACAAGAAGTTGCCAGTGTTAGTGATTCTGAGAATTTTGAAGATATCACTCCTGTAGAAGACTTTAATTCCGAAAAACAAAACAAAGAATCATTTTCCCCACTGTTGAGAAGAAGAGTTAATTCCTCTAGATTTACTTTTCATGAAATTGAAACTGGATTGAAAACCAAAGTTTATGAAGAAAAATCCATAGAAAGTGGTGTGGAAGCTGTTGAACTTTTTGAAGACATTGTGAGCAAGACTAATTTACCAAAGGAATCGGAAATTTCAAAAGTAGGAATTAATGTTAAAGATTTTTGTTTTCGAATTTTCAAAACTACAAATACTGAACCAACAGAAATCGAACATATTTTACGACAGTTTTTAAATTTATTATTATACAAATTATTTATTTTAATTTGTACATTGTTAGTTTTGTGGATAGCTCCTGTTTCTGATATTATAAAAGGAATTTGTTTAGGAATCTTTGTCTCATTTTCTTATAGAAAAACTTATTGTCAAATACAACAAGTTTTACAAACTCCTCCAAAAAAGAAATCAATAATTGAAATTCCTGCAGTGGAGGAATTTGCCGTCCTAGACAAATTTGAAGGATGGTTAAATGAATTGCCGTATGATTATAAGCCTGAAAATTATCACGTGGCAAGGACAAAATCAGTTTTTCTAAAATTAGAAGGTGACGTTCTTCAAATTTTAGAGACAAAATCAAGGATACCCAAAAGGGCTGTATGGGACGAACCGAATCATAAAGTTAAATTTACAAAGAAACGAATTTATTCTTTGTCTGGATCTTCAATTGAATTACTTCCGCTGGCTTTAATTAGAAGAAGGTACGTATTGTTAATGGAAAATATTTTTCAACTTTGTTCTCTGATATTACAATAGAATTTATCTTTCAGGAGATGGAGTAAAAAGTACCCAATTTGTATAACTTTATTGAAAGAAGCTCTAATCGAATATAATTTTCTGAAAAATTCTTCCGACGACGAGACACAACAAACAGAAAATAAAAATGATAAGATTATTGTCGAAGCAGAAGGAGAACAAGAGGAGGAGGACGAGGAGGAAGAAACCGACGATGAACTTTCTCAATCGAAAGAGATAAAAGATGTTTTCGAAGACAGTAAAGAAGAATTCGAAGATCTGAAGCATAAAATATTTATTTTTGCAAGAACTGATCGTCAAAAAGAAGACTGGTATAGACAATTATCATTGTCAGCAAAATTAGGAAGTAAACGAAGTTCGATATCATCAGCTAAAGATTTGTCATTATCTCAAAATTTGTTGCCAACAACATTGCCAAATGAAACGAAAAATTCTTCGAATTTTTTTTTTGAAATCTCACCCGATTCGTATATGACCTATATGAGTCGATATACCGAAGTAAGTTGATAATTTTTTTTAAACTTAATCTTAAATATTCTCAATTGAATAATATATTTTATTTGTACAGCCAAATTCATCTTTACCGCTGAATGACCAAGTGTGGATAAATGCTTTATTGGGTCGATTAATTTTTGACCTTCACAAGTGTCCGAATATGATAAATGTTATTCAAGATAAAATACAACGAAAACTTTCCAACATTAAACTTCCGTATTTCATGGAAAGTTTACTTGTATCCGAACTAATGATTGGACAAAATGCTCCCGTAATTCATAATGCAACGAAACCTGTTTTGGATGGAAGGGGATTGTGGTTCGATTTAGATATTTCTTACGAGGGATGCTTCACTATGACCATCGAGACCAAGTTAAATCTCATGAAGTTGAAGAGGGCGGGTTCCCTTTCCGTTAATTCGAACGCGAACAATTCTAACAATTCCAACGATATCTCAGAATCAGATAAATCGTTACCAGCTCGATCTCCCGTCTACTGCAGTGATGTAGAAGACAGTCCCGAAACTTCGACAGAGGACGAGGATAATGGACAATTTGCTTCGCCCAGTGTGTCAAGGGAATCGACGTGAGTCTTCTTTCACTTAAACATAGTTGCTAGAATTTTATTAATTTAAAAAATTAATTCATTTTTTACAAAAACTTTTGATATTTTCAGTCCAACTCAGTCTTCTGGTCGAAAATTCCTGAGCATGATGGATAAATTAGCATCTAGTAAATATTTCCAAAGCGTAAGTGATTTGAAAGTGATAAATAGAATGGAACTTTTTAAATTTCATATTAATAAAAAATAAAAAATTATAGGCTACAGAATTATCATACGTGCGGCGAGCTATGGAAGGAGTTTCTAATACAGAAATCAAACTTATGGTGAGCGTTTCAAGTATTCAGGGCTGTTTAGCTGTAAACCTACCTCCATCTCCTTCGGATCGCTTGTGGTACGGATTCAAACCTGTTCCAAAGATAAGTTTAACTGCGAAACCTGCACTTGGTGAAAAAAAATTTGACATTGTTTACCTCACGCAATGGATTGAAACAAAACTTTTAAGAGAATTTGAAAAAATTGTCGTCATTCCAAATATGGATGACCTCTTGATACCACTTTGTCCTAATTATCCTTATGCATAGGTTCAAATTTTATAAGTCCTTTTAAATTATTTTTTCACAAAAGCATTTTTGTATTTTTTTTCAAAACTAAATTAGGTGGTATATTGAAGATTTAGTTTATTTATGGAGGTATGATAACTAAATTATATCTAAATTGGGATTCCAATCGAAATTAAATTCAAGTCTATATTTCAAATTCAAATAAATCCATATATTTATGATAACAAATCAAATATTTTTCTCATTGTTTTCAATTTGTAAAATATTTACAAAAGCCAAAAAATTTCTCCTGATTTCGTAAGGTTAGAAGTACAATTTGAATTTAATATAAAATTCATCACTAAATTAATAACATTAACAAACTCAAGAACTGATGACAAATGTTTTAGTTATTAATTGAAAATAGATACACAGTTACACACTTCATCTCAAATTGATATTTTTATATAAACTATAAATATTATACAATAAGACAATCATGATCTTGGTTCATATTGTATATATAAAGGAAGTTACACTATTTACAAGTTTGGACATATTTTACTTTAACATTTTTTGGTACAACAATCGTTATAAATTGTTTTATTATTATTATTATTATTATTATTATATTTGTTGTTATATTATTATTCCTTTAATTAGCTTTTAGACTTGTGATAAAAGAAATTTATGAATGTACGCATTTAAAAACATAAATGTATACTGTCTTTTTCAACAAATTTATATTGAGAATTTAATAAAATTGTAAATTTTATTGCAAAATTATTATTTTATGACTTAAATTATTAATAACTATTTTGAATAAGTTGAAAAAGAAAATTCTGTCATCCTTGTAAAATTTTTTACAAATACTTATGTTTTCATGACGAGAAAAAATTATATCTATAAAATAATACATTAGAAAATTATACGTGAAGTTGATGGCGCAAAATGTAAAAATGTTTAATTTTCGATTATGTAAATAAATGAAAAATTATTCAATGTAAATGAGTTTAGTATAATTATTTTGTATTATGGTAGGAAGTTAAATTTTTTGACTTTAAATATTTTTGTAAATCAATTATTTTGTCTTAAAATAAAATAAGTTTCATCTTAAATTAAGTATATTAGTTAATTTAATGGGAATTGGAGCAAATATTTTTATTAGTGTGAAAAAACTTAAAAATATTGAAATAAAAAAGTAAAAAGTTTGTTTAAATCTTAGTTTTATTATCTTCTTTTCTTTTAAAGATAAATCTATACAAATATATATGATAATAAATCCGTTTCTTTAAATCTCTTATAATAAAATATATCACAGTTCAGAGATCAATAGTTATGTACAAGCATAAAAATATATTCTTATTTACATCACGCTGATATTTATACTAATTTAGTGGATAAAGAAAATAACTTTAAAATACGTAAGTAATAATTTTTTTTTACTAATTTTTAAATGTGAGACTGAGAATGATTTTCTTGAAAAGAAGTTATTTTAGAAACATCAACTTTTCACTAAAGTCGCATCGCGTGAATATGAATACAATGTACACAGTGAAGCAAGATGGCTTTTTTTCAAATATTTTGAAATCTTCACTTTCTATTAATAAGTTCTATATTATTAATATTATTATTAATGTTATTAATAATAATATGATTATTTTACCATTAGTTTTTGTAAATTAATAAAAAAGATTTTCTCCGCAGTCACTAAGTTCGAAGAACACAGGGGGCAGTTTTCATTTCACGCACCGCTTCTGCCCACGTTTCCAATCTTGGAGCACAAGCCAATGTTAAATCACCCAATCTCTTCCTAGCCATTATCACAAATTCTCCCTGTCCATGACGAGCGTCACACTTGCTTGGAACTTTTATTCGAACTTCTTTACCGACATGTGAATTATTCGTATCCACTTCATTGTCCTGAAAATGAAAATGTTTCTATTTATAAACTTTCTATTCTAAATCAGTTTTTTAATTATTTATATGAAATGTATGGAATGAAAATAAGTTTTTATTGAATATTTTGAAGAAGAGAAAGATTTTATACCTCATTGATGTCACTGAGAATTTTCGTGACCCTAAGAACCAAGTCATCTAGATCCGTCTTCTTCTCCACTGCACTGAGGGTTCCTCTCGCAACAAGATCACTTTGACAGTAAGTCTTGGCCAATTCTTCTTTAGAACAAGGCATACACTCAGATTCCTCTTTCTTCTCCTCCTTTTCAAGATCATATTGCAGTTGGACTATCTTCCACTTATACTCTGGCGAAGGTTCATCAGCCTCGACATAAAGAGCCGCCAATTGACCATTCGAGCGAAAGCATCGATGATAGGACTCGTGTTTTCCATCATTGGGCGAATACACAGGTCTCAAAGAAGTTTTCCCCTCCAAATACACTCTCGCTGGACCAGAGACTTTTACACAGGCATGAAAACCATGAAATCCTTCACCTCCTGACAAAACCACTCTCAGAGCGCCACGAGGATATCGCCAAGAGACGGTGCCCCTCGAACAACGCAAGTAGACGGGACGAACGCCTTTTCCGCTTCCTCCACTGAAACATAAATAAATTTTTAAATCCTTCATTTCAAGTTATTAAATATTAAATTCTCTCCATCAAGGTGGAAAAAAAAAAATATTTGTGTAACCTTATAAAATTTTTCAATCTCTTTAAATATTTACATGTCCAAGCAGATAATTACAAAAAATTAAACTTGTTTTATATCATTAATTTTATCTCAAAAAAAATTTGCATATTAAAAGTAGAAATATATGTATCGATAAATAAAGGATTTTAGAGATCGTCGACCTCGTGAGGTGACAAGATCCTAGCTCTTTTATGTTAATTTAGCCACGGTTATTCATGCATATAATATATATATAGTAGATATGTGCATATAGACTTGAAGTAGGAGAAAGAGGAGAGCTGTTCTGTGAGGGTAAACCGGTTTTCAAGTGGAATAACTGGTTCGTATTTTAATAAAGTCAACTTTTCTTTCTCGGTTATTAAATTATCCTGCCTTTTTAAAATCGATTTTGTTCAGGGTTCGATTTTACCCTTACGCAAACACAAATCGAAATCGGTATTAAAAAAAAAGTCATCAATTTCAATCTCAGCTAATTATTTTAAAAAACTAGGGTAAGTGTGCAGAAAAAAATTCGTTTATCAAAAAAGGTAATACGTATTTATGTATTACCTTTTTTGATTTTCGTTTTTTTAAACGATTTTTTCTCCTGTGATTGTTTTTAGGTTTAGCGTATTTCGATTTTCCTTAACAGATTTGATTTTTGTTATTTTATTCAAAAAACGGCATTTTTTATTTCTTCAACCAATTATATTAGAATGTTGATTCTAGATTATTCTATTTTATATTTTTGCTCGAAGAGTAATTTTTGCGAACGAGTCCATATAGTGAAAGGCGTCGGAAGTAAAACTATAAAGTAAATAAATTTATTCGACATTCGATTTGCCAAGGACGGTAATAGGTATAGTAAAAAAGAAGTCTTGAGCTGTTTACAATTTACATCTTAAATTCAGCCAATGATATTCGCGGCAAAATTTGTCATCCTTGTCTAGCGAGAAATGAGAATATGACTAATTTATTATTTTTTGAGTAGAATTTCATCATTGCTAGCTAGTTACCGATACTGAAATAGTCAAACTGTTTTATCGACTTTTAATAAAACAGACTCACTTGCTAGATAATTCTACTAATAATCAGTATAGAACTGAATGCTGTGTAGTTAAATTGTTACTAAATAATTAGAAGAAATTTCATTAGTAATTTCCCATAATTCAAAGTTTTTAGGTTTTACCTTTTATATCTATTATTTTGCAGTTACAATTGAAACTACTCATTTGAAATTAATTTCAGAAAAATAAAACGTATTGTATCAATTGAAATTTTACGTTTAATACTTGCTGTAGAATACATATTCCATGCTATTTAGAATACTTTTTAGATAACATTTACCGTACTATTAATTTTCGTTTTATATAAAAAGGCATTTGGATAGGACAAAATTTCGCATTATAAACCGAGATTTGTATCATTTGCTAGAGTGAATTGTAAGTATTGTAACTAAAAAGTTAAACTTTGGAATAAATTTCTGCTTTTTCCGTAAAATATGTTCAACTTTTTCAAAAGTTACAATACGTATTAAAAAAAATTGTCCAAATATGAAAATATTTACTTGATTAAATAAAGTCAAACCCTTGACTAAGAAAAGAACAGTATGCACCGTTATGTACTCTCTTGAGCAAAAGATTAATGTTTCGTCCATTCGGACTTTATAATGATAATTAAATGAACTCCAATTGTTGTCAAGATATATTTATATTTAAGATTTAGGTTGAAATAATTTTTTGATAAAGATTTAAAACTGACCTTCCCGTCCAATCGCATTGGTCAGTACTTGTTGGAGCCGTCGATACGGTGGTGGCTAAAAGAAGAACCAAAAACACCGCGACGAAGATCAAGGTTGATATAAGCATCAAGCTCTTCATCTTCCATTCAATCTTTTCTTCTCACTCTTCCTTTCTTCCTTCCAATCCCTTCTTCTCTTATTTCTAGGATGTACCTTCGATATCAGTATTTGCGTTGTATCAAGATCTCATTTCATTTCTTCATTATTATGTATACTTATATATACATATCACTCTTAGTTATCTACACTTTTGTATCACAAACCCCATTCACAGAGAAAAAACTTTTCTTCAAATAAAATTAAATAAAATGAAATAAAATTCTCACCATAACGCAACAAAATTTTTTTTTGTCAAAAGAAACTCAAGATTCGAAGAAGCAGGAAGAGAATAATAGTTTTCGGTTTTTGATTACAAAAGTATCCATTAATAATTAATATTTCAATAAAAATACTAATCTTTATAGTCTGGTCACATTTTTTTAGCACAGGCGTCTTTAAAACATTTTAACGATCACAATACTAGGCACAAAGTAGTATTTAATTAATTTATTATATAATCCAAAAGTTTTTCATTAGAAATTCCAAATAACGGTCCAGTGTTTAATCTTGAGAATTTGAGATTGAATTTGTGTTTCGACATGACGACTCTCTCGACAGAGAGCGGGAGTCGAACTAAGAAATGAGTCGAGTCGGTGGTCGGTGATCGGTCGGAACCCGCGTCCATAAGCTTAGTTCAGGGCCGAGCATATCAAAAGTCTTCTGTTGAGTAAATTTTACAATTTCTCATTTCGGGAAGAAATTTTTATTTTATCCAAAAATTCAAATATAAGTTGGCCGGTTTTTAGAACATAAAGAAAGAATCAAGTTTTGCTATTATTTAATCGCTTGTGATATTAACTTAAAAATAAAACTTACATGTATGATTAGTAATATTAGAAAAATTTGAATAATACTTAATTCTTGCAAAAAAATCTTGAAAGTTGGTCATGATGGTCATAATTTATCTCAAGCATTTCGTTAGACAACTTTTTAAGCTTAGGCCTCTTTAAATATTCTTCAATTTTGTGTCTGACTGTTACGGTCCTACAGGTCATTTACGTGTATGTGTGGGACTGTCATACACACGCACAATCAAATACAAAAATCTCGCTCTTATATTCACGCATTTAATAGTTTCACAGAATGTAGAGATAAAGTACAACTATATACTTATTTTTAGTTATATTTTAAAATCAGAGAAAAAACTGTTTGAAACAAAAATTTTGTTTGCGGTTCAAACATTTTTTGTTATTTATTTAAAAATTATTGCATATTTATATTTATTTGTTAAATTTATCAAACTGAACGAAATATTTATTTACCAAGGCAATTATTTACTTTTAAGATAATAAAGTTTATTTAAAGAAACTTTTGGATTTATGTACTAGAAAATAGAGTAGGTATTTAATTTAAAAATAAATTTTTTCCTAGTATTTATTCACTCGTTGAGAATTCAATGCAAACAGAACTGGATTCATCCATAGAAAAAGCGGAGAAAACCTAATAGGTCGTTGCTTTTCATGTGGTCAACTTTCTATTCCTAATTCGGTTCCATTTGTAAGCTAAAAAAGTAAATGTTGCCTTCACAAGACTTGTATAGTTATAAAAATAAAGTTTGGAAAATATTTTTCCATTTACAAATAGTTTATCTTAAACTATGTTCTTTTAAGAAGATAAATATTCTTGCATATATGAAAATATCGGAACTAAAAAATCTTTTTTTTTACTAAAATATTAGTAAAAGTTTGACCAACAATAGTGGAATTTTACTTTCAGAATTATTGTTCTAATTCAGATTTAGAGAGTGGTGAGGAAAGTAAGTTTCAATTTACTATAAGAATCATAAGATGTGTATTTAAAAAGTATTTAAATAATAATGTAAAATTATATTATACAAAATGTTGCAAGTGTCAAGCAGTTTTAAAGCACTGGCGATGTCACGTTCCAAGAAAGTACAATTGCAGTTTTATGGCCAGATGAGCAATCTTGTACTAATTTTAAAATGGAAACGCTTACTATACGTGACTACGTTTAATGTCTAGTTCAGATTATTAAATTGAAAACTACGATCGATATAATCAGTACAGTTTATATGTGTGTTTTCTTATTTTCCTAACATAAAATGTAAAATTCCCCATTGAAATAAGTTTTAGCTAAATGAATTCGCATTTTAAATTAATTTAGGAATTTTTTCTAAGTAAGTGTATTATTGAGAATTTCTTTGAAATTGAGAAAGCACCTCTGTTGCTACTATTGCTGAATATGAATTAATAAATCTTCTAAAAAAGGCAAAAAGAATAATTTCCTTCTTTTAACTTGTGGACCTTTAATTATATTAGTATTATGTTTACAATGATAAATTCCATAGTAATTTTTTTTAACTGACAAAAGCATTTAAGATTTGCTTGGTAATTTCTGGTATTGAAGCCACTTGACCTGACTGAGTCTGACGTCACCAATGAATTGGCGTGGCGTTGTGCCGCCTGGTGCGCGCCAAGCCGCCAATGTGGTACATTATAAAATAGAGATAAACAGATATGTATAGTGCACAATTGTGCACGCGCTATGTGAGCAATTACGGAAAAAAATTTTATACATGCCAATCGATACTAATATTAATTTCGAATTCTTAGCATACAATCCAAATTTTAGGAGTGTATTTCAGGAGAAACTGAACTTTTTTTTTTAAAAACCGTCATTGTTTTTTTTGTATGCGGTTGAAGAAACAGATTTTAAAAAAATTAAGAAAGAGGAAAGTTGGTAAAAATACCTACAATTACGAAAAAATGCCAAGTTGCATTAAATTGAAATAGACTTATTCTTTCTAGTTCATTTCCTTTTTTTCGGTGCTTTTTTCCTTCTCTCCATTCTCCCTGTTCGCGCTCCTAAGAAAAAAAAGGAAGATTGGCAAAAGGTCGAATTTCATATAGCAAAAAGTTGCTACAGCCAAGTCCTTAAAAGAACATTAATATTTACGATTGCGAAATGAAAATTGTTTTACCGATTTCTTTCTAAAGAAATATTTCTGTAGAAAATAATTCAAGAAAAAAATTCCATTTTAGAAATTTCGTTTTAAAAAAGGAAACAAGAAACAAATAAAAAATTTATCAGATTGTTCGAAGAAATCGTATAAACATTGAAGATTACATTAGCAGTGAAAGCTTAAAAAAAGTAAGTAATTTTAACATTTTTGAAAAACCGATGTTGATTTTCATGGGAACTGATGGACTGCCAAACCAAGCGAAATAAATGAATGAATCCGTTCATGGTATCTCCTGATAAATTCGTTATTAAATTAACATGTCTATTCCCATGCAGATTTAACATTCGATTATATCTAAATTTCCAAAGTATATCTCTATTATTATTCACCAAAAAACCGTACTTCCAACAATGTTGAAAATACAAAAAAATGACAGTTTGTTTGAAAATTGAGACGAATTTAAAGTGTGCAATGAGCGGAAATCTTTGAAGAAGCCCGTGTATCATTAAAATAACGTACACCTATATTTATGACCGCATCAGGCAGTATAATGCCTGCAACATGACAATGAGATCATCCTCTTTCGCCTATCTGCATGACTGCGCCTCTCTTCTCAGTCAGTCACATAAAATTAATTTCCCAACTTGAGTCCTAAAAATTTTCTATAAAAAACATGGGCACTAATCAAGTAAACATCCTTTATTTAATTTCATTCTAAATCAAATCAACATTCAATAAGATTTTTGTCTATATTTTAAAGAAACTATATAAGTAAACTATAAGTAAACTATAAGTAAATTTCAAATAAGTACTTCGGAGAATAATTTTTGCAATTAACGGTAAAATATGATAAAACAAGGGAAAAGAAATCATAAGATAATGTTAGAAAGAAATATGCAGGCCGAGATGCAGGCTAAAAAAGAGCCAGCGGCAAAGTTTCACTGTAATCTCTTCAATTTTGTTTGTCACGAGGCTTACCACAAATGACACTGAATGAAAGGCCACGGATGATTGTGAAAAGAATAAAAGTATAGGCTTATCATCTCGGTTCATCTTGGCTTATACGAAAGTAGTGTTTTCTTCAGAATCTATTTATATTTTAGTTGGAAACATCTATAGTAAATAATTACATTCATAAAAGTCATCTTTCGATCCTTGAATTCTTCTAAATTTTAAGAATATTTATAGAAAATTTAAAAAATATCGACTCAATTTTGCCATATATACCGAAACAAAAAAAGAGAATGAAAAGAAACTATGTCAAAATAAATACAGGTTATATGAAATTGATATTCGACACAAGTTTCTTAGAAAAAGCAGGACCTACCTTGCGTGCAAGAGATCATCAGTTAGAGAATTTTGTCTGGTATTTTAGGAACGTGCACAGAATTGACTGCTTTAGTATCGACGTTTTGGCCAGAACCTTGCATTTAGCAAACCATCAAAAATGATTTCTGACGTTTGCGGGGGTTGTTTCGAAATACCTTTCAAAATTACACCGATTCATCGAAATTCATCCAATAATGGCAATTTACCGATGAACAAGCAAGGTTGATACGGTCAAAGCCCCCCGGCCATTTTTTGCCCAAGATTTATTTATCAGTCTTCTCCTCAGCCTCAGACTCTTTGGCCTTCGAGGTACTTTGCTTCTTTCTTTCTTGCTTTCTTTATGCTTTTTTCACTCGTTGCAAAACATAAAATAAACCTCTGCTGAAAGACCGCATATTCACTTCTCGGCGACTCAAAAAAAAAAAAAAAAAAAAAAAGTTTCTTGAATATTTTTTTCAACTGTATTGCAAATGAGTCTAGATTTTAAATTTGAATAAATAAGCATACTTTTTATTATTATAAAAAAATACTTAAGTAAAATTATTGTTCTATTGGGAATAATGATTTTTTAAATTGGTCAAGTATTTTGATATAATTATAGCATCTATTTTTTATTAAATTCTGTTGTCTCCATAAATTTTAAATTTTTTATAATTTTTCTCTCATGACAATTGGTTAGGATCTAAGTTTTAAATGTAAATAGCCTGCAATGGTTGAAATTTTCAAACGGATACACAATCGTTTCGGTCTTTCCTGACATTTAAAGTCTGATTCAAGGGGAACTTTCAAATTTTACTATAGGGGTCTCCTAGGGACACGTGTCGCGTTGAGGGTGCCTCAAGTCGATAATGACTAATTTCAACTGTATGTATCTTAAATTTTATTCAAACTTACAAAATTCTTTAAATATATTTGCTTTTTACGTTTAATAATACTTGTTATTCCAGATTTTGTTTAATAACAGTTATTTTGTAAGTTGTGGGGTCTGACTCATTTAATGGAAAATGACATGCATGGATTGTACACACACTGCCGGAACTAGAGCAAGTCTGTGGGAAACTTTCAAGTCTCGAAATGAAAGTGTTTCCTTCAGCACCCGCACCCTTCAACTTTAAATAGAGAAATAATAAAATAGCAAGAATTATTAGTTTCAACAATTATACTAATTTGTCCTTTTTTTGAGTATCTTTTTGAAAAATTTGACGATAAATCGTACCTGAAGCAAGAATTATGTGGCCTAAACAATCAAGTCCTAAATATTGATGTTGCAAATGATTCGTTCGCAAACATTTTCAAACTCGATATGTGATGCATTGATGTGGTTTGCTGCACA